CGATGAGACAAGAATAGTTAATGTATTTTCAATCAATTCATCATCTCTCTCTCTCTCTCTCTCTCTCTCTCTCTCTCTCTCTCTCTATATATATATATATATATATATTTATATATATACAAGTCTAAATTGAAAACAACGTTCAAACCTATGATTGCGTTGGATAAAAATCGCAATTTTTATACATGTGCATGCAAAACAAATTTCTTGGTAGAGTGGTCTAAATACAGCACAAACAACATTTTCCAAAAGACCAAAAAGAGTGAAAAAGTATATTTTAACAAAACGCATTTGACTAGCAGGTCGAACAACGGATGTTCTTAAACCCTGCTGACTGCCATGGCGATTGCCAAAAAAACGGATCACCAGATGTAAAAATGGATCTTAATTTATTAATTAAATACCAAACAGAAAACAATAAACTTGCGGAAAAGATGGTATACCGCAAACATGAGGTGCAAAAATTTGTACACCATATCCGGATTTCGACAATTAATGTCTCTTCAGTGATGTTAGGAATCGAAACGGTATTTGGAAGGCCATATAATTTACCTCAATTTGGGATTGACTCTTAAATTTTGAAGAGTCAAAATAGGATGAACGCATCATATAAACCCGAAGGCAAATATAATACAAGCCCAAACGAAAAAATATAAACAAGTCTAAATTGAAAACAACGTTCAAACCTATGATTGCGTTCGATAAAAACCGCAATTTTTATACGTGTGCATGCAAAACAAATTTCTTGGTAGAGTGGTCTAAATACAGCACAAACAACATTTTCCAAAAGACCAAAAAGAGTGAAAAAGTATATTTTAACAAAACGCATTTGACTAGCAGGTCGAACAACGGATGTTCTTAAACCCTGCTGACTGCCATGGCGATTGCCAAAAAAACGGATCACCAGATGTAAAAATGGATCTTAATTTATTAATTAAATACCAAACAGAAAACAATAAACTTGCGGAAAAGATGGTATACCGCAAACATGAGGTGCAAAAATTTGTACACCATATCCGGATTTCGACAATTAATGTCTCTTCAGTGATGTTAGGAATCGAAACGGTATTTGGAAGGCCATATAATTTACCTCAATTTGGGATTGACTCTTAAATTTTGAAGAGTCAAAATAGGATGAACGGATCATATAAACCCGAAGGCAAATATAATACAGGCCCAAACGAAAAAATATAAACAAGTCTAAATTAAAAACAACGTTCAAACCTATGATTGCGTTGGATAAAAACCGCAATTTTTATACGTGTGCATGCAAAACAAATTTCTTGGTAGAGTGGTCTAAATACAGCACAAACAACATTTTCCAAAAGACCAAAAAGAGTGAAAAAGTATATTTTAACAAAACGCATTTGACTAGCAGGTCGAACAACGGATGTTCTTAAACCCTGCTGACTGCCATGGCGATTGCCAAAAAAACGGATCACCAGATGTAAAAATGGATCTTAATTTATTAATTAAATACCAAACAGAAAACAATAAACTTGCGGAAAAGATGGCATACCGCAAACATGAGGTGCAAAAATTTGTACACCATATCCGGATTTCGACAACTAATGTCTCTTCAGTGATGTTAGGAATCGAAACGGTATTTGGAAGGCCATACAATTTACCTCAATTTGGGATTGACTCTTAAATGCAGAGTCAAAATAGGATGAACGGATCATATAAACCCGAAGGCAAATATAATACAGGCCCAAACGAAAAAATATAAACAAGTCTAAATTGAAAACAACGTTCAAACCTATGATTGCGTTGGATAAAAACCGCAATTTTTATACGTGTGCATGCAAAACAAATTTCTTGGTAGAGTGGTCTAAATACAGCACAAACAACATTTTCCAAAAGACCAAAAAGAGTGAAAAAGTATATTTTAACAAAACGCATTTGACTAGCAGGTCGAACAACGGATGTTCTTAAACCCTGCTGACTGCCATGGCGATTGCCATATATATATATATATTGGTGGCCTTGTGTTGTTTTCTGCTCTTTTTTCGGGTTGTTGTCTCTTTGATACATTCCCCGTTTCTATTCTCAATTTTATATATATAACTTTGTCATACATTTTCAGTAAAGTGCATAAAATGCATAAAGAAAGTATAAGTTTATGTTTACAAGATGATAAGAGAGTATGCACAATAAGGAATTGAGGAATAAATTGTACTAATTTGAATAACAGGAGTTGTAGAATTGACATTAATTATAGACATCAACCAAAAAACAAAAAATAAAATGCCATTTGAAAGTCAAAATAATGTCCTCAGCAATAGACAATTTTAATGCAATATATAAAACATTAAATCGCCGTGAGTTTAGAAAAGTAGTGAAAGAAAATAAGACAGAGATTATTAAAGAAATGGTGAAAGTCTAAGACGCTAAAGTCGGAAAATACGGCAGTATCAAATTGACATATTTTGAGAAATTTCTTTGATGAAAATGCATTTGAAAATCACAATATTTTTTATTTAAAATTGTAGAACAATTCATTAGCATTAAAAATCCGTTTAAATTTTTATTCTATGCTTAGGGCTCCGTTCCAGAGAAATTGCTTAAAACATAGATATAAGAAGATGTGGTATGAGTGCCAATAAGACAACTCTCCACCCAAGTCAAAATTTATAAATGCCAATTTTAGACTTTCGTGTTTTCCGACTTTCGAGATTTCCGACTTCCGTGTTTAAGACTCTACCAAAGATATCCAATTAGCACCGAATTCCATAAAGGATCAAAATATTTAAACTGAGCAGGTATGCATTGGGGATTACGATATTTTTTTTTAACTTAGCATGTATTAGATGTAAATATCTGAGAGAGCGTCAATTAGTTTTGATATAACAGAAACAGTGTCATTTTCCTCAAATTTACCAGATGCATGTCGTTATGGATTTGGAATGAAATCTTAGTTGCGTCTATTTCTCTGTCATCAAATTGATACTTTATCGCTTCTCTTGTATAGCAATATGAATCGCTGTACTATCTTGTCTTTTTTTCTGGTTTAAATGTCAAAATCTGAACTGTTTGCTGATAAATGATAACACTTCTATATAAATTATGAACATGTTTCATATCTTAAATAATATTTATATGTTGGTAATGGACAAAACAGTTCTATTTTTTTCGTCTTTCTGATATATCACTTTCTATCCTTCCCTGTTGTTTCATGTCACGTCACTTAACGATAAAGTACATTGTTAATATGTGTTCATCAAAACATCATATAACATTGTCCTGATATTGTGATAATATTTTGCACCGGTGAGAAATATATCATCCCTATAGTTTGTAAAGGATCCATGTGTATATTTCCATTGAAGAACAAATTTAGTTAGTATCTATCAAAATATTTTTGATTTCTCAAAAGAAAATAAAAAATGAAAAAGAAATCACAAAAGTTATCGTGAATTCAGATACACAATGTACAAACAAAAACGAAATACAAATCAGAAACTGACTGCCAACAGTGTGTATAACAAATTTATCAACTTTTAAATGATACTGACGAGTGTTCTGTTAATCAATCTTATTTTTGCAACAAGCGTTTTTTCAATGAACTTTTATTTAAATGACAAACTTTGAATGTAAATATTCAGTTTAAACATTTTGTAATTTGACTAAACTGTTGATCTGCAATCCCTCAATCAATAATTAATCGATCGTCCTGAACATGCATGAAATATTTGACACTGAACGTTAAGCTGACATCGTCAATCAATCAAAATTGACCGACGAGTTTGGTTGGTTGTTGTAAGTGCCTTTTGTATTTTTGTTAATATAAAAAATAGAGATGTGGTATAATTGCAAATGAGACAACTGTCCAACAGAGACCAGAGAACGAGGATCTAAACAACGATCGCTGAATGCACCGTCCGAGTGATCTATAAACATGATAAATGTTTTCATCGTTGTCCTTTTGGCAATTCTTTGGCAAGCATACAACATCTTTTTTATTTTGTAGAGGTTAAAAACCAGGAAAGGGCTTGATTTATAAGATCGACAAGAATCACAAAAAAACTAACAAAATGACAAAATACAAAAGAAACAAATTATTGACAAAAGAAAGCTTGCAATATAGTAATTGAAAGCCAATTTAACACCAATTTTAACATGTTTTTTTTGGTCTAAAATACACACGATAAACGTGCGGAAATCAATGTCATACATTCATACCATTATATACTTTTTTAGAATTACGCTTTAAGGCATCCATGCAAAGGCACTGTGCGAATTTGTTAAAAAAAACTGTAGTTGTGGATAAAAACTCTACTAAATATACTTTTTTCGTAATACCTTTTGCGACCCCCAATCGGAACAAGTATCATCAAAATCAACTCAAGTCTTTTTTAATATGTTCCGAGATATAGTGGATGAAATGTTTTAAAGATTGACAACTAATTAATACAGTATCATCTTCTAACGGATGACAATGCGATGGCACATGTATGTAACAAACACCATGCCATAAAGCAACCATAGTACCAGTAATTTGGATTCTATCAAAGCATACTATATGCGATTCACTTACAAACAATATAGAATGCTATTTGGTTTTGTAAATTTACCCAATCATTAGCCCTTTTTTATGTAATTGGGCCTCGGTGGTCGAGTGGTCTAAGTAGTCCATCTACTGCACCACTAGCATGTCAATACTGTAATGAGTTCGAACCCCACATAAGGCAGGTGCGTTCGAATCGTAATTGACTAGATTGCCAGTTTTCCTGCCGAAGGTCGGTTGTTCTCCCCGGACATTTCGGCTTCCTCCGCCAATAAAAACGGAACGCCACGATAGTGCCAATAGTGCTGAAAGTGGTGTTCAACACCAACAATCAATCAATCATTCAATCTTTTTGTAGTGATGTGTAGGCAATTGTGTGTTTGTTTGTCTTTTTTCAATGGTGTTGTATGGTTGTCTTCGCCTTATGGGTTTTGATAGTCTTTGGGTATAATATCCCCCTTTTTTCTAGTTAATAACAAATATAAGATAGCACAAATTCAATATTTTAATATAAATATAAATATAACTGAGTAACTAATTATATTTTTTTTACATTCATTCAGATAATGGAAAATATAACAGTTTACATTTCTTGTTTTATTAAATCATTATAATAAAAAAATAACGTTAGAACATGACATTGTTATTTTTTAAAGAAAAAAATCTTCTAAAAGTCAAATGAGATGTATCTTAAGCTTTATTCGCAGTTAGTTGACTTTTTACACATTATATCTGTCTTTTTCTTCTTAACTGCTAGATGAATTATGACGAGATCTTGGCTTTGGCGGTTTAGTACGTGGAACAAACATACATGTTGGTATTGATGATTGTTGCTTCTCAACCAAGGTTGATAATGCTGTAGGAAGACTCCTCGATTGACGAAGAGCAATATCTGCAAAATTCTACAAAAGAATTTTTAAAACGATTTAAAAACATATTCAATATCAACACTGTGCAAGACTTATTAAAAACTTTATAATCAATCATAAAAACATATAATGTTCGTGTCTAACAATCAACAAAAACAAAGAAAAGACCTTTTAAATTAATTAAGAATGAATACATGTATAACGAAGGGCCTTCTTTCCTGTGTTTTAATTAGTGTGAAAAGTAACCAATTATTTTCACCATATTAATACTAATAGGATTTAAAATGATTTTTTTCTTTTGCTACCGACATAAATACATTACTATGTAGAATATAAATAACGTGATTGCCAATGAGACAGTTATCCACCAGACATCAAAGGATAAGGATGTAAGCAAACACAGGGCAATGTACAGTCTTCAACAATGAGCAAAACCCATACCGTATATAATAGTAGGCAATGATGTGCAAAACTGTACAATTTTCCCCTTTTTAACGATGATCCTAAAAAGATACGGCAATTATAATTGTGATAAAGTTCTTCTATATTATTATTGCAGGTTAGTGACTGATGAATCAAGAGATGAATACAAGCCGAATTGGACAAGTGTCATGCACTGTCATAAAGAAATTTTTTTGTTAAAAGGTTTCCTCTTTATTCAGATGAGGCACCTTAACAAGTTGTAATAAAATTGGCGTATGTAATGATCTTATACAAAAATACAGCTTTCATACCTTTGGTATCCCGAGGAAGGTTTTGACTTGTTTGACTTCTTCTGTCAGTATATTAACTGTATGTCGTAAACACTGATTTTCTTTAGCTATTCCCTATAATTGAGGAAAACGAATTTTTATTTACGATTCATATAAATATTTGATATAGGTTTACCGTTACATAATAGCAAAAACAATATCCTTTTAGATGACAGAACATCCGAAATGTGATGTAAACGGCATTAGTTGTAATTTATCTGTTAATTTTGCTAGTTTGCTATACTACATGGAAAAATGATGACATACAATTTACATAATTTTCATCACAAAACATTGTAAATTACCTGACAGATGAGAGTTGACAATAAATACCTTGAATGTCGCATATTCAATTTTTCTTTCCCATTGTGACGCAGTGGAAGCATTGAAAGCATTTAATAGTTTTAAGTATGTATACTTGGTCGATTTTTTGTGAGGTATCCTTGCGATGTATCTTTTTGTATCTGTTGGTACAACACACGCTTTACATATCCTGAGAACCTGAAAAATGTGGGTGACCAGTTCTGCAGTCATCTTATAAAAGAACCAGAAAATAAACTTTAAACTTGAGGACATACTGGTTGAAAAGTACTCATAGTGCGCGACACGGTGATTACCTAACCCCTAGTTTGTAAAATTGAACATGTTAACAACTATAAATATCTGGGTTCACATTTTTGTGCTTCTTGTACCTTCTCTTTGGGTCAAAACGAATTATACCAAACGTCATTTAAAGCATTTTTTAAATAATGCAGGTACTGTTTTCCCCCACAAACCGCATGTAAAGATTGTAGGCATACACATGGAGTTCGGGAGGTTTCCTCTTCATTTTATCATTGTTAAATGCTTTTTTTTTTATTTTGGCATGGATTATACATGATCTATAACATAAACTTATTATTAATTCACCGTTCATAAATTATGAAATTATAAAGATAATAACATTGACGGTACCAATTTTACTGCACTAAATGAGCATTTCGACAATAGATGTCTCTTTAGTGATGCTCGAGGCCAAAATTTTTGAAAATCCAAAACTTACTTTAAAATATAGGTTTCAACTACCTCAGACAATGAAAGTTAACCTTAAAGGATTTTTTACTATTAATCTGTTTAGGTCCTTATTTTGTCCTATAGCTAATATGTATCCGTGGCTTCCAAATGTTAAGGTGTGAGCGTTTCTGGTGAAGGTTAATCCAGAAAAGCGTTTTGGATGCACGATTTGTTTTTAAAAGTGGTAATTTCTATCATAAATTTAGAATCTTCTTTTCTATAACTTCAGACGCATACATTTTATGAAAGGAAATGTTCAACAACTGACAAACATCATGGTTTGTTTCAGTTGAAATACTTAAATGTCTTGAATTTTCAACACAATCTTAACGTTGGGAACGGTGGTTTTTAAACAAATGATGAGTAAACTTGCATATTCACATTACTTAAGTGAATTGATAGCAACTATTGGAATGTTCTGTTGGAAAACTAATCCTGAACATATACTTAATTAAGAATTAATCTAAAATTTATGTTGGAATGTTATTCCCCGATTGTATCACCAGCCAAGTAGCCAATATTTCGGTTTTTGACTTTCAAATATGTTGGCCTTGAGCTTCACTGAAGAGACAATAATTGTCAAAATGCTCACCTTGTGCCAACAAAATTGTACCTTTAATGTTATTTCTATCTATCTCCACTGACCTTCATTTCAATTCTGGTCTTTTCTTTTTCTTGCAAGAGGTTTTTCACTACAATCACACTCATTTCTAGATGTTTATGCGGAAATATTTCCTCGTGATCTTTGTGTTCGGCTGTTTTACCCTGAATACAATAATTAAGGGTTTCCTCAATTAGTTGTAGGTAATTTTCTCCAAGATAGATACACCTATTCAATACTATTAAAATCAATAATAAAAGAAACAAAAGAACAGCGTTCATATATCACCTACCGTAGCACATATCTAATCTGTCAAAGAGAAATAACTCAAACTCTTTTTGTCTGTTCTTTTAAACTTTTTTAAGCTTACCACAAATCGGCGACTGGGGGAAACAAGTAATTGGTCTGCGCTAATTATCGAACTCATCTAAGATATTGCGGATATAAACCTTTAGTCTTTGTCTAAAATTTCATCCCAAAATTCCCAAACGTAAGGGTTTCCATCCAAACCTATGAAAGGATAGATAGCTACTCTGGATGATGTAAACACATGTTTATTGTTGACCTCTAGTATAGGTATTTTTGTTTAATCTTGTCATTTGCTTGCTGTCTCATTGACGTATACCCCACATATCCTTCGATTCATATTTTTAAGTCACTTGTGATGCTAATATCCACATCAAAGTTTTGCACATATTTTAGAAAACAGCAAATAGGAAAAAAATGCTACTTATACTTTTCAAATCTACAGTATATAGCACAAAGATATTGAATGAAGTGACAAATTAAAACAAACAATTATTACCCTAAATTTCAAAAACATGGACATTGTTTTGATTTTGCAAATATATCAATAAGTGTAGTATTTTGGCATTCAATTGCATATTTACAAATGTTCAAAGTTGTTCTTTGCTACTCAGAGCAAAATCTTGAATACAAAATTCTCAAAAATTGTAAAAAAAATCTTTTTTACCTGTTTTTAAAATTACTTCATACTTTTCTACACCTGATTCATCTCTCAGTTTGGGAAAGTATTTCAGTAGATACTGTATTTTTGTCCAATCAGTGTTCAGATACATTGATTTAAGTAGGGTACACAAAAGAGCAACCTAAATTCCGAAATGTAAGTACTGTCATACCACCTATACGATTTTGACTATTCCGTAACTTAATGCTCTTCAATATTTATCATTAAGGCTTCTAAAACATTTCGTCCTTGGGTTTTCCAAAGTACGTGTTCTGCGCACTGGTATCGATATTCAACGTGTATATTAGAAAATGTACGTCTTGAAGAAAAGTAAAACTGCCCATAGACCATATATTACATGTATAATTCTGATGTTTTATATGCCATTTATCTATTCGATTATGTTATAAGTAACTGGAAACTAATATGTGCAGCTGTTTGCTGAAAGTCAGAAAGTACAAAATTGTTTTTTGACACTTAATCGCGTTTCAAAATCGTATGATTTGATAGAAAGAACTACATACAATATAAGTGAAAAGGAAAATCTTATTTTAAAAATCAATTTGATAATCTGTCATCAAGGAATACTACCATTTACGGGAAAGGTTTATTTTCATTTTGGTTTTCACAACGTAATAAGAATTCTTTGAATATTCAGAAAAACTTTCTGAGACTGTTCACACTTTAAATTTGTTTTTAACGTGGCACTATTGCAATTCCTCTGGCTTATTCTAGCACCATAAGGTCTTTTGGAGTTCGTGTGATTTTCTCCGTGGATTTATGAGATTTAAAAATTGATAGACTACTGGTGCTCTAAATTTTAGCTTATTACCATTTCAAAATAGGAATCTCACGTACATATCAGACAAACTATTTTTAAATATTTATATTTATATTTCAGCTACATAGAAAAATAATTTCAACGATTTATCATAAAAGCAACAGCGGTCACTTGTGAATATTTTTCGGTAATATAAATTCGATATAATGAATATCAGATTAGCACGGTTTCATGAAAAGTATACTTTAAATTTCTAGATTAATCAAATCTGATTTGTGAAAATGATACATTATATCCAAAATGTCATCAACTGCACATTTTTCATAATAATTGTAGCAGTAAAATAAATGGTACTTACCTTGAAGGCGCAGCCAAAAATCTGATATTGACAAGGAAGTAGTCTGTTGCAGCATTCTTTCATATGCTGTGTCATCTATATCCACAAACACAACGAATAGAATACAGCATTGCAAATGATGAAAGGATACAGATGTCATTGAAGATAATAATATGAGTGTGTTTTTTTCATTCTACATTGTTTATTTGATTCTCGGTAAATCAAAAATCATTAAAAAATTGTAGTCTTTAATAAAGGATATATTTTCTTGCAACAACAAAAAATTTCCAAAAAAGACCTAGATGACGTTGCAAACATAACAGATTTTTAGCATTTAAGGAACTTTTAGCATGTGTTTTCTATAACAACGGTCAGACATGATTAAATATAAATGTCACCGTGTAGGATTGCTTTGGAGATTAAGCATAGGGCTCGCATAATTGCTAAGTATAATTGTTATTTTAAGAATAATGAAATGTAAAAATTAAAGCTCTTCATGTTGGTATGTATTTGTTGTGGTATTTACATTTAAAATGCAGAAATTGGAATTGACACAGTACGGTTAAAAAATAACAACGAATGCGTCCGTTCAATCATTTTTCTGGACCTATGCAGGCATTTGTCACATTTATGTATATATATGTCAACAACGATGTTTAATCAAGAAAAGACTGAATGTCGAAAATTTCGTTGTGATTTACTCTATAACTTAGGTGCTGCTGGCGAACTTTCATGTTACCGGGGATATAATTCAACGTCTTAACTACATTACAATAATAACAAACACAAAGCAATGCATTTAGCCGTGCAGACTAACAGAGCCGGCGTTTAACGTATATTTTATATTATAAATACATATATGAAATACAAATACATTCCAAATTGAGGTACACAGAAAGAATAAACGTCTAAAGAATGTCTACTATGAAGCAATAATAGCCCATATCTCTATGTATGTATGTAAATATATATCCGTCTTTAACGTTACCTCGCCGCCCAGGAAAAACCACAAAAACTTTACTAAAGAAAATTGATATGGAAACCTGTGTTACGGAGCAAGTGCAAGGCACGCCTCAGGACATTGATGCCGAACTTCATCAAAAAAACAAATTAACATATAATATCAAATATTATGAAACATTGAAGTTTAGTGTTGAACGTCTGCGGCTAGAATGATTTTCAAACACAAGAAAATAAAAAACCCGCTTTCACCTCATTAACATAAGAATACTTATTGACAATCCAAATGATTGGTCCACGTAACCACGTGTACAACTACACATAACAAAAAACCGCCAAAAACATACCGTTATTAAAAAACGTTCCTTTTAGACAACATTTTTCCGCTATACTCAGAAACGCGGGAAAATACATTTGTAGTCAGTGCTAGACAGCAGTGACTTTTATTTCATATTAATTATGATACATCTCGGTTGAAAAATATATGTAAGGGGACAAAAACAATAAATTCAGAATAAGAAAGACCTAACAAAGACCTTTTGTTCTTTCATTTGATCGTATGAACTAAGTAATAAGATGATACAACAAAACATCGTCGTACAAGAGCAGTGCATAAAAAACTGTTATGAAACATCTTATATAGTCATCTTATTTGATTTCTCTAGACACTAAGGAAAACAAAGATATTCGTATATGAAAAACAAATAGCCAGTCTCCATATGCATACATGAACCCCTGTTTCACAATCAAACTCGCTTGCAACATGTGCAAAGGTTTCCTGGAATAAAAAAGCAGGTGAATATACTTACCTGATTCGTCAAGGTTTTCATTCTAAAAAGTGTTTTTAAATTAAAACATAAGTTTACAATTTGCATAATTATTATTGTGTTTGTTCCTTAAATTCTGTAAAAGGAAATAATTTCAAGCGGATGCAAGCTTATTGTTATGCATATCACTACTTACTTTGCTTCTCTTTAAAGATTGTATTCCGCATCCATACGGGCAAGATAAGGATATTTCTGTGCATATATTTCCATGATGTTCCTTTAGAAAAGATAATATGCTTTCCAAAACTGACATTTGAATATAATAACATATCTGTGGGTTGCATGAATTATTTCGATTAAAATAGGACAAACACGGTCATTTAACAAATCTGGAGCGAAGATAAGTGTTCCGTGTGTGTGGCTATTAAATTAACCATCTCTCCCCTTTTTGAAAGATTAAGATAAACATTTCCAATAAATCTATGGATTGCATGAATTTTTTCTTAAGTAAAAATGTGTTTTAAAGTTATAATTCTCAATCCTAAATTTGAAACTTTTAATCTACAATTTTTATTCGTTGGCTACTTTTACCATCTAATTCATAGTTGCTCTTCAGCTGTTTCGGTTCTTACACATTCTTGGCTTGCAAATATTTGGCTTTGTGCGTTCCTGATGAAGGTAAATCCACATATGCGCTTCGGGCGCATGACATTTATAACGTGTTATTTCTATTTTTTTAACATGTTATATTAGATTAGTTACGTCTTTACAAAGGATTTGTAGGGATAGTCCTAATGTTAACTTTTTACAATGCCACACAGGAAACGGGAAACCGTCATAAACGATTGATATACAGTTCCAGTACCAGTGTAAATATCATTTGACAAGAATAGTCTACCTCGTTTGCAAGCAAGTCTTGTGATGCAATATATCCATACAATACTAACCTTGATCTGGCCTCTGGAAACTGATAATTTACAGAAGGCACATACAACGGGAGCTTGAACACAAGATGTAGAAATATGATCCTGGAGGTCCTTGTAACGTATGCTTCCATCACATCCTTTATCTTTAAATGTACAGTTAACAAGCCTCCACTCACAATCTGACAACAAGTGTCTCTGTTAAATGTCAAAATATATAGTAGTCAACCTTTTAACGATTTGACGAAAAGAAAAGGAATAATTAGGTTTTTTTACTGGATCTGCAGTATCTGTTAACTATCTATCCATAAGATTACCCATGGAAAATGTACACTTTGAAATGTTTCATCTAAAACTAATTTTTCTAACAAACTTTCCGAGAAGGTGTAAATTTCTGAAGAACTAAATGTTATTATTGTTCTTTTTTTCCTCTTTAGTTATGTCATATGAAAATAATGAAACTAGTAAAGATGTAGTTCAAAATAGATAATGACTTTTATATTTCTTCAGTTGAAGTTTACGTCTAGAAGCTTACTTCGATTTGCTTAAGTTTTGAAGTGTATGCACAGCCATTTTCCATTTCTGGGCAATAAACAGTAGCAGACAAAATATCTCTTCTCAAACCATAATCTTGATGAATCTAATAAAAACAAAAAGACCAAGTATAGTGAATATTTGTGTTATTTCTGTCCGACAGTATTCTAAAGCCAACCTTCGACATATTTGTATTTATCTTTATCACGTAATATCTTCATTGTTTGAAAATATAGCATGACGAATTTGAAGATCCTTTGTTAGTTTTTGCAATTCTATTAGAGTTCCAATTGATTAATTGAGATAATGTATTTAACTTATACTGTTTTTGTCTGAACTTCTTGTTACCAGTGAAACCCTTAAAAACGGAGCAAAAATAAAATTACTTTCTTGTAGGTCTATCTACATCCTTTAATCAATTTCCATTTAATTTCATGCATACATATGATTGAATTTTTTACAATTTTATAGATTTTTGTAGAAAGATGTAGGGCAAATTTCAATTGATGTCTATTCTATGTCTGTGTAAAGAAATATAGCATGTACATTTCAGGATCATGATGCATTACTAATGGAATTCGTCCATGACTACCTAAGACACACTATTCCCTCTTTTTAAGCCATGTGTTCATTTATAACAAGAGCCCTTTTCGTAACCATTTTTGTTCGATTGTGATAATTTTAAATGCCAAATGATAGTTATTGTACTTACTAGTCCCAGGCACAATTAATGATTTCAATCTTAAATAAAATGTTTACCTCTGATTCTGCGAACGTTTCATTGCAGCTATCTGGATTCATCGGACAATACCCGTGACCATCAGAATCAAAAAGGGTATTGATACAACCATCACATACGCAATGTCCACAAGGAAGCTGCATTGGTCTTCGTAAAACACATTCACATACTGGACAAAAGAATCGGTCCTCCTTCAGAACGAACTCAATTTTTTGTTTTGGCAAAGTCAAAGCTAAATCCAGGCTTGCCATAATTAAACCTAAAAGTATATAAAAGAGAGGCGAAATATACCGGAGCATTCAAACTTATTAGTGGAAGATAAACTAACAACGCAATGGTTAAAACGAAAATCGACAAAAAGACAAACAACGGTCTACAAAACACAACATTGAAAACTAAAGACTGAGCAACATGAACCCAATCCAAATCCGGAAGTAATCTCAGGTGCTCCGGAAGGGTAACCAGCTCCAGCACCACATGTGGCTTCCGTTGTGTTGCGTCCTGTTGCTCATGTTGGTATAAAGTCGGTGTTAAGTCTATTTCGGTGATGTCATATTTGAGGGAAACAGGACTGGACTGTGGTTACGACAATTGGAACAAATGCATCGTCGTCTGTGAAACAGATATTCAAAGACGGTCAACCAACTCGTAATGGTGTCGGTAAATTGTCATCACTTTGAAACCTTGGTTTACAATAGCTTCCTTGTAAACAGAAATCAGATATTAAGGAAATCATAATACGAAACGCAAGCTCTGAAATATCGTATCAACTCGGAGATAGATACTCCATATTAGGAGCTGCTGGAATGCTGCTACATAAAAATGGGAAGTTCAAAATTGAAAAGCTGAAATCATCTCTCTTGTCTTAAAGCTTAGTTCTCAACAGACCCTCATTGTCAATTTCTAGATGTAAGTCAAATATGAGACAGACTTACCTGTATCTGTGGTTTTCTTTATTTTAGGATCGATTGGACAGATTGGTTCAACATAGTCACCAAAACTTGAATAATTTCGTGAGTGGACGTCATTTATATTGCGAAATGTGGAGTTAAACGATAATACTAGCTTCTCTTCATTCTTTTAATAAGCTCCTATATGAAGTCTGCCTCATGTAAATATAGGAACAAGTTATGGAGAAGACTTCATAAGTCTGTTTGTGATTATGTTTAAACTAAACAAGTCGGCAGGAATGGGAGCATAGTTGTTTCCAATAGGAATGTCGATTCTTTGTTGAAAAACACGTACGTAACAAATATTTAGTCAACCAAGAAATCTAGCATCTTGATTATGTTAGTTTCAGAGAAAATTTTTTAATCAGAGTTGTTTTACAAAGTATGAATTTACAAGATATGTGTATGCACTTTCGATATATTTTTTTATGAAACAAAGTTGGACCAATTTTTTTTTTTTCATCAAAGTTTGAAATGGGGAATACTTGTGTAAAGGGTAGAAAAGTATAATGTTGTTATACTATTGCAAGAGGAAAGAGATTAAGATTGTATGGACCCAACAGATCGCTGGAATGTTTTAGTATCTACATCCGATTCAAACCATTCATTGCGTAGGTAGCTTTACAATAACTCTCAAGCCAGACTTCGATTGAGGAGAAAATTGATGTTCATATTTTGGAAAGAGGTTTCGTGGCGCACTTGGCAGACCTGCAATATAACGTTGTTTGAAGGGACACATGTAATTTAGGTATCCAATAAAGTGAAGGAAGATCCAGATTTTCATCTTTGATTGTAATTGCGAAGGAACATTGAACCGACCTATTATTAGTCAAAATTTTCTTTTTGGTAAGCGTCGTCAAGTAAATTGTCAATACATAATTCCTTTAGCAAGCAGTTTATGTAATGTGATTTATATTTTCTTACACATGTATATTCCGCAAAAAAAAACACATTTTGATGGGAGAGAATTTTTTCATTATATCGAGTTATTTCCTTTTAATACAAAAACTATACTTCATCCTAGTTTATGCAAAGTTTTTTTTTATTATTTTCAAATATAGTGATGATGTCCTAACATTTCGAACCCATATTTCAGTGAGTGCTTGCATCTCAAATATCCTAGTGCATCTACTTTACTATTTTATATTGTGATTAATGATACTTTTCAAACTAGAAGGTCTGCTTCATATCTTGATATGTCCTTGATATTGACACAGATGGACGACATCAAACAAGAATCTATGACAAACGTGATGATTTTAATTTTCCAATTTCCAACTTCCCATTTATCAACAGTAACATACCCTCTGCTCAATCGTAGTATGACCACGGTTCCAACAGATAAGTTAGGAAGAACGACTGATATCGGCACTACATAGTTTATATTGTCACCGTTGCGACATGGTTGACCAAACACTATGTGTTTTTGTCTCAACTCACAAGAGACATGTTATCGCGGTCATAGATCTGTCTATACATGTACTGGAATAATAGTCGAACCTGTATAGTTACCGATTGTGTCATATCCTGCGTGTGACACATTGACTGAGTGTGGATTCGCATAACGGATGGTTCGTGCAGAGATCGAGACGCTAACCCTGTCGACGCTCCAGGTCTCGCTCCTTTGGGATTCACTTAGTTTCTTTTTATTTTTTTAATTTGAGTTGTATCTTCTTACTGGACTAATGGGATTTGAACATTGGTTAACTACTATTGATCATTCATGATTCCAAGAATATATCATGCGTCGTCGCCGCTGATAACTCCTGGTCAGCGCAATGATCATATATAAGACATGGTCATATCTATACTAATATGTGTCATATATAACTCAGGTAAGGGGCCCGACTTTTTTCTTGATTTTGGTTCTTAGACAGACGTAAAATGGGTAAAATCCATATCCTGTTTAATACAGTGCTTAATTTACAGCATCGATCTATGCATTGCGATGTGACTGCTAAAACACATTCTTATCATAATACACAAACATAAAAACACACAGAGTCCTAAAAAGATAATTTAACCAAGCATAATGTAGTACTCAAAAAACCAATTACTGATCATTTAATAAATCGTGGTTTATCTGATAATTAAAAATGCAATTGCACAAGAAGATGAAGATCAGGCGCAGTTGCACTATAAAGTTCATGCAAAGCTATTTTGTAATATGAATGGTAATTTTTCCTTTGATATTCGAGAGTTGAATGCTATAATTCAAAGAGATGTGCATTATAAAACTCTTTCTTTTATATTATAGCACTAGTATGTGTCCTCGTTCACCACTTGTTATAGTCATAGCAAAGAATGAGAGGAGTTTAGACCTGTCCAATTCATTAAATTCGATCTGATAATTTGTTATTACGATGTTTGGGTCCGCGTTTTGAAGACATATTACACAATTCAATATTTCGATGAAAAGAACATAATTAAAACTAAATTATTAATTTCTTGCGTCCGATATGCGCTTTTCTGGATTATCTTCATCGGGAACGCTCTAACCCAAACATTTGAAAGCCAATTGTACAATGTGACTTTATGCATGTAACATAACGGTAGTATGCAAAATGTTGATTGTTTTTTTTTTCTCGTTTTTTGTTGTTGGATTTTTTTGGGGTTTTTTTGGGGGGAGGGGGGGTGTAAATGACCTCATTTAAACAAGTTTATATGTACGCTAGGGTTCTTGTGTTTAAAATAAAATAAAACATATCTTAGTGTGTCGTATTCAAGAGAAAAGTATGTTTGCCCTTCATATTCCCTGATACAAGCCTATAGGCGGCAATGTTAACGTTTTGTTTACAAACTTTAAAACATATATAATTCTATTTTTAACTCCAAACAGAAATGCTTCTACCCATAAAATACACAGACAAATTATATTTTAAGTTAATCGCACAAGGTCAATGATAGAGATATGATATAATTTTAAGGTAAATTGAGTTGAAACAATTGTGCTTTTTGATTGAAAACTTACTATTTTTCTTTGTCAATTGACGACAGTAAATCTAATGGCGGCCTGCTATAAATAGATACAGGAATTTTTGTAATGTATAAATACCAGGAAAATGGTTTTCCTGATAATATGCCGGTACAGCACGGAAAGCTATGGAAAAATGATTGTCACTATTTAAAAAAAGTTGCATAACAGTGTTGTTTTCAATTAATTATTTTGTACATCTGAGTTAAACCCAAACTTTCCTGAATATAGATCATATAGTCATCAAAATATAAAATATAAAAGTATATGCAAAGTGATATGGTGTTGCATGGCTGTTTCCAAGAATGTTCTTGCAGTGTCCAAATTTTTTTTATTTGTTTTCTATAATCGAATAAAAAATCAAAATCTTCATCACCAGATATATTCAAATCAATGCTAAAGTGAAACGAAAAGAAAAGAAAAAGACGGGATATGCAAATGAGTCATGTTAGTGTTCAGTTTGCAATACTTCACGAAATAAAACAGTAATAAAATTGAGAATGGAAATTATAGTAAATATGACATATTACTAAAACGATTTGTACATCCATTGTATGCTAAAAACTTACAAACTATGTCAGTATCAAGGAGGTATAATTTCATTGATTTTGATTATGATTCGAAGAAAAATTAAATATCCTATATAACCCCGAAAAAAGCGATCAAAATGTGATATAGCAATAATCTCGTGTGTTTTATTGGGTTTTATCAGAATGGAAATATAATAAATCAAACTCGAGTATCTTCTTGTTTTCAGTTTTTTTCTTAATCCCGTGGAGTTCAACTTTTTATTGTATAATTTTAGAGTTCTTTCTTTGGCTCTCGAATTCGTTTACCAATGTTTTCTATTCTATTTGGGTTTTTTTCTTCTGTCATTGTGACCTATTTACATCAATGGTAGTCTTTTCCTCGACAGAGTAGTAAATCTACACCGTTTACATTAGACTGAAATCAGAGACATATATATACATATAATGGTTCACATAAAAGAAATGTTTAATATGACAATTTCTTTACAGCTTAAAACTTTCCTTTAATTTTAGCATCCAATTAACCTTGATTTATGGCCATGGGTTATGTGACCTTAATCTTAAGGAAAATGGTCAGTCTCTTTTAGGTCCATATGTACATAAATGTGTATGTATGGGTGTGACTGAGTTTTATGTCTGTTTGTTTTGCTCACACATTAATTGTTGTCAATAGAAAGGAATTCTATATGACTGTCATACAAGTGAGAGGTTTAGCTAGCTATAAAACCAGGACTAATCCACTATTTTCTACTTTAAAAAATGCCTGTACCAAGTCAGGTATATGACAGTTGTTTTCCATTCGTTTGATGTGTTTGAGCTTTCGATTTTGCCATTTGATAAGGGACTTTTCCTTGGAGTTCGGTATTTTTGTTATTTTATTTTTAGCTGTGGATGATTTTGGTTCTCTAAAACATCCCTCGACCTTTTTAATTCTGTTCTGGCTCTCTGTGAGAAGATTTTCATAATAATGCCTCATACTCCTGTTCTTGTGGCCATGTCCTTCAATAGTTTTTCTTTAATTCTGGTAATTGTTTCTTTATCCGGTGCTGCACATTCTCAATCATATCAATATATTTTTTTTTATATGGATGCCATACTGAGCTTTAAAACTCTAAATGTGTTCTTACAAGTGTCTTGTAAAGTTGTAAAAAGGTATCTGTATCTAAATATTGGAATGTCCTTCTCAGTAGTGCAAACATTGAATTTGCCTTATTTACCTTTTCGCTGATATGTTTTTCGAAATTTAATTCAGAGTAAATCTCCAATGTCTTTTTCTTCAGTAGCTCTTTGTAATATTGTAGACTTCAGTGTTTACTTTGAGTATGGGTCCGGTTCCGGTTTACCAATATATTTGCACTTGGCAAGGTGAAGTTTTAATGGGTATCACTCAATTGCGATAATTATTAGGGGACTTTGTAATTGTGTTTTATGATCTTTTTGATTAATTGTGTTAAAATCTTAGTATCATCTACAAAAAGCAAAAAAGTATACGTCGGAATCAACAAGGTTTGGTAAGTTGTTTATAAAAATTACAAAATGTAATGGCCCCAACACAGATCCTTGGGGTATACTCGAGGTTACTTTTGACCATGATGAAGTTTTGTTGTTTATCGAAACGTGTTGTATCCTGTAACTTAGAAAACAATCTACCCATTTTAGTTCTCAATATTCTGTGCCATGTGCTCTTAGATTGTTCATTAGTTGTTTATATGGAACACAGTGTCGAATGCTTTCAGGTAGTCCATGTAGATAACTATACTAGATTTTCCATTATCAATTGTTTCTTGCCATTTGTCAAGGATATCTAATAATTGAAGAGACGTCGATCTACCTGATATAAATCCATATTGACGACCAGTAAAGAACTTGTTTCTTTTCATGTTTGACAATGTGTTCACGTACCAATACTGTTTCCATTACTTTGCACACACCTGACGTTAGGCTCAAAGGTCTATGGTAAACAGCAATACATTTTTGCTCTTTTTGAATATAGCGCTTATGTGTGATTCTTTCCAACTTTTTGGAACAGTACTTGTTCTAATTGATTGGTTGATAATTGGGCGTAATTTTACGGATATTGTTTCAGTTAGCTCTTTGAGTATTCTAGGGTGTAACCTATCTGGTCCCGGAGATTTATTAACTTTCTGTCCCCTTAGTATCTTAAAAATTTCTTCCATCTTTACATTTATTTGTTGCATTTTACTTTAAGTGTCTCTTATCGATAATGTATGCACCTTACAGGGGCGGGTCCAGGTGACGGCGTAATGGGCGTACGCCCCCCCTTTTCAAAAAAAAAAAAAAAAAAAAAAAGCTATCGCAATCTGCTAATATTGTAATGAATATGGAAATTTATCATATTCATTAATTATTTTATGTTTTGTAGCAAAAAATAGGTCCAAAAAAATTTTCGTCTCGCTCCGAATATTTCATTCTACGCCCCCTCTTTCAAATATCATAGAAACGCCCCTGCCTTACCTTCTGGTCCTTTTGTAAATACACTGTTGAAGAACGTTGTATAAATTTCAGCTTTTTCTTTGTCATCATCAGTCTTTCCAGATTTTTCATCATTTTGGTCTGTTGACAGCTCTCGTATTTCTGATCTTGTTTTAGACTTTGACTTAATGTATTTCCAGAATGCTTTTGGATTTTTCTTAGAATTTGTTGAAAGTTTCTTGTCGTGTTCCCTTTTCAGTTTATTTGTCGTAGTCTTTACTTATTCCCTGTCTGTGGTCATTTGTTATTTCATTCTACATGATTAATTACATGACATATATAACTGGCTTTAACCATTGGGTAATATGATGGATGATGTATGCGAAAAGATAAATTCATCATAGATACCAGGCTTAACATTTTGTACGCCAGATGCGTGTTTCGTCTACAAAAGACTCATCAGTGACTCTCAAATCAAAATAATTTTAAAAGGCCAAATAAAGTACAAAATTGAAGTATGGTTTGCTTACCAGTTAAGGGTACCTTACATCATTTCTGGTTATTATGGCAGTTTTTATTGTCAATAGCTTTTAGTTTTTCTAATCTTCACTTGTGAGTTAGTCTTGTTTATCTGTGCTCTAACATGTTCTTATTCTATAGTTATTGAAAGTATATTTTTTCCTGTTACATTGCTGCTTCAGCTATTCTATACTGACTGATTGACTAATGGTCACTTCGTGTCAAGCCGATAACATATTAATTTCATATCAACTGACCATACTTTGTACTACACAGACATTAAGTCAGTTAATTATAATGCAGCTCAACATGTGTAGTCAGTAAGAAGACATGTAACTCCAATTGAATATTTCATTCTAATTTTGAGATGACCAGTATATGTATTTACTCATAAATACTACTGACTTGGCAGAAGAGATACAAATATAAATAAAAGAAGAATGTGTCTGAGGACACAAAGGCCCACGCTCAAGCTTCAAACAAATGAAAATGGGACTGACGGACGGACGGAAAAACAGACGGTCAAGGGTAACACTTAATGCCTACGGCGGGGGCATAAAAACATTGGGTTTTTTCATATTTGGTGGAACTTACAACTTTCTGCAAATAAGGCAATCATACTAGCGCAATACAAGACTCTTCTCAGCTTAACTATGTAAATCCAGAAAAGGGCTTGGGACACACTTGTAGTGTGGTTTTTTTTAATTTGTATTTTTTAAATCATGGCAGCATTCATATTGTATTGTTTAAAGCTATTTACTTTTTTTTCCCTATTATTATGGCTGGGGTGACGTATTGTTATTCTACGTTTCTTTTCTTTTTCTCTCTTATTATGGCACCCTCAACGGAGTTGGGATGACATATTGTTATTGTTCGTTTCTTTTTTTCTTATTATTATGGCACCCTCAACGGAGTTGGGGTGACATATTGTTATTGTTCGTTTCTTTTTTTCTTATTATTATATTTATTCTTCCACACTTTTTTGTCCATGCTATTTCTCAGAATTGGCTTGAACAATATTGATGGAACTATACCATAATGTAGACCACTATATAAAATTGTGCAATCGGGGTGTGGCATCATGAAGATGACTGCCGTTGCCATGGAAACTGAAAAAATGTGAAAAAAAATGCAAATTCTAAATCTTTCGTTATAAGAGGCAATCTCTTGAAACTTTATGCAAATGTTGGCAATGGTGCCCTGAGGTACCAACAGTACTTAGCTTCTGCAAAATGGCTGCCATTGCCATGGAAACTAGAGAAAAGTTTAACATTGACCCTATGGGAAAAAACATCAAACCAACTTTTCTAAAGGAATATATGATCAAACTCAAAGAAACATCATGAATATATAACATGGCATAAGTCAATGTTGCAACTGTTGTTGGAATTTTCAAAATGGACACCGTTACCATGGAAACATGGAAAGTATCCAAAAATTTCAAAATGATCTAAACTAAATGAAACTTATAATAAATTGGTACTGACAATTGGAGATAAGACTTTGTACTTCGGAATTTCGAAAATGGCCGCCATTGCTATGGAAACTGCAAAAATAAAAATAGATAAGAAATGTTTCAAATTTTCCGAAAATTTACAGACAGGTTTGTTGTGATGCATTTAAGTCCTACGACTATTTTCAATTTTCAAAATGGCTGCAGTTTAGTGGCAGTGTGGGAAGGGTGCCATCCGCTATTGCTTGCAATGGCAAATCTAGTTATTATTATGGCACCCTCAACGGAGTTGGGGTGACATACTGTTATTCTACGTTTCTTTTTTTTCTAATTATTTTTCTTGCACAAATTTTGTCCGCGAGTTCTTGGAATCCAATGGACCAATGTTGATGGAACTCTACTATAATGAGGACCCCCATGTAAAGTTGTGCACCTTGCTATGGAATGGTAAAAAATGGCCGCCGTTTCCATGGAAACAGCAAAAATGCCAAAAAAATCAAAGTGTTCCAAACTGGAAGAAACTCCACAGGAATGGTAACTGGCATGTGCTGATTTGCAGTTTGACTTTGGAATTTTCAATATGGCTGCCGTTACCATGGAAACAGCTAACATATCAAAAATTCTAACTCATCCGTTATAAACCCAACTGGATGAATAATAAACTTAATGAAAATGTTACCCAGTATGCCAAGATGCCAAGACAATATTTGGATACTCCAAAATGGCCGCCGTTGTCATGGAAACTGGGGGCAAGTTTAACATTGACCCAATGGGAAAATGCATAAAATCAGCATTTTCTTAAAGAGTTTTTCACCAAAGTCAATGAAACTGTATTGATATATAACATGACATGTGGCAATGAGATGTCTGCTTTTAGAATTGTGGAATTATCCACTGTAACCATGGCTGCATCATAAATGTCCAAAATTTCAAAAAAAAATCAAAATGCTGCAAACTGGATGAAACTTTACAGAAATGGTAACTGGCATAGGCAGAGTTGCATTTTGAAGTTGGAATTTTCAAAATGGCCGCCGTTACCATGGAAACAGCAAAAATGTTCAAAATTTCAAAATGCTCCAAACTTAATAAAACTTTACAAAAAGGATAATTTGCATGTGTAGATGCACTCTTTGACTTTAGAATTTTCTAAATTGCTGCCACTCACCTGGCAACGGGGGAAGGGTGCCATCCGCTATTGCTTGCAATTGCAAGTCAAGTTATTATTATATTTATTCTTCCACACTTTTTTGTCCATGCTATTTCTCAGAATTGGCTTAAACAATATCGATGGAACTATACCATAATGTAGACCACTATATAATATTGTGCAATCGGGGTATGGCATTTTTAAAATGGCCACCGTTACCATGGAAACAGAAATGTAAAAAATAAAATTTTAGTTTTTGGTGAATATTTTGAGTATGCCTGAACTAAAAAAAAAACAAATTTATATATATTGTTGGTGTCCACTATATACAGGTTTTAGACGATTTTGAGAATCTTTGGAACTTCTATATTGCCATGGAAACTAAATATGTTTAGCATCAAACCCTATGGGAAAACTTAAAAGTAGCATTTACATGCATACTATGGCAGGCCAAACTCGGTGGTTCTGTAATGGTAATGTTCCTGTTATGTGCCAATGTTGCATGTATCATTGGAATTTTGGAAATGGTCACCGTTACCATGGAAATAGCAAAAAATTCAAAAATTTCAAAATGCTCCAAAATTGATGAAACTTTACAACAATGTTAATATACATCTTTAGATGCGCTCTTTGACTTTGGATTTTTCAAAATGGCTGCCGCTCACCTGGCAATTGGGGAAGGGTGCCATCCGTTATTGCTAGCAATTACAAATCCAGTTATGGCACCATCAACGGAGTTTGGGTGACATATTGTTATTCTACGTTTCTTTTTTTTCTTTTTATTATTATTATGTCACCCGTACGACAATGTCGGGTGACATATTGCTTTTCCTCCGTTTCTTTATTATTATTATTATTATTCCACCTTTTTTTGTCTGCCAGTTTTCTCATAGATTAATGGACAAATTATATTGAATGGGTACCAAAATGAGGACCACCAACTCTAAGTTATGCACGACACCTTTGGAATTTTTTAAATGGTCACCGTTACCATGGAAACCAAATAAAGGTGAAAAAATAATATTTTTGAGTTTGGTGGATTTTTTGGATATGCATAAACTTAGAATCATGATATTTTAATACAATGTAGGTGCCCACTATATACTGGTTTTGGATTATTTTGGCAATCACTGGAACTACTATGTTGCAATGGAAACTACACCAAAAATTTCAAAAATATCAAAATGCTCAAAATTAAATGAAATTTCACAGTAATGATGAGCAACATTGGTAGATGTGGAATTTAGCGTTGGAATTTCAAAAATGTCTGCCGTTACCATGGAAACAATGAAAAACAGGTCAAAATGATCCAAAAACCTTAATGTAGCATTTCCTCTCTTAAAATGGTAGGTCAAATCCATTGAAACCTTGATGGTATGTTCCCTCCAATGTACCAATGTGGCATCTGTCATTAAAATTTTGGAAATGGTCTCTGTTACCATGGAAACCAGCAAAAATGTCAAAAATTTCAAAATGCTCCAACCTTTATGAAACTTAATATAAATGTTAACTGGCAAGTATAAATGAGATTTCTGGCTTTGGAATTTCCAAAATGGCCGCCGTTGCCATGGAAACAGCAAAAATGTGTAAAAATTTCAAAATGCTCCAAATGTTCTGAAAATTTACAGAAAGATGTAAAGCTATGCATATATGTCCATTCACTGTTTAAAATTTTCAAAATGGCTGCCGCTTAGAGGCAATGGGGGGAAGGGTGACATCTGCTATTGCTTGCAATGGCAAATCTAGTTATTATTTCTATTCTTCCACACTTTTTGTCCGAGCTATTTCTCGGAATTGAATGGACCAAAGTTGATGGACCTATATCATAATGTGGACCACTATGTGAAGTTGTGCAAGAGACATTAGAATGGTTCAAAATGGCCGCCGTTACCATGGAAAAAGCAAAAATGTAAAAAAATAATCAAATTTCAAAATCTTTTGTTATAAGAGCCATCTTATTGAAACTTAATGTAAATGTTGCCAGTGGTGCCCTGAGGTACCATCAGTACTTAGAAATTCCAAAATGGCTGCCATTGCCATGGAAACAGGAGAAAAGTTTAACATTGACCCTATGAGGAAACACATTAAAGCAGCATTTTCTTGAATAATATTCGATCAAACACAATGAAACTTCATGAATATATAACATGGCATACGTCAATGTTGTAGCCGTTGTTGGAATTTTCGAAATGGACACTGTAACCATGGAAACAGCAAAAGTGTCCAAAAATTTCAAAATGCTCCAAACTTAATTGATTGGTAAGTAAAGATAAGATGTTTGAACTTGGAATTTCCAAAATGGCCGCAGTTGCCATGGAAACTGCAAAATGAGAAATATTGAAAAATGCTCCAAACGTTCTGAAAATTTACAGACTGATGTGTTATGATGTATTTATGTAAAATGACTGTTTAAAAAATTTCAAAATGGCTGCAGTTTATTGGCAATGTGGGATGGGTGCCATTCGCTATTGCTTGCAATGGCAAATCTAGTATAGTCGCCAAAACGGAGTGTGTTTGTCCCGTTTCTTATTATGTCACCCTGACATAGGTCAGGTGACATATTGTTATTGTTCAATTCTTCTTTTTATTATTCTTATTCCACACTTTTTGTCCAGCTTAGTACTCGGAATTGAATGGACCAATTGTGATGGAACTATACCATAATGTTAACCACCATGTGTAGTTGTGCACCTGACTTTGGAATAAAAAAAATGGCTGCCATTGCCATGGAAACAGCAAAAATGTGAAAAATAGAAATGTGTTCCAATTTATATGAAACTTCTATGATATTAAGAGACTCATGCACACTTCAACATGGAACATTTTTATTTCAACTGGGGGGGTCTCCTTGGCATAATTTGAGGGGGGTGAATTTTTCATGGAACATTCCAGAACATTAGTGTTAAAATAGGTCTACAGACATTAAATGTAATATGATGGTATATTATTATGGGGAAAACAATATGCAGCAGTAGTTTGACTTTGGAATTTTTAAAATGGCGGCCGTTACCATGGAAACAGCAAAAATACAAAAAGTATCAAAATGCTCCAAATTCATTGGAATTTAAAACAGATAGATATGTTGTCATGCATAAATCTGCATTCACTGATGGAAAATTTCGAAATGGCTGCTGTTTAGTGGCAATTGGCAGACCAGGGTGACATCCGCTATTGCTTGCAATGGCAATTCTAGTTTTTCTTATTCTTCTTCCACACATTTTGGCCGTCGTGTTTCTCGGAATTCAATGGACCAATGTTGATGGAACTTTACTATAATGAGGACCCCCATGTAAAGTTTTGCACCTTGGTATGGAATGGTTCAAGATGGCCACCGTTTCCATGGAAACAGCAAAAATGCGAAAAAAAATCAAAGTGTCCCAAATGGAAAGAACTTCACAGAAATGGTAACTGGCATGTGCTGATTTGCAATTGTGACTAAGGAATTTTCAAAATGGCCGCCGTTACCATGGAAACTGCAAAAATGTCAAAAATTTCAAAATACTCAAAAGTTATTGAAACTTTACAAAAATGTTAATCAGCATGTGTAGATGCACTCTTTGACTTTGGAATTTTCAAAATGACTGCCATTACCCTGGCAATGGGGGAAGGGTGCCATCCGTTATTGCTAGCAATTACAAATCTAGTTCTTTTTCTTTTGCAATTTTAAAATTACTGTAAATATTCATTTAAGTTATAACTAATATCTCATCTTTTTGTGTCTTGTCATGAGCACCGATCATCAATTCATACTTTATTTGATAACATAAAATCTGTAAATTAAGTAGAAGTAAGGCTCATAAACAAAAGCAAGAACATCTTTTGTAAACTATTTATATTATTTCTTTTCTTATCAAAACATCTGGTTGAATAAAAATTATCACTGAGTTCTTGCAAACAACCACAGGTCATTAATCTTTGTGTAAGATGATGTCAACGGTTATTTTCTATAACAATTGTTCTTGCTGGGTAGCCTTGCAACTCACATATTACATGCTTAAACTGATATTTCTTACTGTCGTCCTGAAAAAAATAATGAAATATGTAATATCCATGTGCAAGACCAAAATTCTTAAGCATCCACATTTTGGCCGAAAAAATTGAAATTACTCATCTCTGAGTTACAGTCTTCAGTCTTGATAGAAACAGCTCATCATGGCTTTTTTTATCCAGATTAGCTAAGAAGTCCTGATGATTTTAGGATTTTGAAAAGAGCAAAGGAGAAAAATGAGTAACATCATATGCCCTGGCAACCAAATTTTAGCGGCACAAAAATCCGCTGCTGGATAGTTTATAGTTCACAGTTGGGAAAAAAACTGTTTTCCTGCATGTTGAAGGAGATGATAAGATTTTGCTCTTCTAGAATGGGTGTGTTCCAAATGAGATTGTTTCTCCAATTTTATTGTCAAATCGAATTATTTACACAGATTTTGTTGAACTTTTGGGTGAGTTTTAGTTGTTGATACTTTTGGTTCTCAAAAAGCATCCCTCAACTTTGTTGAAGCTAATTTTTATACTTTTTGATAACCAAATATATAATTTTACATTGAATAAAATATTGATATTTCATTCATTGATATTCTATTTCATTACACATTGATACACACGTTAAACTTCTAAAATAACTTTATTTACCATCATAAAAACACAAGTTAATAGTTTTAACAGTACCTGAAATACTTCTACATGGACAGTTCCTTTTCTGTAAGGCCCTTCTATTTTAAAGACAACTCTCATGTGTTTTACACCATTTTCCATAAATTCTTGTGAACTGTAAAAGATGAAACATTATAGCAAATATAGGTTATACTTTTTACAGACAACTGAATTGACATGATAAACAATACAGTTTTTTCACCCCCAACTACTTTTTTTAAACAAAAGTAATCATGGCAAATTTAATAATGTCACATGACCCTTTCTTAAAATGTATATCTATGTTTCTGTATTCAACAGCACTGATTGATTTATTGATTAATTGATTGATTGATTGATTGATTGATTGATTGATTGATTGATTGATTGATTGATTGATTGATTGATTGATTGATTGATTGATTGATTGATTGATTGATTGATTGATTGATTGATTGATTGATTGATTGATTGATTGATTGATTGTGTAAGCCACTATCAGCACTCATTGCTATATCATGGTGTCTAGTGTTTACTGGTTATGGAAGCCCAAGTACCTGTAGAGAACCATGACCTTCTGCAAGCAAGCTGGCAATCCTCTTCAATTAAGATGGAGTGGACTGCACATGCCACAAGCAGGGTTCCAACTCACAACCTCAGTACTTGACAGGCTAATGATTAATGTACATAAACTAATTAGTTCACTAAGTCATCAAGTCCCCTCAATACATTTGTTGCATTATATACTGTATATAAATATCTGAATACCTCACATGCTGTTTCCGTCTCCTGCTCCCTGAAGTCCCATGTCCTGTGATTGGTTCTCCTAATGTATCAAGTACCTGTTTCAAGAATAAAAACAAACATTTTTAAATGTATGAATAATTTTAATGCATAAAATTTGAATCATAATGTTCATAAATACTATTGATATCTATTATCCTTGCAGAATTTGGCTATGGATGAAACTTCATCTTGATACCTTACAAAAATAAGAAGATGTGGTCTGATTGCCAATGAGACAACTCTCCACCAGACCCAAATGACTTAGAAGTTTGCAAATATAGGTCATGGTGAGGCCTTCAACAATGAGCAAACCCATACTGCATAGTAAGCTATAAAAGGTCCCAAATGACAAATGTAAAACAATTCAAATGAGAAGAACAATGGCCTGATTTATGTACAGTGGGCCTCATTGGGGTCTAAGCGTGATGCGGGATTGCCGATTTTTTGTAAGCGTGATACGTGAAAGTCAAATTATTGTGTCGTGAAAACGGGAAATAAAGTCTAGCGGGATACAGGAAATTACAAAAAAAAATGAGAATTGCTTACGTACATAGTGTAAGCGGGAAAAGGGAATCTGTCAAAACAGTAAGCGGGATCCGGGATCAGAACCCCCCAATGAGACCCCCTGTACAAAACAATAAACTTACCAACTTTAACCAATACTACCAACACCTTGAATATTATAATTGAATAATTTGAACAGTTCATGGCTTTATGCATTCTGTGATGAAGTTACCTTGTGATTTCAAATTTGAACTTGCCACTTGTTTTATAGTTAACTATAAGCGTTTACTTCGATTCATTCTGTGAAGAACTTAATGTGATATCACATCTCCTTCACCTAAGACTATCTTTAACCTAAATCTTACAATGCAACTAAGAATTATTATCACTGAACCATGAGAATCCCAGTGCTATTGATACAGTGCACCCAAGATGGTTCAGTGAAAAATCACTTGTTCTGGTGTTTAGTGAATCACTATCAATGTTATTCTTGGAGATTTAAGATGATAAACTCAGGATTACAAGATTGCCATATAAATAACTTATGAAATATAAAGAATATATATATACACTGAGTATGTTAAGTATAGATTGTTATACCACTGTTATATACATGATTTGTCCTATTCTTTGTCTTACCTCCATATTATTTTGGCACTTTTTTAATGCTTTACTGTAAACACCTGCTGGACTTTGACTTGAAAATAATTCCTTGCCAACAGTATAAAATACTACACCTAAAAATATTTAATGATCTAATTATTTTTTTTTTAACATGTACTTTATAAATGTGTATTATAGTGACAATAGTGGCACTGCCAGTGAAAACTCAAACTTATCTACAATGATTCACTAAAGGTGGTACCAAACACCTTGACTAAAATTAATTTGGCTTGTTTAATTTTCATAAAATTTTGACATAATATTTACTTTGACCCTTTGACATAAATATAAAAATTTCAAAAGACTTAAACCACATACTTTATCGAAAAATTTCATTGGATATATAGAAGTTTGACAAACACCAATTTTGATCATTGAGAAGCTTAATATTTCCTTAACAATAGAACGTGATTAAAACGTTCAGCTGATTTTTACAGAGTTATCTCCCTGTAGTGTTATGTACCACCTTAACACTTTTATATACATTAACACATAGACAGGCAAGTAATTAATACAATCTTGTACAATTGTATTTTCAAATTTTCCATTTCTCAAACTTTCCCAAATCTAGACCAAATTTTGGATCAAGAGTCTTTTGATGTAGCTACTTATAAAGATCACTTTGTCTGTGGTAGTAATCTGTGGGCAAACTGACTTTGGCCAATTGTGGCATTGCACAAGATGATGTTTTTATGCCCCACCTAAGATAGTAGAGGGGCATTATGTTTTTTGGTCTGTGTGTCCGTTCATCCGTCCGTCTGTCCGTTTGTCCATCTGTCAGGCTTCAGGTTAAAGTTTTTGGTCAAGGTTGTTTATGATGAAGTTGAAGTCCAATCAACTTGAAACTTAGTACATATGTTCCCTATGATATGATCCTTCTAATTTTAATGCCAAATTAGAGTTTTGACCCCAATTTCACGGTCCACTGAACATAGAAAATAATAGTGTGAGTGGGGCATCCGTGTACTATAGACACATTCTTGTTTAGAATGTTTCTGACTTTTCACTGTAATAAATATTTTAAAAGTACTGAATCTGATAAAAGACATGAAAGAGAGTGTGATGGTATGATTTATACAGCAGATAAATATTTGAGCTCTGTAAATGTAAAGTCTGAAATTTTGCCATTACTTAATTATCTGATTAACTGTGACTTTAACTTTATCATTACTTTTCTAAACAAAAAGTGTATATGATATGGCTTTTTCAATATGGCACACCAAACCAACCCTCAACCAATATTATCCCTTGAGCAGAGCACTTGAGAATATATAAGTGTCTCGGGCTGATATAAGTGTAATATTGAAAAAGCCATATAATATTCTCTATACACAATTTGTGAAACTAAATGAGTAAGTTCGATAAGGCCCCTAAAACAGAACCTATTTCTAGCTACAATTTCAAACGACAACAACAAAAAACAAGGAATCATAGCTAACAAAATGACTACATAAAAGATATCATGACTTTTTGTTGAAAATTACATACTAACGTTAATGTCATGATATCACAAATAGCACTCATGATGATTTTCCACGAAAATTCAATGAAAATGATAAATTTATATTAATTACTTAGACAGGAAACACAGAGTGCAATGCGTTGACGAAAAAGATCTTTTAACATAATGTTTGTTAAAATATTCTAAATATCTGTTTTGAATATTTAATTTGTCCTTTTTTTTAGTCTGTCCTCTATGTTTCCTAGGCCTAAATTTGGTTGAAATTCAGAATATTTTGTCAAATATCACAAAAATCTCTATTTTTTGTCTATTTTGGATGTAAAAATCAACGCTTTAAAATAAGTTTAACAAAAATAGTTTAAATTTCTTACATTGGTTTTTAACATGTCTTTTCATCGGTTTTTAACATTTTTTCATCTTGAAACATTGAACATGATATGGCCCTTACCAAACTTACTCCTTTTTCATTGATCATTTTTTCTCAAATATTTGTTCTCACTATAGATGAAACAAATCAAATCATGCTAACTTTTTTTATAGTACTGAATATGTTATGTTTCATAAAACTCTGTTTTAGATGTCTTTAAAACCTTACCTATAACACCAATTCCTGCTATTATAATTGCAATATATGATGCATCTTTACCTGCTTCTTTCACTGAAATCATAAAAAAAATATCATTTTTTAAGTTTTTCCATTCCTTGAATTTACTTATTTTTAATTTTTCAATTGAAAGTACAAAAATGTAGGTCATTTTCCATTCCTTGAATTTACTTATTTTAAATTTTTCACTTGAAAGTAGGTCATCGTTACAAAATATTAATGAAAAATCATGATGTAGGGTAAATTATACTGCTTACACACATGAAACAATAACACAATTTTTAAATTTATAACAGAAATCATCTGAAGCTAATGAAAGGCTCTTCTTGACAAGTACATTATTATAAGTGATATAACTTGAGCTTAAGAAGACCCCTAAAAAATTAGTCTAAAATAAGATTAGGCAAACAATCTACTTCAAACTTATTTAAATACATCAATTCTTTTATTGTTTCTATTGCTGAAAAATAATTCATAATCAGGATTTGATAATCAATCATCTGAGATATTGGTTACAACACTCTATAGACTGATATAAGTTAGTCTATCATGTCTATATGAAATGTAATATCTAATCAAATGCAAAATGTTCTGTTTATAAACCCGTTCCTAAGTTCGCTCTGCAACAGTCAACTAAATTTCTATTTAAAGATGATTAAAAAGGGTTAAAATAAATTATTTATAGGTAGTTATACTGAATCTTTTTTGAATCATTTATATATAATTTGATAGAAATTCAGGTGACTGCACGACATCTGTACCTCATCTAACTGCATTTAAAAAGCTGTCATTCTCACTTCAGGCACTAATCTGCATTCTTATATATGTTTTGTAAAAAAAAAGTATCTTTGCATAGCTTCTTGAATCCCCTAAAAACTTAATCCAACTGTCTTAACAAAATTAATATTTTATATATATATTAACCTTTTTCTGCAGCACTTAGACCAGCATATGGACTTTCTCTTTTAATATCCAGTTCTTTCTTTGTTTCATTCTTTGGTACTTTGTTACTAAAATATCTTTTTGATAGATTTATCAGTTGACGTTGCCTTTGGTTTACTTGGCTGTTTGACCTTAAGCAATGATAATGTTCTATTTGTGAAGTGGCTTTCCAACAACAAAGTCTAAAACTTTTAGTAGAACAGCATGTCAGTCCTTTTAAAAACTGGGGTCTGCTGAGAAAAATATATGTGCTCATTTTTATGCTTTCATCTCAATCAAGCATTTTCATTTTATATTTTGTAGATATTTATCATTCATGCTCCATCAGAACTTCATTCATGTAGATTTTCAGAGTTATTTGCCCCTGTCAATTTTTTAGAGTTATCTCCCTCCATAATTTCCGGTTTAAAATAATAGAAAACATGAGCGAGAAAATTAGTCGTTTTGAGGCCTTGGAACAACAGTTAGAGCTTTTTATAGAAACAACCAGACAAGTAGGAATAATTGTGAGCGATGTGCAACCAAATAGCCAAGCCGTTTTGAATAAAAAGTTGTAAGTAAAAATTGCACATCCTCATCCGTGCCCGGAAATTTAGAAACGATCCTGGTAAACTTATCGATCCTTTAAATAAACTTATTCTAAAAGGTTATCAATTCAACACTGTAATTAGTTCATTAAATATTGTTTTTATTGGTACTAATATTGATTTTGTTATCAGTAAATTAAAAGCAAACTAAATATTATTGTTATATACATATACACATTCATGGATCTACAATCTGTCGATACCTGTATCTTGGAATTGCACAAGGTCATGTTTTTCTCTGACTGTTTATGACGTCTTTACACTAAATTCATTGGATGTAGGATGTGTACGAATTGATAATTTAGTCTTAGATGCATGATTTTTTTTTTTTTATTAATTGTTAGTGGCTTTGAACTAGCTATCAGTAACTGCGAGTACTCTCAGATCCCTACTTGGTGTCTTTTTGTTGTTTGGATGTACAAGTACCCGGCCACGTCCACTTGTATTTGTATTATTTGTATTTTTATCCATCTGATGAGTTAAGCCTCTTTCAACTGATTTTTATAGTCGTTCTTATGTTGTACTGTTACACCACTGTCCCAGGTTAGGGGGAGGGTTGGGATCCCACTAACATGTTTAACCCCGCCACATTCTGTATGTATGTGCCTGTCCCAATTCAGGAGCCTGTAATTCAGTGGTTGTCGTTTGTTTATGTGTTACATATTTGTTATTCGTTCTTTTTTGTACATAAATTAGGCCATTAGTTTTCTCGTTTGAATTGTTTTACATTGTCATTTCGAGGTCTTTTATAGCTGACTGTGCGGTATGGGCTTTGCTCATTGTTGAAGGCCGTACGGTGACATATAGTGGTTAATTTCTGTGTCATTTGGTCTCTTGTGGAGAGTTGTCTCATTGGCAATCATACCACATCTTCTTTTTTATATGAATTACATTAGGTGACACTCCGTCATGATTTATCGTTCGTAATCTTAAAATAAATGAAGCTGAAACTGTATATCAGAAGAAGAAGAATCACTTTTGGGTGGAAAAGGGGGGGATAAAATTTCTGTACAAAATTTATCATCTAAATTCATTCTTATTTCTACTTGAACTTCTACTTTTAATTTTCGCGACCACCATCAATAAACGGATTATTCAGACACTTTTGGATGAGCATGTAAATAACCTATAAGGAAAAAGGGAGGAATGTGCTATACATAATAATTTATAGAATAGACTGGAAATTTTATTGGGGAATGTGTCAAAGAGACAACAACCCAACCATAGGCATAGAGCAGAAAACTACCCAAGGCAACCAATGGGTCTACAACATAGCAAGAAAATCCATCACCCAAGGCAGGCTTCATCTGGCCCCTAAACAATAATGTATACTATATGTATAGCTAGTTCAGCAATATGGACACCACACTAAACTCTGAAACATACAATTAAATCAAAATTTAAAATCATGCATGACTAACAAAGGCTTGAGTTTCCTGACTTGTGACAGGCGAAAATGGGCAGGATTATAAATGTTTTGTGAGATCTCAATTCTTGCCAATGTGGAATAATCAAAACACAGTGAAACACAAAATAAATTAACAAGTTTTAAAGAAGTTTGAATCTGATTTAAGAGTAGGTAACAGATTGTACATGTATATAAAGTGAGGTTAAAAGCATCCTAAGCAGTGGTCTAGATCGTCTCATGTTAAAAAAATGTAGGTGAGTCTTGATACATGTACATTCAAGACTAACAGCACTGGTGGCGGCATGTGATAGGGCCATGCTTTCCAATCTCTAATATTGTTCTTGGGTAAAAAGATTCTTTCTTCACTTCTGTTTTACACAATGGTACTTGGAAACCGTTGATGTGTAAATGTACATGTATGTTATGTGATAGTCTGTCTGGTTGAGTGAGAATGTTTTCTGTGCCAACAATGACCATCCTATTGGCAGGTTTGTACATCATTGTGAGTCTGGATATTTTTATTTTATCTTCAAGGGTTTTCCCTTCAAGTTGGTTAAGCATGTAAGTAACAGATGAGGTTTTGTGATAACTGTTAGTGACATATCTTGCTGCTTTTCTTTGTACTGTTTCCAGCCCGTGTTTGTTGTTCTGCTGGATAGGGTCGAAGACTGTATGTATACCACTAGTTTGTCTAACAAGAGATTTGTACATGTATGCAGTTTCCTTTTAATGGTGTTGTTAATATTGAGGTTCTGTTTCAGAAATCCTATGGTCTTCTTTGCCTTATTACATATTATGATTTTCCATTTCATGTCTGAACTGATGGTACAATCAAGGTACTTTGCAGACCCAGTATTGGTCTCATTGTTTAATTTGTTTTCCTGTCTAATTTTATATCTCTACTTTTCAGTTGATAATACAGAATGAACATTAACCCTGTAATTCTTTTTACTAATATTGTTTTTATACGCCCCTTTAGGGGACGTATTATGGTATACCGTTGTCTGTTAGTCGTCAACATTTCCGACAATAACACTAAAAAAGCTTAATCCAATTTGCATGAAACTTTGATGAATTGTTTATATCTATAAACGTTAGATCCCTTTCGATTTTTATGAATTTTAGATTTTATATTTCAAAGTTATGGGTTTTTTTTCATTAAAAAAGGGGTATTTTCCAGTTTTCGGACAATAACTCAAAAAATGCTTTGACTAGTTTCATGAAACTTTGGTGAATTGTTTATATCTATGGACATAAGCTCCCTTTGGATTTTTATAAATTTTAGTTTTAACGTTTCCGAGTTATGGTTTTTGATTCATAAAAAAAGGGGTGATTTTCCAGTTTCTTGACAATAACTCAAAAGTGCTTTGAGCAGTTTTCATGAACATTTGGTGACTGGTTTACATCTATTAAAACAACCTCCCTTTAGTTTTTTATAAATTTCTGATATGACATTGAGGAGTTATTGAACTTTATTCTTTGAAAAAGGAACAGGCGTATCATGCGCTCATATCGCAGCTGTTTATTTATAATATTATTATTATATTGACAATACTCAGTTATATTTTTAGTAAACTAAACAAGGGAACTTAAGGTTGAATTGAGATGTTAAAACTGATATATGGATTATTTTAAGATCAACTCTGTCAAAATTAATAAGTTTGTGGAAGTAGAACATACATGTTCATGATAATGTCTGTCATTAACAAACATTCTGTAATTGTAAAATATATTAAAAGTATATATTTGTAAACAGTTTTTTTTTTTTTTTTTTTGAAATTACTTTTATGTTTCTTTTGCAGAAATGAAATGATCACAGGAATGCAGGAAGTAGACAAAATGAAGTCACAGATGGCCGATATCAGTGTTCCATTGGAGGTTTTTGAGTAAGGATTAAGTATATCATAAAAAATCATAAGAGGCAGTATTTGTCAAATACAACATAGAAAAATTTTGTACATTGTTTTGTACATGCATTACAACAACTGCATGGTTTACAGACCATGACAGAGTACATTTACAAGTTAATTTGACAAAGAGTATTTTATAAAAACTTTTGCTTACATACTTATAGTACATGTAGCATTAATATGTCAGATACAGGTACATGCCATGCTTTTCAAAAATTCAACAAATGAGAACTAACAACTTAACTTCTTCCCGTTTGTTCAGTATACATGAGTATATGTTTGTACAAGGATAAAAATGAATACTGACACTAACTGATGGATAATATCAGCATTGATATATTTGAATTATTTTTAAATTTTCTAATTGTTTTCAGTTACATTGATCAGGGTAAGAATCCCAACCTTTATACTAAGGACTGTTTGGAGAAAACATTGGCCAAGAATGAACAAGTCAAAGGAAAGATTGATAATTTAAAGGTAATGTTTAAGAAAATCATATAAAAATAAGAAGATGTGGTATGATCATGATGATTGCCATTGAGACAACTCACCACCAGAGACCAAATGACATAGAAGTTTACAACTATAAGTCAAGTACAGTCTACAACAATGAGCAAAACCCATACAGTTTAGTCAGCTATAAAAACCCTGAAAAAATAAATGTAAAACAATTTAAAAGAGAAAATAATGGGCTGAATATGTAAAAATTAACAGTTTTTGATACTTCTGCACAGTATACATATTATTTTTTTTTTTTTTTAAATGTAATTTTGATACGATATTGTAAAAATATTTCATCAGTATCTTATGCTTGTGGAAGTAATTGAGTAAGATTTGGTACAAGTTGGGCATGAATATCAATGTGGGTTTTTTTTTTTAAATAAATGAGGATCTCGCTGTGTAAACAAGCCAGACTGGTTAACTAGAGACACAGAAAGACATTCCCCTCTCACAATTTGGTTTTCCCAGTTCTCAAAAGAAATATCATGTTGATGTGCAATTTAATCAGTTTGGCTGGATCACATTTCAACATCAGCTATGCCATGAATGCTTTGATTGTCGTCAGTAATACATGTATTATTGAGTTAAGTGCTTTTGAGGAATTGATTAGTAATGTTAGTTCTTCTCTGTAACATCTTTGTTATTTAACTGATTGATATAGAAAGGTTTGGTAGGTGGGGGTGGGGGTGTGTTAACAATACTGTTTAAACCTACAAAGTGGTAATAATTTGCCTTTCCCTAGTCTGGTACCCTGTCAGTGAGTCAGTAGATTTCTTTGTTTTGTTCGTAATGGTATTTGATGTTGATGGCATATCTTTGGAAGTCTATAAAATATTCATATCTAGTCCAGAATCCTGACAATAGAGGGTTAACATTCACTTATCAGTTGTTGAATACAGTATGTTGAAATTCTAGTTGTCTCTTGGTATCTAGAGGAAAGATTGCACAAGCAAAAGCCTATTGTAACTGGCTTGATATTTTAGACCACATCTGTGGTAAACATTTTTTAAATCATATCCATGCCCATGTCAAGCAATTATTTAATAATGTATTTTATTTAAGATATTCAAGTTCCAAAATGATTTGAATATGGATAACCGTACTTGTCAAGAACTATTTTATTAAAGATTACATAAGTTGCAAAAAGTAATGTATGTTCTATGATTCTATCTGATCTGCCTACAATTATGGACAAAGGGAGATAACTCAATTCAAAATCTTGCCTAAACCTTCTATTTCCTTATTAGATATACAATGCAAAGTTAAATTTTAAGTTCAGATTTACTGTGCAAGTTTTTTCGGCTAATTTCAATAAAAACCACTAAGTTTTCATTTGAATGGTTAGATGCATTACTGATTCTTTAAGCATTATGGAACTTTTTACTGCATATACATGATTATACATTTTCTGAAATTAAAAAGAAGTCTGTTTTTTGTTTTAATTTGCATTTTTTAAGCCATGATTTAGATGAATGAAAAGGAATTTTATTCAAAGTTTATTTCAGTAGACCTAATTGACAGTAATGATGATAAATATATAAACTAATTGGATTTGCTTTGACTTATCTTATCCTATAAAATATGTACAGCTTAATTTGCTGCACTTGTACTTTTATCCTGTGTAACTTTTTACTGCATATACATGAGATATATGCATTTTCTGAAATTAAAAAGAAGTCTGTTTTTATCAATCTACATTTTTTATGCCACGATTGAGATGAATGAAAGACATGTTATTCAAAGATTTTTTCAGTATAAGTAATTTAATTATGATAAACATATATAAAACTAACTTACTGGATTGATTTCAGAGATTCAAAGCTAGTTTACTGGTGGAGTTGACAAAAGTTTTTCCAAATGAGATCAACACTTATAGAGCCCTAAGAGACGACCAACCAACCTGAAATTTGTTATTTTGTGACAAGTGTTAACTAGGAAAGAAATGTTGCAGGCTTGATATTAATCATCAGATTAACAGTTTGCAGAACAGATTTTTGTGAAGCTTTGAGTGAATGGATCTGAATTGTGAAATAAATATGTACCTGATGTTATGTTTGATAGCTATTGGATGATTATTTTGCCTACAATTTTATGTGAAACATTGCGCTGCTGAAGATGGAGAAGTATCATTTTCCAGTTGAATTATAGGATGTGTTTTTCGAGAATCATTGATACTTTTCCTTGTGTCAGTTATAGTAATATCATCATTTAAAATGAGTTGAGAGCTACAATGTATTCAGGGGCTTAATAATAAATCAATGTACTATCAACAACTTTTTTTATACGCCAAAAAATCTTCTATCTTATTTTGTTTTATACTTTTGTCATTAATTAATGCTTTCTCATGCATTTTTCAGAGGCGGATTTAGAGGGTCTTCCAGGGGGCCCGATCCCCCCCCCCCCCCCCCCCCCCTTTTGTGGGAAAATTTGGTTGATTATTTAGGGAATCACTGAAGCATGACTGGAGCGGGCCCCTTCTTAGGTAGTCAGTGGGCCCCCTTATGAAAATTTTTAGATCCGCCACTGTTTTTATATATATTTTTTCCAATAATTTTTTATACGCCCGTTTACGGGACGTATTATGGTATAACGTTGTCCGTCCGTCTGTCCGTCGTCAACATGTCGGACATTAACTCAAAATTGCTTTAACCAATTTGCATAAAACTTTGGTGAATTGTTTATATCTATTGACGTGAGCTCACTTTCGTTTTTTATAAAATTTAGATTTTACGTTTCCGAGTTATGGTGTTTTATTCATTAAAAAAAGGGGGATTTTCCAGTTTTCGGACAATAAGTCAAGAATGCTTTCACCAACTTGCAAGAAATTGTGGTGAATTGTTTATATCTATTGACATGAGCTCCCTTTCGATTTTTATAAATTTTAGATTTTAGGTTTCCGAGTTACAGGGTTTTATTCATAAAAAAAGGGGATATTTTCCAGTTATCGGACAAAAACTCAAAAATGCTTTCAGCAATTCTTATGAAAATTTTGTGAATTGTTTGTATGTAATGATGTAAGCTCCCTTTAGAATTTTATAAATTTTACTTTTTATATTTCTGAGTTATGGGGTTTTGTTCATTAAAAAAAGGGGTGATTTTCCAGTTTTCGGACAATAACTCAAAAATAATATGTCAAATATTTAATTACAATCCAAATTCAGACCTGAATCAAGCTTGAATATCGTGTCCATTTTTGCCCCAACTGTTCAGGGTTGGACCTCTGAGGGCGTACCTAGCTGCGCTCAGCGAAGCAGTTTATTATAATTGGACAACAAAGCTGTACATTTTACAAATGGGGTTAGCTATATAAAGATAAGAAGATGTGGAATGATTGCCAATGAGACAGAGACCAAATATCGAGTGTAGGATTTCTGGTCCTTTCCATTATTCTCAGTGTCAAATATTAAATTGAGGCCTTAAATAGAGAAATTATCAGCTCTAGTACCTTTAAAGATGTAGAAGTTATTGTTCATTAACACATTGTGCAACTCGGCTTATCCTGAATATGCATGAAATATTTGTCACTAGACATTTTGCAAGCAGCAATCATTCAATCAACTGAATCAGAATTTTAAAACCTTATGCCATTTCAACAGTACATAATAATTAACAAGAAAATGACATTTGATTATTAAACTAATCAAAACAACTTTTGGTTATTGTTTTATTTCATTTATTCAAGTACTCTAAATCTACAACAAAATATCTGTTTCTGACTACATGTATAATAAAAAAAAATCGTCTAAGGATACTTCAACGAAATGTATCAGGAAGTGTATTAAAATTTACTTTTATTATCCTCAGTAAATTTGTCCTTCTTTCTATTATATTGTAACAAAAACTGTATCTTGAATATGCACTTTGCAATTCAAAATCAGAAATTGTTCTAAAAACATAATTTCCATGATAAGGATGAGACTGGCCATCTGCCTGAATCTGCACCTGCAGCCATAACAGTTTGAGGTCAACTTTGACCTAGGGAATTGCAATTTGTTTAAAGTTTTGATAGTTTAAAACTTTGTAAGAAGTGTCATATCTATTCATCACTGGAATTATGATTTGAAGATGTACTAATTATTCTCATGAAATCATGAGTCTATGTGCATATTCAACAAAGGACACTCTCCAACATTGTAGACGAGAATAGAATTCATGACAGAAATCTCTGTTTTGTTGATCTTGTATTGCTGACCATTAAGTCTGTTTAGCTTCTCGCTATCTTTATTTTTTGCTCAAAACACAAGAGGGTAAAAAAAACCCTCATTTTAGAGCAATCACTCCTGTAATCTATCATTTGCATTAATCATGACATAAAATCATTATGTAAATTATATTAGTTGTATGATTTTAGTGGTCTTCAAACAATAACCTTTTCACATAAAAAAATATATAGTACTATTCTTTTAAAAGAAATATAAATTTTTACAAAGAACTTACAGAGAAATAATAATAGTAAGGAGATACCCTTCATCACTACAGATAAAACCAGGTACCCGGGAATGATTCAGTAAATACTGTTGAATATATTATACTTGTTTTTCTTCTTTCTTTCCCTTAGTTCGTCGTAAAACTGTTATTTTTCCTTCTGAACATGTACGGTATGCTTCAAACAGTGATTGAATTGTTCCTTTTTGGTCGATTATGCTTGTCGGCATAGGCATGATGTAATGATAGAATTGTAAAATGTTATTAATTTTAATAGAATTTTCGTTTCATTTTTTTACCAATTTTTACGTATATTGGTATGACGTCGTCGTCTTCATCTGAAGACACATTGGTTTTCGCACAATAACTTTCTATGAAATTTTAACATAAGGTTCAATACCACAAAAGGAAGGTTGGGATTGATTTTGGGGGGTTATGGTACCAACAGTCAAGGAATTACGGGTAAAAAATAAGCATTTTTGTAACTTCCAGACAATAACTTGTGTTTAAGTGTATGGATCTCTCTGAAATTAAACCACAAGTTTCCATACCACAAAGGGATGGTTAGGATTGGCTTTGAGGGGTTATGGCTCAAACCGTTTAGGAATTAGGGGCAATAAAGGGGAAACAAGGGCTTCCTGGCTAATGGACAATTTAAAAGCAGTGTAAGGGAGGTAATCCAAAAACAAATGTTGGATTACCTCCCTTACACTGCTTTTAAATTATCTATTTAAGACTTTTATGATGTATTTAAATTGGTAATTATGGTTGCAAACTCCATTGGAAATTTGAATTGAGATTATGACCACATCTTTTTTTTTTTGGGGGGGGGGGGGGTCAGTTGGCAACAGCTTAGTGTATTGCACAAAAGCAAAAAATTGAATATAAATTCAAATCATATAACCAATTCTAAGTTCTTTGACTACAGTTATTCTGTGTCAGAAACCTATTATGTGTCAAATATTTAATTACAACCCAAATTCAGACCTGTATCAAGCGCGAATATTGTGTCCATTTTCGCCCCAACTGTTCAGAGTTGGACCTTTGCGGTCGTATCCAGCTGCGCTCAGCAAAGCATTTTATTCATGATTATCAGAATCAGTTTATGCGTCGTTTTTTAAGCTATATTTTTTCGGTTAAATTTCCTTTAGTTATAATTACAAGATGACATTTTGATAATTCTTAAACGACAGTATTTGATAAAAAAAAAACTGTCACCAATAATAACAAATACAACAGTACTGCTTAATAACAAAACGACATTTTATTAGTTTTAAGAACTGGCCATCTTCCATGGAGTTGGTGTTTGCTTCATCTACCTGAAAAAGAAAAAAAATACGGTAAGAAATTACATTGTTCCAAAGCAAACACAAATACGTGAATGAGGTATGTAGTATCCGGGAATTGTTTGTCATATCAGGAATAGGTTGCAATAGATATGCTTACCAAAGAAGTGTTGTCATCTCAACAATTAATAAGAACATCTTAATAATTGTGGAACTATAATGTCTACCATGGAGTTAAGAAGGATAATAAATAAACTGAAGAAGGCCAGTGCATGGCCGAAACGTCTTAAAAAATTGTTTAAGTACTAAAATAATGTAATATATATATATAGTATAAGGAATTTCATGTGAATCATCTGAATAACTGATTGCAATTAACAAGGAAATGTAAGCAGTTATTTTTGTGGTATGTTTACCATCTTCGTTATTTGCAATAGCGCCGCGGCTAATACATTCCACATATTTTCATAGCTGCGAACCGTCTCTTTCGTCTTGTATTGATTGTTGATTTGTATGCACCGTCTATCCAATAAAGTAAATCCATTGGGATTTTTTGTGTCAGTTTACTTACCAAAATAGTTCTGTAATACCCTAACGTCTTTGTCCACTTCCTCCAGTGACAAGATATCCTCTGATATTACTTTTCTTATTTTCCACAATTCCCTGTCTGTAATAGAATTCAAACAGTTATATATTTCAAATGTTCACAATGGTTAATAGATTTTAGATTGAAGTCATGCAGGTATTGCATTGTATCAATTATAATGTCAACATACTTGAAAAGAAAAAAAGAGATGCAACTAAAATACATAAGGAGCATTTTGCGGTCTATTACATGATTTTGGAAAAGGGGAAAGGTAAGTCTCAAAATAATTCTGTATGGGGATGTAAACAAATTGTACTAGAAAGATATCAATAAAAGGAGAAGTGGGGTGAAAGTCACTGAGACAGGAACCTATCCACACAAAATCCAAACGATTGAAGAAAGTATCTGCATCTGTCCAAAGGCAATAACTAAGTCATGTGTTTGTTTTTGTTGGTTCTTTTAAAAATCTATTTATTAATAGCAATGCATTTTTCCAAATATTTCTATTTTCCAGGGCATAACTCACAAATAGTTGATCGACACTTTCAAGACCTTGTTAATCTAAGCATATGGACAAAGAGACATAACTCCTATTAAAGTAATAGATCAGTGCTGATTTTCAAACTCACCCGATATATTGCTTAAAAGTAAAATAACAAAAATACCGAACCCCAAGGAAAATTCAAAGCGGAAAGTGCCTTATATACACATTTGATATTAATTTCATAACAATCATTCAAGAAATGTAGGTGTTAGTACGAGTGTGCTTACAATGCAATTCATGTATAATTAATAATTCTGAGGGGCATAACTCTTTTAAAAATAATTGTCGGCACTGATTTTCGAACTTGTCCGGCGAAATGTTGATGATGTAAACCTTTGATATAAATTTTATAGATATCTTGCAAGAATTGAACACAATAGAGCGCTTACAAGACTGGACAGACGGACGGACGGACGCTGGGTATTTCTTTGTCCCCGTAACATCGTGCGCCAGGGGCAATTAGGACATGATTGGATTTTTACGAGTAAACATTTCAATTCTAAAAAATAATTATGCCATTATTTTCTAATTTTTTGGCGAATATGAAATTGTGTTTTTAACATCTAGTAATTACAGCTCAACTTCATGCTGCTTAATTGTATGCACTAAAGTCAACACTAGATGCTTATTGACCTTGCTTTAAAATTTGAGCTTTTTAATTAATATCTAACATCTCCAAACAAACTTTTAAATGAAAAAAGTAACAAATGCATGCTCGAAAACTTTTGTCACGTGTTCTTCAAACTCATTTTCTTTTGCTTCCTATGGCGAGTGGTGTCACATAAAAGCATGTATATATAATGATTATTCATTTGAGATGTTGTTACATTTACCTACAAATCCTTTAGCCATAGTGAGTTGGACCTGTGTTCCCTGCTCGGCAATGTGCATCTTTCCATTAAGAACGTCTACATCAAAACGACTTATACATGAGTGTTCTTTCGTCCAGTTATGTCTTAAAGTCTGGAAGTCGTATTTAATATTTTTGCATACCGGTACTTTTTCATTTACAATCATTCTACTAGCTCTTTGGAATCTATCATGTACACAAGTTGATTGCGATTCTAGATTGGAAAACTTGATTTCCACATCTGAAATTAATAAGCTATATTACATTTATTTGCTAACCCTTCCGGACCAATTAAAATCCGCTATGGCATTGCCAGTTTGTTTTCGACTTATGAGTTTGAATATCCGTTTGGTATCTCTTGTTTCTCTTTTTATTTAAGGAATGACTGTAATATTTTTTCTGTCTAGATGAAGAAATAACATCAAAAATGTGGTGCACACTGAATAACCCGCGTAGCGAGTTATTTTAAAGTGTGCACCACATTTTTATGTTATTTCGAAAAAATATTACAGTCATTTCTTACAATTTTATTCTTAATTCCTTTTAAACAGGAGTAAATCATGAAAAAACGTTGATGACGTCAAGGTCACATGACAAAATTATGTTATTTCGAATAGACAGAAAAAATATTACAGTCATTTCTTATAATTTTATTCTTAATTCCTTTTAAACCGGAGTAAATCATGAAAAAACGTTGATGACGTCAAGGTCACATGACAAAATTATGTCTATGAGCTGATAAACAAAACAACGTCAGCCAATCGGAAGACGTGTTACATCCAAAATTGAATTATTTACTAATATCTGTATTTTCATACGAATTTTGTGTTCAACGTCTTATCATTAATAAGCATGAAATATTTCCCACACTAAGACGTTTCGCAAACAACAAACAACAGTTAAATGAAATTTACTAGGGTTTCAATATTTCTAATATAAAAATAAGAAGCCGGATGTGGTACAGTTACCAATGAGACAACTCTCCACCAGAGACCAAATTACATAGAAGTTAACACCGTACGGCCTTCAACAATGAGCAAAACCCATACCATTTTTGCGCCACATCATTTGTGGTGCGAAAGAAAAAGAGACTGATTGTACTACCGAGAACTAATACAAATGAATTATACTAGGATGTACTAATATAATTTTGATTTTACTATCCGGGTTTATGATAATGATAAATTGTTCTAACTGTATTTTTTAGAAGTTGTGCGTTTATTTAGTCTATGAAGAGTTGACAACATGTATACTATATGTATTTATCAAATTATCTGACTGTTTGACATCTAAGGACCAGGGCCCGTATGTATAAACCCACTTAAGTTAAGAAATCCAATCGTAGTACTAATTTATCGTTGGACACGTAGAAAAATCCATCTGTTCGGAACAAATTTTAACTTAAGTAGCTTTATGCATACGGACCCAGGCATAATAATAAACAATAAATCAGCTGTTTACCTCTATAAAACTTAGGGATTTTCATTACTTGGTCATGGTAACTTCTGCATTTTTTCATAAACAAATCGAATTCTGAAATTTAAGAGTAAACAATGGTTCATAATGGTGTTCAAAATGTTTGGTCTTCAGTGCCATTCTGATAATGTGGTCATTGTGTTCCATTTATCATATGCTATTGTTGTTGTGCAACTAATTTTGGTTTGATTTATTGATTGATTGATTGTTTTGTGTTAAACGCCACTTTCAGCATTATTCTGTGGCGGTCCGTTTTTATTGGTGAATGTGGCCGGAGTGCTCGGAAAGAACCAAAGGTCTACGGTATGAAAACTGACAATCCAAGTCAATTAAGATAGTGATACAGTAGTTGAACGTGTTAGACCACTCGGCCACCGATGTCCCTATTTTGGTTTGCATTTTCAGAAGGCGAGTAACAGTTTTCCACAGATATCTTCTTATTGAACGTGATGGTGGTGGTCATCGTTGTTTATTTTTTAAATAATGTTGTCTAATGCAGGTCATTTGTCGTAATCTTTGATTTATTTCAAATTGATTTTTTAATGACTGTGATTACCTATGGTGAGAGACCTTTAGATAATTAATTTCTTGTCTGTGGTGAGTGACAGACAGTTAGATGATTAATTACTTGTCTGTGGTGAGTGACAGTAAGATTATAATTCCTTGTCAGTTTGTCTATGATGGGTTGCTGTTTCATTTACAAGATCATTTTTGGCGAAGTAAATGCTCTTCGTAATAACTTATGATAATGATTTCACATCGCATGAATACTATTTCAGTAGCCACCCTCAACAGGTACGATTGAGATCAAAACGTTTAATTTTACATCATCAACAGCTAGGATTGAGATCAAAATGTTTAATTTTACATCAGGTTTTAAGAAGAAGAAAAACAAAAACATGAAATGACAGCACTTGATTTAATTGGTGAAATGAAGCGGTCCATAAGTTGAATAATGACCATATTTTCAAATAAAAAGAACTTCAGTCAGTAAAATAATTGTTATACATTGGTGTTTAGTTTCCATTTAATTTTTACCTTCCTCGTCTCGCCACTGAACAAACAACTGATATAACATGCAACACATAAAACCAGTAATAACACATACTGCTATTGCATCCCTCCGTATGCTGCTTTCTTTTACACTAGGAAACTGTAAAAAACGTTAAGTTTTCATTCTTTATGATCTTTTAGAGCTATTTTCCTAATGCTTGTAGTTTAAAGGTTTGGTTGGCTTGCTTGCTTTGTTTGTATAAATGCACTATTAATCATGTACTTTTTGCGGAGTAAAATTCTGAAAAACACAGAAACATGTACTTTTGTGACTTTCTGAAAAACACAGAAACATGTACTTTTGTGACATTCTGAAAAACACAGAAACATGCACTAGTACTTTAGTATATTCTGATAAAACACACTTATAGTCATGTACTTTTGTGATATTCTGTCATAAAGAAACCCAACCATGTATTTTCATAACATTCTGACAACCACAGAAACATGTATTTTAGTACATTCAGACAAACAAAGAGCATGTTACATTCTGAGAAACACATACACTTGCGCTTTAGTATATATTCTGACAAACACAGAGTAAGTAAGTAAGGAGTAAGTAAGTAAATGTTATTAAGGTCAGCATATATGTACTTAAACAGAGAAGAATTAGGATGATGTCATTTAAGCCGGGGTGCGAAGAAACTCAACAAATTAATTCAAAACTATTCAGTCTTTAGAATTGTTTCTGTTAAGGCCAGCAACGCGGCGTCGGTGGACATTAAGTGTTACCATTGTCCGTCCGTCCGTCCGTCCGTACGTCCCAAAGTTTTTTTCCGTTCTCTTAAATTAGTTGGCCTCAACCAAATGTTATGAAACTTATACACAACGCTACCACAAAACACAGATCACGTTCAAATTTTGGTTGCATTTCTTTTACCGTTCTTGAGTTATCATTTTTATAATATCCCTTTATAATGTGATATGCAAGCGGGGCATCATCTGTGTCCCATAGACACGTACACTCTCCGTCGATAGTATTATAATTGAAGGGGTCTGCGTAAACTATCATAAAATATAGTAAACACTTGAGGTACCTACCTGAATGGAGTTGAGTTCTTGATTAACCATTTTGGAAACAATCTGTGATTCCGTTCTATAAAAAGAGAATACGAGGAGGGTTTATAAAATATGGCTTCATCTCAAATATCGTTTAATTGTTGTATAAAACATAAATCTGTTTATAGAACTCCCTGTTAAACTTTATACGCAACCTTCACTCTTAAAGTGGTCCTTTAAGTATATATGTAACAGTAAATTTGGTCCGGTAGTAAAATTTGTCCGCCAGACTTTTTTTCCTAGTTAATCAAGTCCATGACCATTATTTTACTAGGAATTTAAGTCCCAGGACAACTTTTCCTAGGAAAATAAGTCCATACCTAGTAAAATATGTCTGGCACTTATTTTCCTAGGAAAAATTGTCCTAAGACTTGTTTTTCTAGTAATTTTTATTACATTTTAAAAATTATTGAAAATAAAAAAAACATTTTCTTAGGTAAGATTGGAAAGTTTCATTAATTTGTTCCTATTAAAATAAAAGGACATGGCCGGACGTTATAACCTAGGCATGTTAATTGGACATAATGTCCTAGGAAAATTAGTCTGGGGACATAAATTTTATTAAAATATTAATACACAACTCTAAAACAATATTAAAACATAACATTTAAATTTAATTTCAAAATAAAGGGAATGGACGTTTTTACCTAGGAATATTAATGACATGGACATGATTTCCTAGGAAAATTAGTCTGGGGACATAAATTTTATCAAAGTATTAATGCACAACTCTTAAACAATATTAAAACATAAAAATTGAATTTCCATTGTTAACATGTAAATAATTTGTTTCATTAAAATTTTCCTTTTAAAATAAATGGCATGGACGTATTTACCTAGGAATATTAATGACATGGACATGATTTCCTAGGAAAATTAGTCTGGGGACAAACATTATATTAAAAAAAAATTGATACACAACTCTTAAACAATATTAAAACATAACATTTATATTTACCTTTTAAAACAAAGGGCATGTGGACGTTTTTACCTAGAAATATTAATGACATGGACATGATTTCCTAGGAAAATTAGTCTGGGGACATGAATTTTATTAAAAATATAAATACACAACTCTTAAATAATATTAAAACGTAATATTTAAATTTCCAATATAGTTTAAATGTAAATGATTTGATTCATTAATATTTTTCCTATAAAAAAAAGGACATGGACGTTTTTACCTAGGAAATTTAATGACATGGACTTGAATTCCTAGGAAAATTAGTCTGGGGACATAAATTACTAACATCGGTCTAAATATACTAGTAAATTATGTAACCATGGACTTTTTATACTAGTTATATGTGTCCGCCCGGACATATTTTACCAGGACAAATTTATCTCTTACATATATAGGAAGATGTGGTATGAGTGCCAATGAGACAACTCTCCATCCAAGTTACAATTTATAAAAGTAAACCATTATAGGTCAAGCTTTAAAACATATTTTACTAGTGAAAGAAACATTATTTTTTCAAAAGTTCTCATTTATTATCAACTTTTTCTTATCTACATCACTAGTGTCAATTAACTTAGACTATAAGATAATCTTACTTCAAATTACATAATGACTGATTCTCGATCCATTGATTACAAAACAGGGTAATCAAAACGTTCACCAACAAAACTACGCCTGCCATGTTAGGTTACTAATCGATCCTGTGTGCCGTTGCTACGTGCATGACGTCATATTAAGTGTAGTATTGCGGAGCATGTACGGAACGGATATGAACTCTGCGCCGGAGATTGCCGTGCAACTAGACATCGGGTAACGTCACTAACATCAGAGACTATCTATTTAAAATTTTCACAGATTTTATATTCATTTTTAGCTTCATAAATGACGATTAAATAATTTAAAAACATTCAAATACAAATTATGCATTGTATAAAATTTGTTAACATTTTGAAAGAATAATAAAGTCTACCTATTTGTTCATACAACTTATATATTTACTACTGATTGCTTACTGGCATTAACAGAGCATCGGAATAAATATAATTCATATAAAAGACTGAAAGAAAAGGAATCTTTAACAAATAAATACCGTTAAGACTTTGAAAGAAATTATTCTTTAAAGAAATTACTACTACTACTCCTCCTTCATTTTCAAACGGACACTGTTGAATTATACACCCGTCATACATGTAACTGGTGGCTATTCAAGGAAGGAGACACTAAGGTACTAAGGAATCATCGTAAAGCCCATTGCATCATGACAGACAGATTTTGACAGTTATTTTAAGAATATCTACTTCACATTAACCTTATTGACTTTTGCTTAAATTAAGAATAACAGTAGTGTACCAATGGATGTTCATATCTTAAAAATCCATCAAGAAGATACAAATCAAGGAAAAAACACGCCGCCGTGCAAATCACAATCACTCGAAATGTCACAAAAGGGAATTTTGGACACAATTGGTAAATACAGGTCAGACCTATTCTGTTATCTTAAACCACGAAAACATGTCGCTATTGAGTTGAGACACAGAAATATTGTACCAGTCAACTAATTCATGATGGTGACCGTAAAACTTATCGATTTCAGTCGGGTTTTTTTTTTCCTAATTACTCTGTAGGAGCAGTTTTTTGAGTCTGGAGCAAACTACTGCATATTTTTCAGTTGGTGCCACTTTACAAATATCAAGATACTTCAAGTTCTATTGCCAAGTTAATTTGACTGCTTCGACCCAGGCTCTTGTTTTTTTTTTAATAACCGATACAAGCTTTATCAATTATATATTTTTATTTATCCCGTTGTCTAAAAACAATGAACACGAGACCGCTTCTCATATTTCATCGGTTGCTGCTTTTGAAATTTGAAATACAAAAAAATAATTAGATAGAATATTAAAGATTAATATGTCGCTAATATGACAACGAAAATCATTATAAAATGATATATACTTTTGACTTAGTTTTTTTTAGATTCTGTCAAAGTATTGGAATCCGATATTTTGCGTCTTTACCTCAAAAATTCGAAATCATATACTGAAATATATCGAGCCATGAAGGCATATTTTTTCTTTCCATATTGAGTGAGTGCATATCATATTTAAGTCATAACTTCGTCGAAAATTCAACGTCAGATGGTCTTCTGTATCATATCCAAAATTTATGAGAAAAGATTTAACAAGTTGCTTTCTTTAAAAAGAAATGCAGTCGTGAACCTAAATGCCTGTTTGGTATATAAAGATGTATGATTTACCTCATTGTTATATAAGACGTAGAAACACTGAAATGGTTTCTTAATGAAACTGCTGTCCAAATTATGTACGGCATAATTTTCCTGTTATAGAAATCATTTCTCTCTCTCTCTCATCTGATAGATAACATTACAAGGTGTTGAATAGGAGGAAACCACTGCATGTTTCATTCTGATGTGCTATTTTGAAAATTAGAGGTAGCTCCCTGGCTAAAGTCGACATGTAAATTCTTTTGAAAAAGTTCAATAAAATGAATCATGATTATTTGCTTTTGTAGCCAGCTTGAAAATAGTTCAAAACCATGAGCTTTATTCTTATTTGTTAATCCTAACTATAACTGTTCTGGAAAATCAATTACATTGGTTTATATGGTTTGGTCATTAGCTATCATATTCAAGATATGCTTGATCAATTTATTTACACCAGCATGACCAAGGCAATGAACTCCAACCAGGCTTTTAGAGTAGAAAAAGTTTGCAACCACAACTATTTACTTAAATTGTTTTGTTAAAAAATTTGTTCTTAAGTAAATTAGCCAAAATAATTATAATAAAGTTGCTGATTTGTTGCTTTTAAACGATTGTGTGACAGACAGATGGAATTAAGACTAACAGTGCCAATTCACTATAGCTCATTTTCAGTACGCAATTTTAAAATCCTGCTTTTGCAATCGCATGTCCGTTGAATTACGGATATTGTTTTTAAGAAAAATAATTTGTTATTAAGTTGAGCTATTTATTGTTAATGAATACACAATTTTTGTATCGTTTAATTAGTTAAGATATCGTCCTATTTTGTCGCCAAACGCTTTATGCCTCTGTCAACTAGACCCTCTTAGTTCGCTTATGAATACAGATTGCCTCGACTCCTTGAAAACAAATTTACGGAATGTACTGATTCTTCTTTAGGTGGGACATGAAGTTGTGCACCTGAAATTAAACTTCAACTTTTAATTTAGGGGAGGTGTGCGGGGGTGTTGTTTCACATACCAAAAACAAACAAAAAATGACTTTGCCATTTATAACTTAATTTTTAGGAGAGGGTAGTCGAAACACGTGTTACTTGGAAAACTCATTATTATAAAAAAAAAACAAATTAACATACGCATATCTAATTTGATAAAATGATCATGAATAGATAATATTCATCTTACTGTTATTATAAGTCTTTGGGCAATTGCTAATATATTCTCGCAAACCACATACCGGTAGTAATTTATAATAGTTGTAAATGACAGACATAGAGAAATATATAAATCATCTTTTTTTTCTATTTCATTGACCATAAGTTTGAAATAGATAGAGAGTCATCGCCTGAACTCCAAAGAATATCACTCAGTGTCTGTAAATCGTTTCATAACTATAGAATTATTTTAAGGGCTCAAACTACAGGCACTTGTTTCTGTCAATGAGGGTTTACTATCCACACTTGTACGAAAAATCACAAGGTAGCTAACGAAAATTTTCTATGTGTTCGGTTCAACCGATATTTTCTAACACTCCCTTGCATTTCTCACGAATAAACACACATCAGTCTGCCGGTAATTGATTTATCTTTACAATAAAATATGTTTTACGTTTTTGTTTCGACTTAGAACATCGTAACTTTAGGACTATCCTAACACACCTATGTATATATCCTAACTTTAGGACCAACTTGAGGACATATCTTATCTAAGGAGACTTTCGTTAACCTGCCTTAGGACTAAGACGCGTCCTAAGACCATCCTAAGACACTTCCTAACGTCCTAGTCCTAAGACAGCTTCGTTGACACGGTCCGTGGTTGCTATTTCTGTGAGTCGTATTATGTTAAGTTTGTCTCGGTTGTAACCTATGGATTACGGCGAATATAGCTTATGATCGACTTATGTCAGACTGTTGAAGAGTTTTAACAGCAGAACTGATGGCACATTTTAACAGATGATATGTGATCCGCCTACCACCGCAATTCTTGATTCAGTTTTATATAGTGAAAATATTTTCACTTTCTAAATAAAAAAAAATGGCATTGATACTATGAACGTTTCATATTTTAACAGCAAAATTAGTTTAAAACAGTATTTATTATTGAAAAATTATAACAATGAAGTAGTACAGTTTTACATAAAATTCAGATATGGGATTCGGAAACAAGTTTGGAAAACTTTTATAAATCCGCCTCCCGACAGTTAAATTGATGGAGCGTCTTTAAATTTTAGTATGTATGTAATAGATAATGCATATGTTATGGTTTTTCTTGTCGTACAACACACCCCGGGGTGTTTATCAAAGGGGATGCTATGTTTTTTCTTTTTCTTTTTCATTTTCATGACATTTTTATCGCGGAAAAGCAGATTATTTTCAACAGTTTTTAAAGCTATTCAGAATACTAGTAATTGTTTTCTCTCTTTTGTCTGGCAATATAATTTTTTATAAATAGTTAAGAACTAGCACGAAGAAAGCACGAAATCGTGATGCATATACATGCATCACGAAAAACGATTATCCATAGATCAAAGTATGATTTCCAATATAGTGAGAATCAATGTGATTTTCAAAATCCTACACACGAATGTGTTAAATACGGCGTGTTGTAAAAGTGTTGTGTAAAGTTTTACATTATCAAATTCATCTCACATAATGCCCCTTTATTGTAGCGATAAATTAACAAACATTCACATTATTTGTTTCGAAAGTTAAACTATGCGTCACCGACGATTTTTGGTATTTCAGTCTAATAAACAGAAGAAAGGATTTTTTCTGCCTGAAACCTATCAAAAATAGAAAATTAAAAAGTTAAACCCCAATAGGCAACAACACACGATAACTATCAAGTGAATTAAATATTTAAGAAAATTATAGTTTGCTTTTCAATCAGAGAAAATAATGACCTTACAGAGATCATTATGTTATGGTGTAATACCACCATTGTTTTTCCCCTTTTAGTGTTTGTTAAATTTGCACTTTTGTGCAGAATTTATCTTTGTTTCAAATAAAGAAATACTTGGCATGAGTAAAGTTTGATCCTGTCCAGTACTACAGACAAAATTTCACATAACTTTTTATTTGATATAAGAAAATAACCCTCACTGGAAGTTAACCAATCAAATGTTCACCCCTTTTTTCCTGTGTACAAGCTTTAGTAACCACGTAACCTCAAGTTTCCGAAATATTCTATAGAAACATCAAATAAAAAAAGAATGGTGCTTTGAAACACCCAAGATATATGTTTATGACTCAGAATTTTTTTTACTGCAATGAAATGTAGGATTAATTTCCTACAACTGTCAAATTCAAGGGAATATTTTTTTTCGACCCTTTTTCGTATGCAACATTTGGTGGTATTAAACCTTATGCCTTGAAGCAAAGTTCATTGAAACTTGGTATCGTCCGGGTTGATTCTTCAAAAGAAAGACCTTTCGTTCTGAAAGAAAAAAACCTCCATATAGGTATATAAGAATCAAAAAAACATGAACTATAAACATTCTTTTCTGACTTTATTAAAGGGAGATTATCGATTCTCATCCATTATTTATCCAAAACTTGACCGCAATCATCATTATGGTATTTATTTTAAAAACATGTGTCCGATGACACCGCCTGCCAACCAACATGGCCGACATGGCTAAAAATAGAACATAGTGGTAAAATGCAAGTTTGGTCTATGATCTTGAAAACCGCTATGAATGGAGAGAATCTGTCGAAAGCAAAAATGTTCAGAATGATGAGATCTATATATTGTTTTTTTGCTTCAAAACTGTCAAACGACTTCTTATAGGAATTATTGGCCTAAAATGACGAATTTTACCGATCATTTTTCATGTTTGCCTAATATCTGAAACCTATAGTAGATAGAGAGAAACTTTATATATACCAAAAATATCAAGTAGACAAGATCTACTAATAAGTCCACATGGCCGTCGAAATTGTCAGACGGCTCCTTATTGGAGTTATTGCCCTTTATAAAGACGATTTTTATCGTATTTTTGTGCTTTTGCTTAATATCTGATAAACTATTATAATAGATAGATAGAAACTTAAATAAGCCAAAGTGATCAGCAAGACAAGATCTACAAATTAGTTTCAATCTTGAAATCGTCTGACGACCACTTATTGGAGTTACTGCCCTTTGATAATGATTTTTACCATTTTTTGCGTTTTGTCTAATATCTGAAAAACTCAAATAGATAAATAGCAACTTGAATAAGCAAAAATGATCAGCAAGAATTGATCTACAAATAAGTCAAATAACCGAAATCATCAGTCGACTCCTTGTAGGAATACTTGCTCTTTAATGACGATTTTTACTAATATTATACGTTTTACTAACTATCTTAAAAGGTCTATAGACACTTTCTATGGTGCCTAGGGGGAGGGGTCAAAATAGCAGGTGATATTATAAGTAAAGAAAAGGTCGATAGAAATATTTTCTATGGTGCTTAGGGGGAGGGATCATATCAGCAATTGATGTTGTAAGTAAATAAACAGTCAATAGAGACAATTTCTATGATGCCTAAAGGTAGGGGTCATATCAGCAGGTGATGTTATAAGTAAAGAAAGCGCCGATAGAGACGCTTTCTATGGTGCCTAGCAGGAGGGGTCATATCAGCAGATGATTTTATAAGTAAAGAAAAAGTCGATAGAGACGATACTTTCCATGGTGCAAAGGAGAGTAGTCATATCAGCAGGACTGGTGATGTTATAAGTAAAGAAAGGGTCGATAGAGACACTTTCTATGGTGCCTCTAGGTAGGGGTCATATAAGCAGGTGATGGTATAAGTAAACAAAAGAGTCGAAAGAGACACTTTTTATGGTGCCTATAGGGAGGGGTCATATCAGCAGGTGAGGTTATAAGTAAAGGAGGGCCGATAGAGACACTTTCTACGGTTCCTACAGGGAGGAGCTATATCACCAGGACATGTTATAAGAAAAGAAAGGGCCGTCCAAAGTGTCTCTATCGGTTCTTTCTTTACTTAGAACATCACCTGTTGACGTGACCACTACCTTTAGGCACCATAGAAATTGTCTCTATCGACTTTTTCTTTACATATAACATCACCTTCTGATATTATCCCTTTTTATAGGCACCATAGAAAGTGTCTCTATTGACCCTTTCTTTACTTATAACATATCCTGATTATATAACTCCTCCATATAGGCACCATAAAAAGTGTCTCTATCGACCCCCTTTTTTTTACTTTTAACATCACCTGCTGATATTACCCCTCCCCTAGGCACCATAGAAAGTGTCTCTATCGATAGAGAAACTGAAAAGGGTTTATATCAGCAGGGGATGTTATAAGTAAAGAAAGGGCCGATAGAGACACTTTCTATGGTTCACCTTTTACAAAAAATTACCAAAAGAATTGTGTAGAATTATACAATATATTCAACATGTTTAATACTAAGAATTTTTTATCAGATGTACACCATGATGTCATCTTTAATCATACTTTATCCTAAAATAAGAGCCCTTTTTAATAATTTAAAGATGATATTTGCGTTAACCCAAAAGATGAGTTACGAACAGAAATATGGTCACTTTTGTTTTTTTAAACTGTCAATAAAGCCCTTGTGAAAGTGGGCGTCCGTTTGGTCGTGTTGGATGAATAAATAATCAGCCACGTCTGGTCAGAAAGGAGACGTTTAATCCCATGTGTCTTGTAGAGAAAGAGTGCCAGGCTCTCTGCACGTTAAGGACCATTGAAAGAACTCTTTGAAGGGTTCTTAGGTTGACTGTTGCAAGGCTAAATTTCAGTTTCTCTAACCTTTGTCTCGTGGTAGCGTGTTCGCCTCCAAGTGCGGGATGTCGTGGTTTCGAACCCCGGTCGGTTCAAACCAAAGACTTTAAACTTTGTATTTGCTACTTTTCTACTAAGCATGCGGCATCTTACTTAATAATGTGTCCGGGTAAGGTGACATGTCTTCCTGCGTACTGTTACCTTGTGAACTTGTACATTAAAAATCCGGCTTAGCGTGTTGGTCTAGTACAAAGCAGGGTATATATTCATATAACATTAACATGTTTTCGTCTGAATATGCATATTAATTTGACGCTGGACGTTCATCATCATCATCATCATCATCATCATCATCATCATCATCATCATCATCATTTTAATTGGTATACAAGAAAAATAAAGGAAATGAACACTAGTGATATAAAGGTTCCTCTATCAAAATTTTACACCATGATGCCATTGAAAGTAAAAGGAAACCCTACATTTATCATGATTATCATGATCACCATAAACGAAGTTACTTAAATTACTGAAATTTATCGTTTTGCATTAATTATGGCATAAAATCATTGTGTAAATTATATAAGTTGTATGATTAACTTCTTTTAGTGGTGGTCTTTAAACAATAATCTTTTAACAAAAAAAAATATAACAGTCTTATTTTTTAAAAGAAATATAAGTTAATTTCCTGTTATAACTTTATGTTTTATGTTTTTTAAGCTATATTGTTTTCAGTTAAATTTCCTTTCGTTATAATTACAAGATAAGATTTGGATAATTCTTAAAAGACAGTATTTGATGTTTATTTTCACCAACAAAATCACATTAAATTTCATAAGATAAAACACATTTTATTAGTTTTTAGAACTGATCATCTTCCATGGCGTTAGTGTTAGCTTCATTTGCCTGCAAAATATAAAAAAAAACAAGTAAGAAATAACCATACATTGTTGCAATTTGTATGAAGTATGCAGTTTCAATGAATTGTATATCATATCAAGAATTAGTTGCATTCAACCGTAGCTACGTAGCTCTTTGGTCCTTTTTTTTATTTCTGATGTGTACGCACCATAAATGTTCTTGTCTTTTTAATAAAGCAAATGTAAATTGTACTGGTACTAAGACAACTGGTGGTGGTACAATTTGTCTCCGTGGAAAATCCGTATTCACGCAACCGTATGCACGAAGAAATTGAACAGATACACATTTCGATGTTAAAGTAGTAATGAAATGTTCCGTGAAAAGAGGATTCATCAATAGTTTGTACTCATTGATTGGATGGAGGGCTGGTTAACGTTTAGTGCATGTAGTGTCTCATATAGAGGAGACCTGATGTATGAACATATGATTCATAAGTTCATTGTCATTTGCAAGGTGTTTTGGTGTCCTTTTACTTACCAAAATACTTCTGCAATAGACTAACGTCTTTGTTCACTTCCTCCAGTGACAAGTTATCCTCGGACATATTTTTCCTGATTTTCAACAATTCCCTGTCTGTAATAGAATTCAAGCCGTTATTTGTTTCAAATGTTTCCACAATGATCACTAAACATTGGCTTGAAGTCATTGTATGTATTGGTTTCTATTATAATACACTTATATGTATTGGATATCAGAATACGAGTTCTTATTCATCGATTGCGATACTCAAACAGTCGCATTATTCGCATTAATAAAACCTCGCAGTAATTTCTGAATTTACAGTACTTGAAAAGAAAAAAAGATACAACTTAAATATATAACGGACATTTGCGGTCCATTACAGGATTTTAATGGGAGAAAAAGTGAAAGGAAATCATCAAAATAATTCTGTATGGGATGTTAAACATTTTTGGCGAAAAAGAAAGGTATGAATAAAAGGAGAAGTGGGTGAAAATCACTGAGACAGGAACCAGGAGAAATATAGGCATGAGATCGCTTGCAATGTTATTTTCCATATACCTCTATTCCAAGTGGCATAACTCTTGTAAAAATAGATGGTCGGCACTCTTCCAAGATCTTTCTGAATTAAGCCTTTCATATGAACTTCATCAAAATTTGACAAGAAATTAATGTGGGAGTGCTTACAACGCAATGTTCAATATACATTACATTTCAAAGACATAACTCATTTAAAAATAATAGATCAGTGCTGACTTTCAAACTCATCCAAGACATTGCTCATATACACCTTTGAGCGCTTACAATGCAATTTTCGATTTGATTTAATTGATTGATTGATTGATTGGTGTTTAATGCCACTTTCAACACTATTGTGCTATTTCTTGGCGGTCAGTTTTTATTGGAGGAGGAAGCCGGAGTGCCCGGAGAGAACCACCGACCTTCGGTAGGAAAACTGACAATCCTAGTCAATTAAGATTGGAGTCGAGCGTACTTGTCCGAGACATTGCTGATATAAACCTGTGATATAAATTTTATAAGTATCTGGCAAGAATCGGACACGTGAGAGCGCTTACAAGGACGGACGGACGGGCGTTGTTGACAACGCGTTGCTCGGGGAACAATGATGTCATGATTTAACTTTTTTGAGTAAACATTGCAAATCCAATAAATAATTTGATATTTTTTTCTAATTTTTTGGCAAATATGAAATTGAGTCAAAGTTTTTACCGTCCAGTAATTACAGCAGTACAACAAAATCAGGATCTTTAACATCCACCCTATTTACGATTATTCAATGAAGATATTAACATGTACCCATCACTTAATCCAAATGGCATTATAGCACTTATTATCGGGTCAGGAGCGATATAGAATAAGGGTCCTGGATTTGGTTCGGCCAAAACGGTCATTTGTAAATCAAGTTGCAATCAATTTCCAAGTATGGGATAAGTCTTCTCAGTAACTAATCGAAGCTCGGATGTTTACTCAAGTTATTCTGGCATTATCCACTTACAAAACTAACCACAACGATATTGTAAAATAATGCTACCAGGTATTATATCTCTATTTTGATGGACAACGAATGATTTTTACAAGTGTATATTCAGATATACAAATAATTTATTTCAGATGTTGTTACATTTACCTACAAATCCTTTAGCCATAGTGAGCTGGACGTGGATTCCCTGCTCCGAAATGTTTCTCTTTCCATTTAGTACGTCTGCATCGAAACGACTTATAAATGAGTGTTCTTTCGTCCAGTTATGTCTTAAAGTCTGGATGTCGACATTCATAGCGTAGCATACTTTTTCATTTACAATCATTCTACTGGCTCTTCGGAACCTATCATGTACACAAGTTGACTCAGATTCTAAATAGGAAAATCTGGTTTCAACATCTGAAATTAATAATAAAGCCATATTGCATATATTTGCTAATCTTTGTTCACTTTTTAGTTTTCAATGTTGTGTTTTGTGTACATTTGTTCGTCATTTTTGTTATTTTTTTGGCATGACATTGCCAGTTGTTTTCGACTTATGAGTTTGAATATCCCTTAGATAACTTGTGTTTCTCTTTTAATGACAAATATCTGTATTTTCCTAAGAATTTTGTGTTCAACGTCTTATCATTAATATGCATGAAATGTTTCCCACAAGACGTTTAGCAAACAACAAACAACAATTAAATGAAATTTACTAGGGTTTCAGAATATTTCTTAAGCATTTTTGCGCAACATCATTTGTGGTGTGAAAAAAAGAGACTGATTGTACTTCCGAGAACTAATACAAATGAATTGTACTAGGATGTACTAATGGAATTTGATTTTACTCTCAAGGTATATGATAATGATAAATTTTCCCAACTGTATTTCTTAGAAGTTTATTTACTCCATGAATAGTCGACAACAGGTACTACATGTACTTGTCAAATTATCTGACTGCTTGACATCTAAGGATGATCAGGCATAATAATAAACAATATATCAAAACTTAGGAATTTGCATTACTCTGTCATGGTCATCTCTGCAGCTCCCCATAAACAAATCGAATTCTAAAAGTTAAGAGTAAACAATGGTAAATAAAGGTGTTCAAAATGTCTGGTCTTCAGTACTGGTCGGATGAATTAGTCATTGTGTTCCATTTACTATATGATATGGTTTTTAACTATTTTTGGTTTGCATTTTTAACTGGTAAAATGAAATGGTCCATGAGTTGAATCATAACCATACTTTCAAATAAAAAGAACTTTAGTCAGTTAAATAATTGTTATACATTGGTGTTTAATTTCCATTTAATTATTACCTTTCTCGTCTCGCCACTGTAGAAGTAACTGATACAAAATGAAACACACAAAACCGGTAATCACACATACTGCTATTGCATCCCTCCATATGCTGCTTACTTTTATACTAGGAAACTGTAAACAAAAATAAAGTTTTCATTCTTTATGATCTTTTAGAGCTATTTTCCTAATGCTTGTAGTTTAAAGGTTTGGTTGTCTTGCTTGCTTTGTTTGTATAAACGTTTGCTCAAGCATTGTAATTAAGAATGATATACCCTGCATTATACCTAACATCCAATAACATTTAAAAGTATAATGTATACAAGCTGAAGCCCCGCCTATCTGTTGATTGCAGATGTCAATCTTAAATACAATGCTTGAGCAAACATTTATACATACAATACAAGCAAGCCAAACAATCCTTTAAACTAGAAGCATTAGGAAAATAGCCCTAATATTAGAAATCATAGTAGGTATGTTTAAAATGTTTAAAATCAAAGCATAAACAACAATAATAATCATGTAATTTTGCGGAGTAAACTGGCAAACACAGAAACATGTTCTTTTGTGACATTATGAAAAACATAGAAACATGTACTTAATGCATTAAGTGTTACCATTGTCCGTCCGTACGTACGTACGTAAGTCCCAAAATTAGTTTCAGTTCTCTAACATTAGATTCAACCAAATGTTCTGAAACTTATGCACAATGCTTATTACCACAAAACACAGATCACGTTCGAATTTTGGATGCATTACTTTTACTGTTCTTGAGCCATGTCCCTTTATAACGTGATATGCAAGCGGGTGCATCGATCATCTGTGTCCCATGGACATATTCTCCATGTATTTCTTTTTCTTTTGAAAGTCGATAGTATTCTAAGGGATCTACCTAAACTATCGTAAAACATTGTAAACAATTGATGTACCTACCTGACTGGAGTTGAATACTAGGTTAACCATTTTGGAAACAATCTGTGATTCCGTTCTATAAAAAGAGAACATGAGGAGGGTTTATAAAAAATGCTATATATATATCAAATATCGTTTAATTGTTGTACAAAACATAAATCTGTTTATAGAACTCACTGTTAAACTTTATACGCAACCGTCACTCTTAAAGTGGTCCTTTAAAACATATTTTACTAGTGAAAGAAACATTATTTTTTTTATAGTTCTCATTTATGTTCAACTTTTTCTTATCTACATCACTAATGTCAATTAGCATAAATTATAAAATAATCTTACTTCAAATTATCAGATGACTGATTCTCCATCCATGGATTACAAAATAGGATAATTAAAATATTCACCAACAAAACTACGCCTGCCATGTTGGGTAACTAGCGATCCTAATGGCGTTGTTACGTGCAAGACGTCTATAACAAACACCCGTGCAGTTAGGCATCGGGTAACGTCACAGAGACTATCTCTAAAAATTTCACAGAGCCCCCCCCCCCCCCCTCCCAAAAAAAATAGAAAAAGAAAGAAAGATTGAAAATAAAGTATAAAGTAAAAAAATGTTACGAAGTACATGAATAACTTTGGACAGACGAACTTTGCTTTGTTTTTAGATTTAATGTACAAGCCAATTTTATATTCATTTTTATCTTCATAAATGACAATTGAATAATTAAATTCAAGAAAGAGTACAAACTCCTCCTTAGCATAGCATGCTGTACAAGAAAGCAGAAATATTCCAACGGGTACTTCGACATGAAAGAAATGAAAACACAAACTGATTCAGACAAATCACGGAGAAATGAATTTTCATCTTCGAATAAATACCTAATTACCCGTGCTTATAGTAACATGAAAACTATAGACGACGGCAGAAATGCTTTTAGAAGGGAAATGAATATGGATGAACCGGAATTAATGTATTGTTATTTTCGACTTGCTGTTTTTGACAGTTCCCTTGGTATCTTTTGTCTCTTTTCCTTCATTTTCAAACGGGCATTGTTGACTTAAACAAGAAAGTGACATTAGTAACATTTGTTTGTATATTAAACTAATAAATCGTAGTAAAAGAATTGCAAACGTCATACATGTAACTGGTGGCTATTCAAGGAAGGAGACACTAAGGTGCTAATGAATTACAGCCTATTGCAATCAACTGGTATAATGCCAGACAGATTTTGACAGTTATGTTAAGAATATCTACTTCACATTGACCTTATTGACTTTTGCTAAAATTAGAAGTAACAGTAGTGTACCAATGTTCATATCTTACAAGAATGTGTCCATAGTACACGGATGTCCCACTCGAACGATCGTTTTCTATGTTCAGTGGACCGTGAAATTAGGGTAAAAACTCTATAATTTGGCATTAAAATTAGAAAGATCATATCAAAGGGAACATGTGTACTAAGTTTCAAGTTGATTGGACTTCAACTTCGTCAACTTGTGAAACCACCTTGACCAAAAACTTTAACCTGAAGCGGGACAGACGGACGAACGAACGGTCGCACAGACCGAAAAACATAATGCCCCTAGGTGGGGCATAAAAAACAAAAACGCCGCCGTGCAAATCACAATCACTCAAAATGTCACGAAAAGGAATATAGGACACAATTGAGTAAATACAGGTCGGACTATTCTGGTATCTTAAACCACGAAAACATGTCGTGAGTGAGTTGAGACACAGAAATATTGTACCAGTCAACTAATTCGTGATGGTGCCCGTTAAACTTATGAAGTATCGATTTCAGTCGTTTTTTGTGTCTAGAGCAAAACACTGTTAATGAAGTCCATGTAGTGTGAACATATACGAGCTCAACGTACTAATTGAGATCTGTATACACCATACGATGGGACAGAGGATATATTACTGCCGAGAAATGGGATATCGGAAGTTTACAATTGGAAACGGTTACAATCATGACGTGTGTAATAAATTCTAGATTGAAGTCGTCCAATTGTGTGTATATCGAGGGGATGGGGAATATGAACCAGACATTCTAGATTCGGTAGTATCCTTAATCTCAAGTTGACTGATATTTTAGATGCAAGCACTCACTAAAATGTGGGTTATTGAGTACAAGACATCATCAATATAACTTAAAGATGAATTAATTAACTTTGCAAGATACCGTCTCTTTTTATTTTTGAAAAGGTTCACTGTGAATTCTGCTTCATATGAGTGTAAAACAAGTCTGCTTGTAGGGTGGACAATTAATACTAAAAGACGAACTGTTTTGAAATTTTAGGGGATTTATTATTTGAAGACCTTCTACAGACGGTCCTCGTGTAATTTTGATTAGGAGACAACATTTTTGTGTGGCGGTTAAATACGAGTAGTTCTCATGAACCTGTATAGACTCTGAAACTACTTGGTCAAAACAACTTAGCAGAAATGATGTATGAAGGGTCCTCTACAACATATTCTGAATTTAAGTGTATGTCGCATATCCAAGTTCACAATGGGTAGATGCAATGAAACTTTCTTTGACCTTTCACTGTACTGTATGCTTGAGTGGCTTGGGTATGGATAGCATGACATACAACGAAACTGACATATAATATACTCGTTTTATTTTCAATATTAATGATAGCAAACGGGAATATGTCACTATGTGGAGTTCACAGGCACTTGATAAGTGCCTGTGGTGGAGTTGTTAATAAAGTATTTTTGCAAATGTCAAGAGCAAATTTGGAGCCTGCATCACAACTGCAACTGATTGGTTCTGTCGTTTGTAGGGTTAAATTTAAAACAAGAGTGCACACGCTGAAATGTCTAGTCTGAGTTAGTTATAATTGAATTCATGTGGAAAGTCTGTAATATGAAGGTTTTACTAGCAGTATCACATAAAATTATCATTATTAATGTTCTATAAAAATAAGGTCACAGTCATATGAACCCTGTCAGACAGACATGTACACCTTACAATCATTCCATTCACCAAACATATTTGACCTATGGCTTATAATATCTGATAAACTGATAACATTACGAAAACTTATCATTGACCAATGAACCATGAAACTGATGAAGTCAAGGTCAGATGAAACTTCCCACACGGACATCTACAGCTTACAATCATTACATACACCAAATATAGTGGCTCTATTGCTTATAGTATCTGAGAAATAGTTCAAACAAATAAAAAAAAAACACTGTCCAATGAACCATGAAATTGATGTCAAGGTCAGTTAAAACGTACCAGTCGGACATGTATACCTTACAATCATTCCATACATCAAATATAGTTGACCTAATGCTTATAGTATATAAGATACCTTATCTGATCCATGAAATGAGGTCGGGGTCAGGTGAACCCTACCTGACGAGACATGTATAATCATTGCAAGGAACCCATTTACCAAATATAATTAGCCTATTACTCCTTAAGTAAAAGAGAGTATTTCACTTGACAAAATAACTGGATTTTTTTTTCAAGCAGTCACTGAACCATGGAAATAAGGTCAAGGACAATGGACATATGACAAACGGAAACATCGTAACATATTGTATCTGCATACAAGGTATGAAGCATCCAGGTTTTCTACCTTCTGAAGTATAAAGCTTAAAACAAATAGTTTACGCCGCCGCCCCGATTGTAATCCCTATGTCTCGCATTCTGCGACTTTGTCACAGGAGAGACAAAAATGGTACTTGCTGCACCTCCAACAAGCACATAGTATTTAGGTGTAAGAGCAAATAACAGTCAGCTCAAGAGTAGGAATGTGTTAGGCAAGGGGAACATGTCTGCCTGCAGTCTGTTATCTTGTAAAATATCTGGAAATTTAAAGCAAGCTTCACGATGATATCACATTAACATGTTATTGTCCTGAAAATCCATTTAATATACATGCATCAGTTAATCAATGTGAGTACCACTGCTGGTGGGCCTTGAATTTCACAGGGCATTTTCTTCCCAGTGTCAGTTACTAGCTTATTCATAAATTCAAACTTTGTTCATTCTTGTTTAGTGTCTGTAAGTCTGTTTTCTCAGAGTAGTCAGGAGTTAATGTGGACTGTTGTGTGGAACTTTCCAATATTTTTGGTTATTCCACATCTCTCTTTTGTGTATTGTGCTTGTATTGTTTCGCTAATTCTATTTATATCTGTTGATATTTTTAATAAACTGCTTCGCTGAGCGCAGCTAGATACGCCCTCGGAGGTCCAACCCTGAACAGTTGGGGCAAAAATGGACACAATATTCAAGCTTGATTCAGGTCTGAATTTGGATTGTAATTAAATATTTGACATATTATAGGTTTCTGAATAAATGTAGTCAAAGAACTTGAAATTGGTTATATGAATTGAATTTATATTCAATTAAAGATTTCTTGCTGTTGTGCATTACTTAGTATATCTGTTGTCAGCCTATAAACAAATAAAGTTCAATTAATTCTCAATGTCATATTAGAAATTTATGAAAATAAAAAGGGAGCTTACATCAATAGATATAACAATTCACCAAAGTTTCATGAGAATTGGTGACAGCATTTTTGAGTTATTGTCCGAAAACTGGAAAATCAACCCTTTTTTTAATGAATAACACCCCATAACTTCGAAATGTAAAATGTAAAATTTATAAAATTTTAAAGAGAGCTTACATCAATACATACAAACAATTCAACAAAGTTTCATAAGAATTGCTGAAAGCATTTTAGAGTTTTTGTCAGAAAACTGGAAAATCCCCCCTTTTTTTATGAATAAAACCCTGTAACTCGGAAACGTAAAATCTAAAATTTATAAAAATCGAAAGGGAGCTCATGTCAATAGATATAAACAATTCACCAAAGTTTCTTGCAAGTTGGTGAAAGCATTCTTGACTTATTGTCCGAAAACTGGAAAATCCCCCTTTTTTTATGAATAAAACCCCATAACTCGGAAACTTAAAATCTAAATTTTATAAAAAACAAAAGTGAGCTCCCGTCATTAGATATAAACAATTCACCAAAGTTTTATACAAATTGGTGAAAGCATTTTTGAGTTAATGTCCAACATGTTGACGACGGACAGATGGACGGACGGACAGACGGACAACGGTATACCATAATACGTCCCGTAAACGGGCGTATAAAAATGTATCAATGTATTTTCTTACTTCTCAAACATGTTTGACCCTGATTGTTACCAATGAATGCCGAGATTTAAACAAAACACCCTCTACTCATATATTGAAATCTTGTGAAAATCACAACCCATAATATATTTCATGGCAAAATCATGACCTATTTGTATATTTCTCATTTATCAAATACATTTTTTTACATCTTAATCTGATTTTTAAGGATAAAACAAGCATCTATACAGATATCTAATCAAAAGATGAAACCTATGGACCAATTGACATTTTACCATGATGAGTATGAAATCTATTGATATATTTGATACGTTAAAAAAGGGACCCATTCCAGCCACATGTCTGTGTATACCTTTATATAGGAAGAGACCCCTGAATCCTAATGCCAAACAAGCAACAATACTATTCAGACATTAATGCCCTACTAAAAAGACCAATATGAATTAAAACCAGGTGCAGATCCAGGATTTTAAAAAGGTGGCCCCCTGACAAGCCAACCTTTAGAGTGATACTTGTAAAAAGTCTATGCAGTTATAATATATCTGTAGCTCCAGAAGGGGGGCCTGGCTCCCCCCATAATCCACCTCTGAGAACCTTTGTACAAAAGAACAAACTCTTTTAATTCTTTATTTCAACATTCAAAACTAAGTGAACACAGTTTAAAAACCACATAAATTTCTTCATAAAATATATGTGTATAATATAAAATACATGATGTATGCTAATTTGATTAGCACTAATTTAATGTATATAATAAATATTTTTGAAATCTATGTATATATATATATATGTGTGGAATGTTCATAACATGGATAATTTGTGATATCTATGACTGAATAATATATATATGAATTAAATAAATAATAACATCTTTTGATTTTATTATTAAAGTTATAGTTGTTAGATATGACAGTTTTAATCTTGTTTACAAATTGTTCTTTGGATCCATATTTGTTTACAAGGGTACGAATATTTGTGAATTGAAGAAAAATTGTATTTCAGAGGCTAGCTACTAGATTTTGTAGTTTTGCTGAAGTTTGCATTCAAGCCATTAAGAAACTTATACTTCAGTGAATATTTAAATTTGTAGTTCAACAATACCCATGAAATCCACAAAAATTGGCAGCTTAATGAATAAATAATGAATCCACAGTAATCAATGGTTTCCCCGATTCTTTAACAAGGTAGATAACTCTATGGTATCTGAATGCAGTCAAACTTAAAACCAGATTGGAATTAAAAGCTTTCACTTCTTTTTATAAACTTCTTGGTATCTCAAAGAATAAATCTATGTAGCGTTTTATGGTTAGATCCAATAATTTGAGTTTGAGAGGGGTAATACCAAAATCTGAAATATTTGTCACTTTTTAAAAGACTTTGTTGATTTGCCAACATTTTGTTTTGAACCTCAACTACCTCTTATTTAATCACAAGAAAGAGTACAAAATGAATTAATCCTTTAAACTGCAATTAATCGTTGAAAATTTTATGAATTTGTAGCCTTTAATGAGATAATTTAATTTATGTTTTCATTTGACAGCATATTGGAGTAGCTATTACTTGTATAGCCATAAATTTAAACTGTTGGTTACATTGTCATGATGACTCATAAGTACATTCAGACCAGCCTAGATAAGTCCCAGCTTCATAAAAGTGAGACATAGAACTGCCCTGCATAACAACATATATGGATTTCTCTGAATTTATGAAAATAAGGTTGTTTTCAAACACCACAAAAAACACAACACAGTGTTTAAACTTTTGCTTTTAACAATTGACAGCGACAGTATCTTTACCTTAATATGGTAAAAGAATAATCTGATCATAAAATAAAAAATCTAACAAATTTACTGAAAACAAACAATAAATGAACAATGAGATGGCATGATACCAAAGTATAAATAGAGAGATCTAACAACAAAAACAATGGTTATATACATAACATCAACATAATAATTTCATCTTTTGTTGAATGGAAGACATCCCTCAACTATTTTTTTATTTCAACAATAGTCTGTTTTCTCAAATTTTTATAAATTTCTCATTTTCCTGTGGGTTGCCCCTGAACCTCTTAGTGACTCCTTTTTGGGGGCAAAAGCAAAATGAGAATAACAAATGTACTAAAATCAATAATTATTTCAGATTCAACCATCATAAATCAACCTATAAATAGTTTACATCCTCATCCTTTGGCCTCGGTTGGATATTGGTATCATAACAATCATACCACATCTCCTTATTTTTATAAGTCTACAAAAATCAATATTTTTTTTTAATTCATACTTTATTAAAAGAAAACATGATGATGCTCAGCAGTATTAGCTGTTTTTCCATTTCTTTACCTTATTATCAAACATTAATTGTCACAAAATTGCAACCTTTTACTGATATGCTTCCGCAAATAAGATATCCCATCATAGGGTTGAGAGGCAACCAAGGGGCAACCAATAAAGTAAGAATAAATACTAACACAATTCAATTGTACAAAGCCAGCACTATTTGTAAAAGAGTAATCCTATAATAAAACTTCTGTGTATAACTGCATAATATACAAATAACACTACCTTACAAAGGTTACAGCTGTTATCATAATGCTAGCAAGATAAAGGTTTGGTTGACTTGCTTGCTTTCTTTGTATAAATGTTTATTAAGCATTGTAATTAAGATTGACATCTGAAAATATATAAAAAGATGGAGTTAAACTTGTATATTATATTTAAATTTGATTGGACATTATCAAATAATCAAATTTACCTATATACAGGTTTAACTCCGCCTACTTATATTATTTGCAGATGTCAATCTTAATTACAATGCTCGAGCAAACATTAATTGAAACAAAGCAAGCAAGCCAACCAAACCTTTAACTTGCTAGCATTAGGATAACAGCTGTAATATTATACATATGTTATGTGTATCACAAAAATAATGAAAAGAAACACATCAAAGAAATCAGGTCTATAATTTTGTACACCAGACACCGGTTGTCTACATAAGACACAAGTGACACCTCAACTTTAACCAATATTATAACTGTTTGTTTATTCTAAATTAAAAGCACCTTCACTATGTATTTTCTATGAGTTTACATCATATTTCTTAATGAACAGGCAAGAACAGCATCAGTAAAACCTCATTTTACTTATATTTTTCTTAAGTGATCTTAAGTCAAGTTGCCACTTTTTCAAATATCAATGCTTTAGAACCATCTTTCTTATTATAACGCCCAAATAATTGTTTCACTCAATAATGTGTTAAATAAATAAATAAAAATACTCATGCTAAGCACATGCCGAATTTAACAGGTAAAATTTTTCATTGTTAGTTAATTGTAAGGATTGAATTTTTTGTACCAAGATATTAGTTTATGTTAAAAGATTCGAACTGGCTGTTCCTTTTTTAAATTCTTTGAAATATTGATTTTATCTTATTATCTTTAAATAAACAGCTGCGCCACGAGCGCATGATACGCCCGTCGTCTTGTGTGTGAGGTTTTATGCAATAATCATAAATCGTTTCTGAGATACGGTGTGACATGTGAAAAACCCCCTTTTTTATAAAAAAAATCAATTACTCTAAAATAAAATTTTGAATCATCACCAAAAAGTATACAGATCTTTAGATTAATATAATTAAGAAGTGTGTAAAGTTTTAAGCAATAATCATAAATCATTTTTGAGATACGGCGTGACATGTGAAAAGCCCCCTTTTTTTTTACAAAAAACTCAATAACTCTAAAATAAAATTTTGAATCATCACCAAAAAGTATACAGATCTTTAGATTAATATAACTAAGAGGTGTGTAAAGTTTTAAGCAATAATCATAAATCTTTTTGAGATACAGCGCAACATGTGAAAAAAACACCCCCCTGTTTTAGTTAGAAAGTCCTGTAACTCAAAAAGTTTTAATCTTATTTTCACAAAAGTATACAGATCGTTTGACCATCATAAGAAACAACTATGTTGAGTTTCAAGAAATTTGGATAAGTCCTTCTCAAGTTACAGTGCGACATGTTGACGCCTGACAGACAGACCGACACCGGACATTTGTAACCATAATATGTCCCGTAAAAGGCATATAAAAATAAACTTACAGACGAAAGCTTTCATTAAGTTTAATTTGAAATTTTTTCTCGCTGAATAACAAATATCTTATAAAAATTTCAATTCCAAATCATAATTAGTTTTCCCCCTCGTATAGTCTTTTTCATGAAATAAATTTTTAAAAAATATTATCTTGCTTGCATTTCTTATTTCAAAAAAATTAAGAAGTACAATTAAATTTTTGTGTGGCCTTATCAGCATCAATCAGCACATGCTTTTTAGTTCCTTGATGTGTAATCTAACAATATATGCCTAATTTTATTTTCTGACAGGAAGATTCACGACTCTTTTGACCACTTAGAAGTTGTCAACTATTCTTAAAGTATGTTTAATTTTGGAACTGTCATACTGTTTTCACTTTCTGTAACAGGGAAACTGGCTCCGATAATTAAAAATACTGAGTAAAAAAAAAAAAATAAGAAACACTTATTTAAAATTTGGTATTTCAAAAATTACGTAAACTTCAAAACATAAAAAAAAAATTATTGTAAAAAAGAAAATAAAGGATAAGGTGCATTTTTTAATTGACATAAATGCAATTAAAAAAAAAAAAAAAAAAAAAAATTTTAATTTCAATTTTTTTTGTATTAAAAAGGGATGTGGCATAACGTAAAAATTTCAAGATTTTTTTGTTTTAAAATAGATGTTGCTTAACTTTTATTTACTTAGTACAATGTTCATAAAATCACATTTTGACAAAAACGGACCAAATCTACTGATATAATTAACTATATATAATGTATGAGATCATACAGAGGTAATAGTCTGACACATTTCAAATGTTAAATTTTGACAAAGCTCTTTTGAATTGTCACTAAAATAATCACTGGTCTCATCGCCTCGATCTCCTTTCTCACTTGATGTAAGTAATGGAAGACATTGTGAAAAGGATGAGGGGATTTCATGTGAATGCCTATGGGATTTATTTGAGATGGATCCTGTTGGACTAATGTCTGGGACTTCATAATGATCACTATATTTGTCTTTTTGAAGAGCCTGTGGCGTTCCAATGCTGTTGCTTCGTTGTCTTCCCTGAGGACTTGAGGGACTGAATGCTGGTTTCACCAATGTTTTTGTAGGTGTCAACAATTTTATACTTTGACTTCCGCCACTCAAACGTTTTGCGTCCTGAGAACTTTGAGACAGACGGTTAAAAAAGTTCAAAAAATTAGTGGAATGTGATTTGGTCATCGTTGAATGACAAGACGTTGATTTAAATTCTATTGGATCTAGATCGTCAGCAAGATAAACACTGTTAGTTGGAGCATCTAAACATGGTTCCAAAAATGAAGGGTTTGCTTTCAGAAACCTTATGATATCTGGTAAGTCCAGACGATCCTTTGATTCAGATGCCAAACAATTATATATAAATCTGTATCTGAAATAGGAAGAAGAAGAAAAATATCGATTAAAATACATTTTTTTTGTTAAAGATATTTTATACTTTTTTAGCATGTAATGAATTTTATTGTATGCAGCAAACGGATAATTTTAGTATCATGTAACATGGCTTCTAAAACAGTCATATTTTTTACTGACATGTCCCAACGAATTCTCTTTTGTCCGATTGTCATTCAGCGGAAACAGACACCAAATGCAGATTTTTTGGTTGTTTTTTTATGAACAAAATTCTCATTAAAGTGTCATGAGGAATAATCACTGTAGAACCACACCCTTATTTAATCCCCCTCACCCAAATTGCTATTACTATTTACTATCAAGGTTAATTAGTTGTCAGACAGCTGAGATTTACTTGTTTACCTAACAGGTAAATTACAGTACCAAACATCAATCAATCTTTGTGAAGATGCTTATCATTTTAAACTGGTTTTCATCTAACTAATTTACGTAAGCAATAAAAGATTAAGTGAATCAAACAAATGTTTAAAATAATTAAATTAAAAAGTTGTTTGAAAAAAAACCCCAACAAAACCATGATGTGTGTGTGTGTGTGTGTGTGCAGGTGTGAAATTTGATCATGCATTTGAAAGCTTGAAAAAATATAGTTATACCAATTTTCTCTAGCATTTACTTGAAGATATGACATGGAAATAACCACTTAAACTCATATATTCAAAATGTACACCAATCAAACATGTATTCCATATCTGTTCCTAGTTTTATCTCTGTCTGGTCAACATCCGGTATTCTAACATGTTTGTATTTAAAACAAAAGCATTTTTTAGTATTTTCAACATAAATGTAAATCATCTTGTGTTTCACACTACAAATGATGCTCTGTAAGTTGATGAAACTTCTACCAATATACAAGTTACTGCAAGTTTCAGAAATCCATTACAAAAGTACCTAAAAAGAAGACCATTTTGAACTCTCCAGAAAAAATGAAGGATATCTGGCAATTAAGGCAAATATATAAACATTTGCAATTAAATGGCAACTAATTTGTCTTTTATGTTAAGTGCTTGTATTAACATCCTTAAGCTTTCAGCAAACAATGGCTTACATAATGACTAAAAACCATTTTAATTTTGGTAAATACAACAACCACAGAAAAACAAAGTCACTGAAGACTGAAAGGAATGGAAATGACATGATATAAACTCACATATCTTCAGGACAGTTTCCAGGTAATATTAGTCTGTTTTGATTCTTCACATATTCTATAACTTGGTTATTAGTCAGACCTTGGTATGGAAAACTACCAAATGTTACAATCTCATACAGCAGTACTCCATAGCTCCAAATGTCAGACTTTGAAGTAAACAGTCCATCCCATAAACTTTCAGGTGACATCCATCTAACTGGTAACATACCTAAATAACAAAGAGATGCAAATATTATTCTAAAAGATGTGATATGTTCTGTGTTATAATACCATATATGCAATGACAAGCACAAATATAACATGCAAATTTTTTTATGCACAGAAATACAGATTCTGTCTCCATGCTTTGGTTACAAGGATCTGACAATGCGCCTCTTCTTACTTGTTTATAAGACAAAGAAGAGGTAATGTCACTTCTTAACATAATGATATAACTGATGCATAGTTCAAAGTCTTATGTCTGCTTTCTGTAACGGTGCTATTGTGAAGATTGTGGCTAGTACTTCGTTTTGAATTGATAAGGCTTGTGTTCATACAAATTTATTCATGTAATGAGTAGTTGCACACAAGGCAACGTTACATATACAAACGTTAGTGATGTTCGTTACATAGTAAATGAATAGTGGCAAATCCTTGACAGGTGCCTTAATTCTTTAATGGATCTGATTGATATAATGTCCATCTTTTCTAACTCCACTAGTATCATATGACTTACCTTTCTTGGTAAATCTGTAATAATCAGATTCTATAATTGGTCTAGTCATTCCAAAATCTCCTATTTTCACTGTTAGGTTGGAATGAACTAAGCAGTTTCTACAAGCCAAATCTCTGTAAAATAAGAAGTACAAGACGTCATTTATAAATAATCTTTCATAAATAGTCATGCAAGTTCACACAAGTGATTTAAAAGTAATTTTCTTGCAACTGATAAGTTCAATTTCAATTTTACTTAAAGCTAATGAAATGTTTATTAGGCATTGAAATTACTATAGCTCAGTTAAAACAACATGTCACATTACCTAAGATTTGCTAAAATTCCACTGCAATGAGCAATTTTAAGTACAACACCTGGCCTTTCGGTCATAAAATTTTTATTGTACTCAGACCCTGAAATTAACCAATCAAAATTCTGTATTTCAGTGTTTTTAAAACAAATTTTGAACTCCAAGTACTGAGTTAAGTTTTATGACCGAAAAAGGCCTGATATCTAAAATTAAAATCAAATTACTCATAGAAACTGAAGAGATCAGGATGAAAAAAGAAGCTATACAGTTTATTTATACTTTCTTTGAACCATGAAAATTCAAGAGTAATCGGCATATTAAACCAGACAGAAACCTCAAATCATAAGAGATTTGTATACCACACCACTTTTAAAGTCTCAGGTATGACAAGGACACCAATTGAACTCATTAGAAGCGGATTTAGGGAGTGGCCAAGCCGCCCTTTACGGAACAATGGAACAAAATATATGGTTAATGCATAGGCTGTTTACAAGTCCAACTCCTACAATTGCCTTGATGGTGAGCCCAACCCCCTCAAAATCCTAGATCTGCATCTGCTCACAAACTTGCCACTCACGTCAAGCATGCTTTCATAAGACAAAAGACAATTTACCAGAAAAGACTGGATGGGGTAGGTGTAATTGATACAATAATATTATAGAAATCTTCCTAAAAACAATAATATTATAGAAATCTTCCTAAAATAAAAACTGCTAACACAGAGAAAAGTCTCGCCTTTTTGTTATTACCCAAGTCTCGCTTTTTGACTATGTGAAGGCGACACAAAACGGTGGCTAGGTCATAAATATATTCCACTATTACAGATCTTACCTATGTACATATTTCAAGTCATGCATATATTTGAGACCACTGGCTACATCCAATGCCATTTTGGTCAGTCTTTCAGAACTTATATCTAATGCCTCTTTGCAATCACTTCCTACTAAATTCCTACGTGATAACAAATAGGTTTTCAAATCACCTGCAACAAGAAAATATTGTTGTGAAAACTGTCCTCATTAAATATTAAAGGGCAGCAAATCAGTCAGTTTAATTCAAATTCTAAGAAAAATAATTAAATACATTTTTTTTTGGTTTGTGACACAATAGAAGGTTGTTTTACATTTCAAATTTAAATTCATAGTGGACTTGGACAACAATTCCCAAACTGATATGAACTATTAGATCCTTATACTTTATAAAATCTGTCAAAATATGTATAGGTCGTTAACAGATATAGAATAATACATGCAAACTTTGAAAATAATAATGGTTCTTTTTGCACATTACGACATTTTAAAGTGTTAGAATATATAATATTCATACAGTGTAGGAAAATATAAAATTTATTTGATGAGTTTTAGAAACAGAGAGAAAACCCAGGCTTGCAAAGCTTTTCTCCTGTTTTGAGTACAAATAAATTTGATTTTTTTTATTAGTACTTTTGTATCTATAACTAGCTTTATATTAAAGCTGTCTTGAGATGCTCCTTTGGTGGTGGAATATATAAAATATCAATAACTTGCTAGTGTTGTTGATTTTCATAATAAGCAGAGAGCACAAGTTTAAATTGTCTATAGAAGTGCTAGTATTTGTCTGTATCTTTTTTACTGTTCAGAAATATGTTTGCAATCTTGGTCAGTAGAGAACTGACAGTGACAGACTTGGTAGTGTTCTGAGCCTAGAAGGACTTCTGAACATTACTGCTTTGAAATATCATTCAGGCCTCTGTGATTAACTTTGAGGTCTCTGTTGCAGACTTTGTAAAGGCATTTTTTAGTGTGATTGTCTCCCTTGGAAAAAGTCCAAAATCATGTTTTGCAGCTTTTTCATGATCACAATTGTGCAATCAGGACAAAGGATTGTCTTAATCGTTTAAGTTGGAAGGTATGCAGAACCAAAAATGAAACAATTTTTTTTTCATATTTATACCAGATCTAAGGGTGCATTGCAGACAAGTCATGGCTGACTTAGGCCTGAGACCACAGCTATTTCGTAGTGCATTTCTTTTAGACAATAAATGAAAATTAAAAAAAATCCCACCTGTGCTTTCAAAATAATATTTTTACAGTGTGGTGTACTACATTTTGGACAAATTATATCAAAATTATAGAAAACTTCATGATCTCTAACTCAAAATATGGACAATTTTATGTTAAGGGGGTCTTGAATTCTTTTGACAGCTTCCAAAATACTAATTTTTATCCTTTTTTAGCTGGACCAAATCACTACTTTACTTTAAAATTAATGACCCAAATTTTTTTTACAGTGTATTTTCATCCCCCTACTTGCTATTTGAGGCATAAAACATGAAGAAATAAATTTGGAAAGGGTATAAAAAAAATGGCAAGTAACACACTGTCCACACTAGGGACTATATTTGTAGACAACGAAAAATCAAGGGACAATAACTCTGTTCCCATACCATAGTTATATAGAAAATATAACTTTGTGATTGTACATACCATGCAGATGGTACTCCATAACAGCATAGACAGGTTCTCCTCTGGTACACACACCTAGTAACTGTACAATATTTGGATGTTTGAATCTCTTCATAATATCTGCCTCACTTAGGAAATCAATCTGAAATATGGAAAATCCTGTAATAACACGACTAATAACAAGTCTGGCCATGCCTCGCTGCATGCATTTGATTGGTGTAACATGTATACTGGAGCAAAAATTATCATTCCCTTTCATTGAAGCTAAAAAAACTTTTCCCTGTACAATGAGTGCTGTAAAATTTCAAACTGTCAGCAAACAGGAAGTGGCTGTACAGAAGATGTTAAAATTACTTACTCATTACAACTAAACATTATCAAGCTGTAGACCAAATATTAAATCATTCCCTTCAATAGGAGCCAAGAAAACTTTTGCCGAAAATTTTCCTTGTATAATGAGTTCTTTAAAATTTCAAACTAACAGCAAACAGAAAGTGGCTACACAACAGTTGTACAAATTGCTTACTCGCTACAACCTAGTAACTGTACAATATTAGATGTTTGAATCTCTTCATAACATCTGCCCCACTAAGGAAATCAATCTGAAATATGGAGAATCCCGTCATAATAAGAGATTACCTTAAATCCAAACTGTTGATGGTTCAAGCCTAAAAAAAAGTTTTCCCTATTTCATTTAAAAAAGATGTTAGAGTCAAGCATCCTTTAAAGAATAGATTTTTTTTGTTTTAAAATTAAAAAAAAAACCTCCTGCAGACATTCTTACCTATTCTTACATCGGACTCAGACTTCTTTTAAACTGAGTTTTACACTGCGTATTGCTGTGTATTTGTTTATTCTACATTGGCTAGAGGTATAGGGGGAGGGTTGAGATTTCACAAAACATGTTTAATCCCCCACATTTTTGTGCCTATCCTAAATCAGGAGCCTCTGGTCTTTGCTAGTCTTGTATGCTTTTTTAATTTTGGTCAAGCATACCTTATAGTGTTAAATTTTGAAATAAATAATTTGATTGGTAGCGTATAAAAACTTTTAAAAAATATGTGAAATTTTTTTCTGACTCAGACAAAAAAAAAAAATCCCCCCTTGAAGTTAAATGGTCGCTCCCTTATAGCTGTAGATGGTAATTAATACCCATCTCAACATAAAAATCAATAGTGATTGTTGTATTAAATAATCTTTAGCGAATTTTACTCAATAAATTACAGTCAAGATTGAATCATATAACAAACCTTTTCATCAACTCTGGCTCCGATTTTTAATGCTTTAACTGCTACAGCCACCCACCCACGACCATCAAGGAAAGCTTCTCCACCAAATACTGTTCCAAAGGCTCCTTCTCCCAATTTCCTGTTCACAACAACTTTGTCTCTCGCCATCTCCCATTCATCCAAAGATAAACACGGAGACATGTCAGGAGAAAGCAAACCTAATTCTTTCATTCTTTCGTGTGTTTTTCTCATTTTGGCATCATATCTAAAATAAATATATTTCGAATTTACATTATTGATTAATTTATTCATTTACAATATAGACATTAATAGACAGTCATAACAAATCTGTGTTCAAGTTTGCAGAATTCTTCATGATCAATTAACATATAATTTGCTCATGTATCTTTTTAATATACCTTCTCCAGGTATAAGTGTAAGCATGCTTTAACTATCAGACTGCTAGTTCAGAATTCATTGCTGTGCAGCCAAAAATAATTAAAGCAGAGAAACAATACATATAAAACTACAGATAAACATCTTTACAAAAGGGAGATAATTCATGTATACTAATACATACATATCTTTTTCTTTCAAAATGCATGAGAAATCTAAATTACCTGAATTTTATAAAAACTAGCACCAATACAACCAGAATGAGGAAGACACCAAAACCAATCACATTAGCAATAACTATAGCCATCTCACAGGTTACTCCAAAAGCCCTCCGGAAAGTTTCTACTACACATTCTTCAACATCTACAAAACATAAGTATCATCATTTTGTTTTAAAAACTTATTGAGACTGTAGGCATATATTTAGTCCATTGAAGAACAGTTGGCTGTCAAGGAGATCATCTCCACTTGCAGTAAATAATGTTGAGACTAGGTAAATTTGAGAAAACAAATTAAAGGCATCATTGTTTGAATGGTGTTTTTTTTTTCTACTTGATTATATTTGGCAAATTATTTTGTATCTTTCACATATTATAAATACATATTAACATAATCATAACTTGTTTAAGACTTCAAACATAATAATCATCATATTGTGTAAACTAAATATATATGGACAAAGACTAGCTCCCTTCAACTTGAAAATGGTAACTTGATAATGGCAAATCATTTAAAAATGCTTGGAGTGAAAGGACTTGTTTAATGAACTACCTAATGAATTTTATGCTACTAGTGTTCAAAATAATAAGCTTAATACCAAAGTAATATTAATATTATATTTCAGCTACTTGCTTACCTATATGACCATCTGAAGGTCGTTTACCCTGTGATGTTAACCAGCGAATCTTAGTTTCATCAATTTGTAGTTTGCCTCCATGTAAACCAGGCATAAATTGTCCTACAAGTCGTGTTCCATTGTGGAAGTGTTGTAATATATTTATAGTTCCTGGTCGGTTACTACCATTAAACTTGATATGTCCTGATACCCCATGGAAATCTGTCTGGTTCACATAGTCTGCTAGTTTCCTTAAAATGGATATATATGTGTAAGTATAATTTGTTTTCTATAATCTGTGAAAGATACAGCAATGGAGACGGGCTAATTTTGTTTATAGGGGCAAACTGCAGGAGGGTTGGGGCTTTGATTGGAAAATATATAATTTTTTAGCATAAAATTGTCCTAATTGTTTTAGGTCAGCAAACCCCCTTTCAAAAATCCTGCATCTGCACCTGGTTTTATCATTTACTTATTCATATTAATATTTAAAAAATTTGCATTCATGACTTATAGTTTCAGAAATACTCATATTCCTCAATTCCTATCATCTTTCCACAATTTATGAAAACTAGAGGCTCTCAAGAGCCTGTGTCGCTCACCTGTATTTACTGATGCTTTGGAAATCATGTAAAATAAGGTTAAAATCATAATTAATAGTATTAGATATTAGATATTATAATGATATCTAAGATAATAACAAAAAACTGCAAAATTTTTGTAAAATTACTAACTCAAGGGCAGCAACCCAACAACGGGTTGTCGGATTCGTCTGAAAATTTCAGGGCAGATAAATCTAAATCTGATGAACATTTTTGCCACCTGTCAGATTTGCTCTAAATGCTTTAGTTTCAGAGATATAAACCAAAAACTGCATTTTACCCCTATGTTCTATTTTAACCAAGTCGGCAATGATGGTTGGAAGGCAGGGTCATTGGACAAATTTTTTAAACTAGATACCCTAATAATGATTATGGCCAAGTATGGTTAAATTTGTCTCAGTAGTTTCAGAGAAGAAGATTTTTGTAAAAGATTACAAAAATTTACAAAATACAGTACATTCCGGTTATTTGCATAGCCTATTTGTCAGACGAAATTATGCAATTAAGCGGAGTATGCTTATATCCGAAATGCCAAATTACAAAGTCAAACAACATCGATAGTGCAGATCAGTAAAGGAAATCCCTGAAGAAAGATGAACGTCCATAATCCACTTACAACATATTGAATGCTTATTTATTCTAATAAAAGTTATTTGTCTAGTGTCATACATGTTATTTCATTGTGTATTCTTTCAATAAAGTTTATAAACACATTTTGTTTTAGTTTATTTACGCACCGACTTTTCCTTTACCTGAGATACGAAAATAAAATTTTTCTAAAAATAGATTTGTTTCTTTGACCCGGATGTACAATGTACATTGTTACGCTTTGATTAAAATAAACTGTTTAACAATACTACACAGTTTATAATCATTTTAAACAATAAATGTGTAATGAACTGCCTTTGATATGCAGTATTTACCGATTGCACAGTGATGTAACACTGTTACTTTAACCTCGTTAGTTTCGTATATGCAAAGCAGTTAACAGGTAATGGGGCCCTGCACGGGTTATTTGCTGGACACGAGTGTTGAAAGTGAGAAAATATAATAATTAGAAGTTAATGTTCTTTTCAAAAAATATTAAAAATAAAAGATTGATGTATAAAATTCTTCAACCAAATATAAATGCTCTGTAAAATTTAACATAAGTGTAGATCACCCCAAGCCGAATTACGAGATTACACATTGGATAATGATCGATAATTAGCAGGTGTTATTGTTTTAAAAATTCACCCAAAATGTAATCTATGAACAATGTTTGAAATCCAATCAATAATTAACACCTTTTGAGATAGAATGGTCGTGTTTTTACAACAATCAGCTGTTTGACATTTTTATGACCTCGAGGCTTAAAATAGAACATGGGAAACTTTACCTGTGTACACATCGAGGCTTATTTTACAATCATATAAACACGAAAGAAACTGTTTTAAAACTTTATTTAAATAACACAGAAGTAAATATGAAATAATAACGAAAATTATAATGCATTCAAGAAAAATATACTTACCAAATTGCCGTTTCCGGTCAAAAATCTCGTCAGTTTTTACTAAGCATATCTAGCTGGCGATTATTTTCTATGCAATTAACCGAAATGCCACTTGTAAGGCTATGCATATAACCGGACAATTTAACATTAGATGAATGGGAAATGGTTTTGTGCAGGAGAAAAGTATGCAATTAACCGAATTATGCTATTAAGCGGTATGCAATTAAGTGGAGTCGACTGTATTGTTAAAAATTTACTATTAAGGGCAATTACTCCTTAAGAGGTCAACTGACCATTTTGGTCATGTTGACTTATTTGTAGATCTTACTTTGCTGAACATTATGATGTTTACAGTTTATCTCTATCTATAATAATATTCAAGATAATAACCAAAAACTGCAAAATTTCCTTAAAATTACCAATTTAGTGACAGCAACCCAACAGCAGGTTCTCCGATTCATCTGAAAATTTCAGGGCAGATAGATCTTGACCTTATAAACAATTTTACCCCATGTCAGATTTGCTCTAAATGCTTTGGTTTCAGAGATATAAGCCAAAATCTACATTTTACCCCTATGTTCTATTTTTAGCCATGGCGGCCATCTTGGTTGGTTGACCGGATCACCGGACACATTTTTTAAACTAGATACCCCAATGATGATTGTTGCCAAGTTTGGTTAAATTTGACCCAGTAGATTCAGAGGAGAAGATTTTTGTAAAAGTTAACAGACGACGCCGGACGACGACGGACGACGGACGCAAAGTGATGACAAAAGCTCACTTGGCCCTTCGGGCCAGGTGAGCTAAAAAGCAATCCACAAAGGGGATGGAAAGATTTTCATTTTATTAAAAATAATAGGGTTTTCCGTTCAATCTTTAAAATCTGAATCTAACAAAATGAATATTGAGGAAATAAATGGCCACAGAAATGAGGGGGAAAATTAGGAACCTTTCCTTGAGGGAAGACATTTTAATATATTGCTAACATTTTCCATTTTCAAACAATGATATGAATTGAATTATACATTATTAAAACATATTTTACTTTTTCAATGATCCACTTGATATATAAAAATATATAAAAATGTGTAAATACAGACTTGTGTATGGTAATCATTGAATTTTGAATTTTACTTACTGAGCTGTAGATTTGGAATGAATCAGTTCCAAGGCTCCTGGTTCATTTTTGAACAGTTTATCTAAGGCATAAGCATAAACCCACACAGCATCATAAACATAACTGGCAAAGGCACTCCCTGCTACTCCCTGTAAAAGGAAATCATATATATGGAAAAGCTCGGTTTCATATTTACAAGGACAGTTTAAATATTAATTTTTTGTTATATATGTCTTAGAGCATCATTGTTAAACATGCTGAAGAATTAAGGAAACATTATGAAGAATATAACCTTAAGGAAGATAATCGTGTACTGCCATTATCAATCTGCTGTGCATTTTCTCTATTTTACATTTAAATTTATAGGAAAACTAATGAAAATCAAATTAGTAGGAGATAAAAAAAATTTAAAAACTTTTCATACATATGATTAAAAGATTAATGGACAGAAACATTATGATACAAAAGGCGAAACCAAAAGACATATAGTCTTCAACAAGAGACAAGTGTCTATATAATATATCAAGCTCAAAATCAGCCTAGTGTCTAGAAATGTTGGGAATAAATTAAGTTAACAGAAACTATCAAAGATATACAAGATATCAAATTCCCTAAATAACAGAAACCATCAAGATATTAACAAGAGACCACAACTGATGAGTCTCCTGAAGAGAGGCACATGAATGTGTGGAGAGTTAAAACTAGGTTTTTGAGAACTCAAACCTTGACCATGTAATCTCGATCAGTGGAATTAATAAAAGATAACTTAAACATTGTACAATAAAAATCAATACAGGAAAAGCACTAAACTCTTTGATATCCATATAATTTATAGACAACAAATACACATGTACAAGCAAAACAATACGCTATGAAAGAATGTTCATACGTTTACCTTACAGTATTTTGGTATTATGCTTGTTATTTTACTCATTTCAAAAATCGTAAGTTTACATGTAAAACAGTAAATAATTGTTTCAGGAGTGATCTGATATGAAATATAAAAAAAAGAGATGTGGTATGATTGCTAATGAGACAACTATCCCCCAGAGACCAAATGATGAAGATGTAAGCAACTATAGGTCACCATACCGCCATCAACAATGATTCTTACTAAAAGTATGTTTTAGAAGGCCCCAACATGACAAAATGTAAACAATTCAAACGAGAAAAACAAACAGCCTGATTTAAGTCTAAAACAATAACAAAAGTTTGAAAAGTCATTTGACTTACTGCTTCTCCAACACGTTTAGCGTACATCTGTTTGTACTGTCCAACTGTTATGTTCCCAACAATTAAAGTGTTGTCTGAATCAGAAAATGTCTTTGATAATACAAAATATCCATCTGTAGCATACTTCATCATGTCTGATGAGCAAGGTACATTCTCCTGGGTACGTGATTCTGTTGGATTAGGTGAGCTATTGTAAAAATCAACATCCCACCAGTCATTAGGGTACCAGGAAGGTAGAAACCAAACATAACCCTCTCGACTTGTCATTCTCTGAAATATAAAGGATTTTTATGATTTTTTTTCAAGTACATTGAAGCATGTAACTATTATGCCAGATGTGTCAAAAAAGCTCAACAACTATACACTTATCAATCCCTCTTAAACATCCATCAGAATTTTTTTTCACAAATACATGTACATTTTTTTGTACTTAATTTTCTCAAATACTGCCTGCTGTTGGATAAAATAAAAGTAAAATACTGGTTATGTGATGTTTTACTTCTAGTGTTGTGCTGTTGCATAGCTGTCCATGGTTAGTAGATGGTTTGTGCTCTCATACATGTTTGGCCATGCCACATGCTGAGTGTGCCTGCAGAATGCTACTTCATTCATAAAAGCAAGAAAGCATAGGTTGCCATGCTACGCATACCCAAATTCATAATTCAAAGTACTGGAAAACAGGAAGTAGGTGTTTGACAGATCAAAAACACCCACACACAACAACTCATCACTGTTGAGCTTCTGACTACATATGAAGACATTCTTCTCATTAGTATTGGAGAAATGTGTGACCAAACATTTTAGTTCATTCAACATATTGAAAAATTCAAAGTATCAGCAAACAGGAAGTAGTCATCAGATATACCGGGTATCTCACACATTACAACTCATTACTGTCAAATTGCTGACCAAATACATAGTTATTCTGTTCAGTAGTTTCTGAGAAAGTGTGACGAAAATATTTGTCGGACAAAAAGATAGACAGACTGACAAGGGGATTGCAATAATGAATATAGACCCCAATCCCAGAGTGGGGGTATAATATAAATTCCACTAACAAATGAAATGAGATGTGTCATAACAAATTGGAATCATATTCACATAAGTATAGTTCAAAGATATCTTTTTGGATTTTGAACTTATAAATATTTGATGTAACACAAACCTGTCTCCAAGCTTCACACATGACTGCTCTAGCTGCTGGCATGTAAAAGTCTGCTATTATTATTTTAACATTCTTTGATCTCAAATCAGCAAATATCTGAAATAAAAAGAAGAGAGATACAAGAATTGATAACAATTTTTAAAGGATATAGATTGCATTAATTTTTAAATACATCAGTTTTTTTCATAAACTCCTGAACATAAACTACAAATATTTGAAAAACTTGCTTCTCTTAAAGGTTAATAAAATGCTCTGCTGGGCGCAGCTTGATACGACCGCAGAGGTCGAACCCTAACAGTTGGGGCAAGTATGGATTGTGATTAAATATTTGACACAGCATAGGTTTCTGACACAGAATGAATGTGGTCTAAGAACTTAAAAAATTTTAATTTACTTATTCAAACCATATCATTATTATTTGCTTTTATATATAAATCAGAAATAACCAATTTAAAATGGAAAATTTTAAAGAAAAAAAAAAGGAAAAAAAAATCCTCCCCCCCAAACTCAATCCCAGCCTTCCCTTTGTGGTATGGTACCTTGCAGTTCAATTTCAGAGAGATCCATACACTTGAACACAAGTTATTGTCTGGAAACTAGAAAAATGCTTGTTTTTTGGCCCCAAATTCCTAAACATTTAGGGCAATTACCCCCAAACTCAAACCCAGCTTTCCCTTTGTGATATGGAACCTTGTAGTACAATTTCATAAAGATCCATACACTTACACACAAGTTATTGTCCTGAAACTAGTAAATGCTTGTTTTTTGCCCCTCCCTAATTCCTAATATTATGAGGCAATTACCCCCAAAATCAATCCCAGCCTTCCCTCTGTGGTATGGTACCTTGCAGTACAATTTCAGAGAGATCCATTCACTTGAACACAAGTTATTGTCAGGAAACTAGAATAAATACATGTTTAGATTCAGCATATCAAAGAACCTCATATATTCAATTTTTGCTAAAATCAAACAAAGTTTAATTTTGGACCCTTTGGACCTTAATGTAGACCAATTTGAAAACTGGCCCCAAAATTAAAAAATCTAAATACACTGTTAGATTCGGCATAACAAATAAATAAATGTGATCAAAGATTTTACAAATCTAATGCGCCATACTGTGCAATTAAAGACTTCTTGAAATTTTTCAATATTTGAAATTTGAAAAAAAATAATTTTTGAAGAATAATTCTTTTTAATTTCTGAAATCTGAAATGAGAAAAAATTGACCCCCCCCACAATTTCTTTTTATCCCCCCCCCCTTTTTTCCCCCAAAAAATTCTTTCCCTCAAGATATGGTCATAATCTCAATTCAAATTTCCAATGGAGTTGGCAACCATAATTACCCATTTAAATTTACCATAGTGCTAACTTAATCTATTTTATAATAGAATTAAAAATATAGTGTCAAATCTTTCATATGGATTTTTTTGTAAAAAAAAAAGATGCAACATTTGCAAATATTTTTACTGGTCTTCCTTTATAAATATGCATTTCTTTAAACATAATTTAAAAGCAGTGTAAGGGAAGTAACCAAAATGTTGTATTTGGATTACCTCCCTTACACTGTTTTAAATTATCTTTATTGTTCATTAACCATTACTTTATACATAATTTAAAAGCAGTGTAAGGGAGATAATTTCAATGATGTATTTGATTTATCTCCCTTACACTGCTTTAAATTATGTTTTGTACTGAAGTATTTGTCCATTAACCAGGACAACCCTGTTTTTCCCCCTTTTTTGCCCCTAAGTCCTAAACGGTTTGAGCCATAACCCCCCAAAGCAAATCCTAACCATCCCTTTGTGGTATGGAAACTTGTAGTATAATTTCAGAGAGATCCATACACCGTTCCACAGTTATTGTCTGGAAACTAGAAAATGCTTATTTTTGGCCCCTTTTTGGCCCCTAATTCCTTAACTGTTGGTACCATAACCCCCAAAATCAATCCCAACCTTCCTTTTGTGGTATTTAACCTTATGGTCAAATTTCAAAAAGATCCATTCACTTAAACTAAAGTTAGAGTGCGAAAACTAATGTGTCTTCGGACGACGACGACGACGCCAACGTCATACCAGTATAAGACCACAAAATTTTTTGGCGGTCGTATAAAAATGCTTATTTTTGGCCCCTTATTCCTTAACGTTTTAGGCAATTACCCCCAAACTCAATTCCAGCTTTCCCTTTGTGATATGGAACCTTGTGGTACAATGTCAGAGAGATCCATACACTAACACACAAGTTATGTCTGGAAGTTACAAAAATGCTTATTTTTGGCCCCTTTTTCCTTAACTGTTTCTACCATAACCCCCAAAATCAATCCCAACCTTCCTTATGTGGTATTGAACCTTATGGTAAAATTTCATAGAAATCCATTCACTTAAACTAAAGTTAGAGTGCGAATACCAATGTGTCTTCGGACGACGACGACGCCAACGTCATACCAATATACGACCGCAAAATTTTTTTGCAGTCGTATAAAAACCAACCTCTGATACATCTGAATTTTGTAGTGTTCCCTGAATGTTATGTTTGACAATGACAGAGACACCTCTCTGATGGAGATATTCCTGGAGCATAAGATGATATTCTGGTAACTCTTGTCCTCCTTCAGACATGGCACCTAGCTGGTTCCAATTCATCGCATGGAAAAATTTCTCATATACAAACCTAAATACAATTATGGAATATATTAATGAAGTTGTTTATTTTTTGTGTAAAGAACGTATTATGTTTGTGAGTAAAAGGTAAAGTAAACACTTTAGATTAAGTCTGTATAAATTACACTTATTACTTTTAATTTAAATAGCATGCACTTAAAACTATGTTCACAAGAAAAATTTCACAAACAAAGACATATGAGGCCTATGTAGAAATTAATACTTTGTCATGTATTTTTTATTGATCAATTACTGTAGGCATATCTAATGTATAAATTCTATGTTATACTAGTATCTCACCCTTATTTTCAAAATGGCAGTTACTATCACCGAAGTCCTTTCAGACATCTGCTGATAGAACTACTTATATTCAATGTTTACAAACTATTTTGATTTTAAAATTGTGTATTTTTCATAACAAATATTTCATAAAAACTTACTTGTGATGGCTAACTTCTGGGATAGTTCGGAAGAAAAAAGGGTAGTTAACTCTGTTTGATAAAGATGAAGCCTCGGCACCATAACTAACAGTTAACATGTTAAAGTGGCGGGACAATGAGGCAATTGGTTCTGTTTCATCTGAACATGCTGGACCTGTAAAAGAATTTTCAGAATGAGCTTCAAATAGGGATTCATTAAAACAAGATGTAATGTAATGAGCCATCATACCCCTGTTTCAAGTATACAGTAAAAATAGATATTGAGCAATGGAGCAGAAAACAAATAACACCAATATCAGGAAGCTGTGATTTGTAGTTCTGAAGGTAAATATGAATGGACCAATAGAGGAAAAGCAGGGATAACCCCATTCCTCTGAACCGAGGTATAAAATTCACAACAACAATTAGTCATGTACATGTTAGTAGTGTAGTTTGCTTATAATTTTATATTAATAAAATTGCTACATTCTAAAATATTTATGGAAGTTTATTACTTCCATGAATTTTTTACATGTGTTGAAAAAAGGTAATAATTATTACCTCATCGAATTTTTTGCAAATGAGTGAATTTTTAATCATTTAATATTGTTCACTTTCTATGTAATTTATATAGAACTTGTTTATGTTGTTGGGTTCCTTCTTAATTTTCCACCAAATCTCATGATCTCCTGTTATTCTTTATTTCTCTTCTTTCATAGAAGTCAGTATCCATTTGGACTGTGTTTGATAACCGTCTCATTGGCAATCATAGCACATCTCCATATTTTATATTAACTATTTACCTAAAACTCCTGCAATAGGAATAGCCGATCGTTTTCCAACATATCTAATGAATTCTTTCAATGCTATACCAGGCTGACACTGAGAATCAACAACCACCATTTCTAAGTCATGATTTGGTAATATATGACGATTTTTGTTCACAATGTCAAGTGCAAGCTTAGCTCCTGAAACAAAGATTAAAAGTGAACTTGAAGAATACAAAACCTACTAATATGGTCATATAATATCTTGCCAATCTCTATAAGGATTCTTTAAAGAAATATCTCTGTCTGTCTGAATATGTACAAACCTGATGTTAAATAATTACTTTTCTGTTCAATCAATGAAAGACTGTCCCTCTTAAAATGGGATAGACCAATATGATTTTGTGGTCTATATTGTTGTTCATGTCGAACCATTATTACACAGAAAAGTGAAATCTAAATGTCAACTATTCAAATATTTGAGTTTCGTAGCACTATTTCAGAAATATGAAAAGTTACTCTAAAAACAGCACACAAATAGTATTTTTTAATGTGCTCTTTTATAAATTGATTTTATTCACTAAAATCGAAAGTTACAAACTAGAGTGAATATATTTTTATAAACTTTTATATCCATATATAAACACATGTATAAATAACTAATATTTGAACTTACCCTGAATTAGTCCTGGTTGTCGCCATCTAGATCCAGATAAGGGAAAGAAACTAAGTAACGATACTTTAATTTTACTGGATAAATTTGGCGGGATCCATTTTTGCCACTCATCTTGGTGGTATCTTAAATAACTACAAGCCGCTTTTTCTGTAGATCCATAATATTTGTATCTTTTAATAAACTGCTGAGTATAAATCTCATCAGTAAATTTCATTTTTGAGATCACATGATAAACTTCTGGTGCACTATAGCGAATCTTTGTCCATACAAATTTTTTGTATTGATTTCCTTCAAAATCACAGTTGTTTGGATAAAAGAAAGAGTTCTTTTGGCACAGTGGAAAATTTATTCGTGTTACATTCTCTGTCGATGTCAGGATACTTGGATTAATGTCAAAGAAGAGAACTGGAAGACTTTTCTTTAATCTGTCCTGTACAAAAGCATTAAAATTGTCACCAATATATACAACATTAACAGGAAGACCGAGACTTTTGACCTGGGATATCAAAGCACCATTATCAAAATCTGAAAAAATAATATAACATGGTATTGAATTAAAAATGATCATGCTTCATTTAGTCTCAAATAAATAAAATGGACATATATGTTTTTAATTATTGTTTTTAGCATGAATCAGGCTGTTTGTTTTCTCTTTCCAAATTGATTCACATTTTGTGATGCAGAGGCCTTTTGAAGCATTCTATACACTATGAGTTTTGCTCATTGTTGAAAATTACTCTGTGACCTAGTATAGTTATTAACAACCTCATCCTTTGGTCTCTAGTGGATCGTTAGTCTCATTGGCAATCATACAACATCATCTTATTTTTGTAATGATCAAAATAAAATCACATCAAAAAGGAATTTAATCTATAAAAGATGAACAAAGTGATATATAGTTCTGTGTATCAATCTGTAAATTGTATAATGTAAAAGAATCAAATGCTCACAGAAATCTCACTTGATTTACCCCAATAATGCACATTTATGAGCACTAGAATGAAACTTGAAAATAATAGTCATTTGCTCAGTGTAGAAGGCTGTATGGTCCGTGAGTGACCTATAGTTTTTGACTTCTACATCATTTAGTCTCTGGTGGAGAGTTGTCTCATTGACAATCATACCACATCTTCTTATTGTTATATTTGAAAGCTACATATTTTCTACGTATCTAATTAATAAATACATATTCATATTCTTTTTTTCCCCACTAACTTTGGATTTAAGAATTATTTTGATATCACTTGTGTCTAATGTCATATCCCATATATTTATATATATAAATAAATGGGGAATGTGTCCATGGGAAACAGATGATGCCCCCTCTTGCATATCACGTTATAAAGGAACATAACTCAAGAACAGTAAAAAAAAAAGCTACCTAAAATCTTACTAGATCTGAGTTTTGTGGTAATAAGCATTGTGTATAAGTTTCATAACATTTGGTTGAGGCAAACAAAAGTTACAGTACGGAAACCAATTTCGGGATGTACGGACAAGGGTAAAACTTAATGCCCCCTCCGCTACAGCAGGGGCATAAAAAAATTAAATTCTTTTTATCTTAATATCATACAATAAAATACTTGCCTGGAAAAGACGTAATCAATGTAGAACACTTAGAAAAATTGGTTTTGGGACAACCATAGCCATAAAAAATACCATCCTCACAAATAGGACTATCACAGTAATGCTTGTTTGTTATGTCGTTTATAATTGTCAGATTCTTAAGTTGCTCATACTCGCTAGTCAATGCAAACTTTTCTGCCACACTCTTAGAAAACAGTGACCTCCAGTGGTCTGATATGATCCCTAATCTCCATAACTCATCAACCATATGTGTGGTAGCAAACCAGCCTAATCTGTAAAAAACACCAGGATAAAAAGAATTTGGATCTAAGGTTATCCTCCTGATGTATAGGGTTTCTTTGCTGGTTAAAAATTCTATTTTGGTGTTATTTGTTTTTTTTTTTGCTTGTCTGTGTTTTACTTTGATAACAACAAACAAAACAAAATATTTTTTAAATGTGCTAATGATACATTTAACTGGCTTCCATATCTTGTATATTTGTAAACCTAGCATATATATTTAGTAAAACAATTGTATTTCATTGAATTTTTTTTACAAACTGTGAAGTAGACATATTGTGTAAAAGCTTTTGGTTTGAAAATTAAGATTTGTGTAAATTATTAACTTCTTTGTGTTTTTTTTTCAGTGCTATCTTTATTGGCTCTCACTCAAAGTGTATGTTTAAAGTGTCATCTCATAATTAGCAGACAGGGGTTGCTTTACAATATGTTGAAAGTTGTTGCTCTAAAATATGTAGAAAGTGATTGCTCTTAATTATTTAAAGGAAATTTATTAGAACAATATGAATTCAGCTTTCTACTCATTCTCAGTAATAACTCAAGTATTAATTACTATAACTGCTATTGGAGTACTTATTAAGTCTGAAAATTTTTAATTCATCTCTTCAAAATAATGTTTTCTTATTTTGAGAAGCAAAGTGACAAGCTTCTGGATACTTTCAATTGGTCAAGGTATCTCCTTTTTGTCCTGCAAAAGCCCTAATTCTGTATTCTTCTAAAGCACAACGTTTCCCTTCTTTGGAATGTGGAACCAGCAATTATTTTGTATTAAAAAAATCAAACTGGCCCTTTGTTTCAATAAATCCTGTATTGTATTGTGTATTCTGCTGCAGTTTAACATACCTCCCCTTTGGTCCAAGAAAGCCCACATTTTGTATTCTATCAGTACTGGTCCACGGACTTGTGTCATAACCATTTTGAACTGGTACCTCCAGGTTAATCATAGATACTGGTAACTTAGCTCTGGCTTCATCATTTCCACTAAAATCACAATAATCAAATTCATTCCCTACATTTTTACTATTTTCAAGTTTTCAATTGTACATTTCGATGTAATTGTTGAACATTTTAGGTAATCCATAGATTGATCAATGTAATGGCTGTCTTTGTACTGGCCGAGTCAAACTTTTAACATCCTTACTTTGGTAACAGTCCACAGGAAGACATAACCTGGTGCATTATTCTACCTTTGAGTAGAACAGTCTTTGATTTTACTGTTAGTAGTGCTTGAAGGAGAAGCAGAAATTACTTATTTCAAAGTCTTTAGGTATTGCAAAGCAAGAGATACATGTCAAGACTTCTCAACAATTGCACACTTCCAGAAGACCATCAAGATTCACAGAAACTTGACCATACTGGAATCAATTTTGTAAATACTGTGAATTCATTTATTTTCATGGCTACCAATTTTTTCGTGAATTCAGGAAAACTGACATTATCCTGGATATTTGGTTTTTGTGGTTTTGCAAAGGCTGCAAACTAGCCTATAGAACATTTGTAATTTGCTAAACATTCAAATTTGTGGTTCACCTGTACCCACAAAATCCAAGTAAATTGGTATCTCACGAATAATAATGAATCCACAGTATACTATAAATAAAAGACATGACTTACTCCTCTCCTTGATATGGATCCAGTCTTCTGAGGACATCTGATGTATTATATAATGCTCCTGATTGGTAGTTGATTCTAATCTGACTGTAGCCAATGATCTCCTCCAATAAAATCTTCAAGACATAGTTGGTGATATTCTGTGACAATCGATCACTGCCTTCCAGAACTATTGGAACACTAGATCCATAATGGTACAGCCGTTTCACTCTCGGCACATCTGTAAATCAACAATCTAAACTTAAATACGGTTGAATATTGCGATCAATGATTTGTAAATCATTTCACTATAAAGATACAAATTTGAAAAGAATTCTTTTCATTTCTTTTTATGTTTTGGTTCTTTTAAATGATAGATTTCCCTGTTTTAAAGAACACCAATCAATTTAAGAATTTACATGAATAATGAAATGCTTAAATTAGCAAAATAATCTTTGATGAAAAAAGGGTATGGAGATGTTGAATATAATCCAAAGATTCTAAGGCAATATAACCATATAGCAGAGGATAAATTTTTTTATTGCTGTGCTTCATCTTGAATAATTACTGAAAAGCTTTGTTAGCACCATTCAACTAGGAAACCTGCAATCTGTAGCTTAGGCATGCAAGCCATAGAAATTTGCTCAGTTCACATTATAAATGTTCATCTCTGCAAAAATGAGAGCTGTCACTTTGCAGCTATAATTTCTGTAAACTGTGTGTACCCTTAGTAAGAGAAATTAAAGAACCTTAGTGAGCACGCTCACATACCCCACGTCCCCACATTGTCACTGGAGAAATAAAATAACTGTAAGAAAAAAAAATTGTATAAGAAAAAAAAATTGAATCAAAATTTCCTGTCGATATGCACATCTACATAGTATGTCCTTATTATCCAGAAAGTTTCATGAAATTCTGTTGTGTGGTTTCAGAGGAGTTGCGATGACAAACTGTTGCAGAGGTATATTGAAGCAAATAAGTTCAAAGGGGCGTAACACCTAGAAAAAAAATTGAATCGTAATTTCCTGTCGATATGCACATCTACGTAGTATGTCCTTATTATCTACAAAGTTTCATGAAATTCTGTTGTGTGGTTTCAGAGGAGTTGCAATGACAAACTGTTGCAGAGGTTTATTGAAGCAAATAAGTTCAAAGGGGCGTAACTCCTTGAAAAAAAATTGAATCGTAATTTCCTGTCGATATGCACATCTACGTAGTATGTCCTTATTATCTGAAAAGGTTTCATGAAATTCTATTGTGTGGTTTGAGAGGAGTTGTGATGACAAAAGGTTGCAGTAGTATATTGGGCAAATAAGTTCAAAGGGGCGTAACTCCTGTAAAAAAAATTGAATCGTAATTTCCTGTCGATATGCACATCTACGTAGTATGTCCTTATTATCTACAAAGTTTCATGAAATTTTGTTGTGTGGTTTCAGAGGAGTTGAGATGACAAACTGTTGCAGTAGTACATTAAAGTAAATAAGTTCAAAGGGGCGTAACTCCTAGAAAAAAAATTAAATCGTAATTTCCTGTCGATATGCACAACTACATAGTATGTCCTTATTATCTAAAAAGGTTTCGTGAAATTCTGTTGTGTGGTTTGAGAGGAGTTGCGATGACAAGAAACAGGACTGACGGACTGACGGACGGACGGACGGACGGACGGACAGACAGACGGACAGACGGACGGGTCAAAAACATTATACCCTCCGCAACTCGTTGCGTGGGGTATAATAACCCAATATATATCATGAAATATACAACTATTAATCAATATGAATCAACAAAAAAACAATAGAATTTTTGAAAGATTTGAAAAGGGAAGAAGATAATTTTCCAAATTCTATAAGACACCATGCCCATCTTAAGCTATCACATTTCTATGTTCAGTGAACACCTAAATCTGGATCAATAGCCCAATTTTGCATTTTGTAAAATACCTTAAAACCAAACTATACTCTGATACAGTACTGTACAGAGGACTGGATGGACTAACAGATAACAGACAAAATGTAAAAATAAAAAAAAAGAATGGAAAACATAATGCCAGCCGTACTACCATAGGTGTTTCATAAAAACAAATATCTTTGCTGCTTATTTTCATCTTAAAACTACTTAAAATTTCAACTTCTTTATATTCTGTGCTGCTCTTATTCTGTATCTTCAAATACTAGTACAAATACCTGGTATTTTACAGAAACATTTCTGCATACATTCTACTGATTCTTCAGAATAACCTATGTACAGACAAACAACCAGAACAGAAAGTATTTTCTTCAAAGTGCCTGGTGAATGGTATCCCATCATTCTTTATCTCCATGACAACTGGATCACATGATTCAATAAACATCCAAGTTTCTTCACCCTCTAATTATTTTAGGAACCATTGTCTGAAATAAGTAAATATAATTCATCTTTATTCTTTAGTTATAGTTCACTAAATTTTCTAAATAATTAAATATTTTTCATCCTGCAGCAACCTTTTTATTTTCTGTTCATCAGCTAGTGCCCTAAACCTAATCAGTTTGTTGCCCCATTTGTCAAAAGTCCATAGCATGGCAGAAAGTGGACTCTTCAACTGAACAGTCCACTACATCTCTGTGATTGGAACATTAATCTGCTGAAATATTGCATATTTCATTTTATTTGTCTTCTTTTATAATTTATTCAATCATTATTTGCCAACAACCCTTCCAGATGTAAAAAGATCTTTAATTATTTTGGACAACTGCTGGAACTCACCAAATGGTTCCAAGCTGCACTTGGAACTTCTGTGTATGGGTTAATTATGGGGAAATTTAACATAAAAGTTTCCAAGTTTCTGATGCAATCAAAAGGTAAATGCAGGTAATTCACTTTTGTTTCTTACAGAAAAAAACTAGAGTACAATTGTACTTTAACATGTCAAATTTAAAACTATACAACTATTAGTAATTTATGATGATATTCTTATATAAGGAAATATTTATTTTAATCAAAGTACAAATGTTTTTATACAACATATCTTATTACAGAGTCACCATGTCATGTTAAAATTCTTTCACGAATCTTATATAATGCATTTATACTTAAATTTCATACTTTAAAGTGCATATTTAATGCACAAACAATGCCTTTTACATGTAAAGTACATTAACTTTTTGTAAGATAAAGAATGCACTTTGTAATCATAATCCAACGATTTTAATTTTATTTAGTACAATATCAAAAAATAAAGTTTTATTATATTGCAAATGAATAATTGCATGAATTTTCATCTTAAAATGAATACACAATATCTTTACAATAGCTATGGAGATGATTATCAGATAATAAGACTTGGATCAAGATTTTCAATTAGATCTATGGAAAACGGTCATGTTTTACTGATCGTTTAGAAAGTACATGGCTTAATGATACATTGCAAATTGCTCATACATGACAGCACATAAAGTTCATTATTTAGTGTTATGAAAAAAAATTAATTAAAAGATATGCTAAACAACACCATATATTGATGCATCCTAATTACTTTTTTAAAAGTTTTTTTATGTGCATACACACATCTTTTATTTTCATAAGCACCATAAAATAGGAACATGAAAAAACTATTCTGCCTTCTCAATCAAGAAAAAGGTGTTATGCATTATGGAAATTCCAAATGATATATTCAGAAATTTATATATATGGAAGTTACGAATTGAAACTTGGGAGTATTGGAACTATTTTTCGAATCATCATTCATAAAATTACACATCGACTTCAACGTTTTTTCCTATTACCAATAACTTTCTGAATTGTTTCCGAGTAAACTTCCAAGTTAAATCCAAGTGACTCAAAACAGATTCAAAATCCACTTCCAAATGATTTCAAAGCAATTGAAGGAAAAATCTGAACCACTGTAGACTAGTGGATAGTGCAGTGTAGACTCAGGTGAGAACTATGAGAGAATTTCATCGTCTAAATACAAAGTAACGTAACATGACACATGAGACAATGTCACAATGAGCCATACTTTATTAAACTAAAAATCCTACCACCGGAAAAATAACAAATAATTTTTGTACCAGATTAAGTCTTAGATATATTGACGGAAAAAAAAACAGACTGAACAATAATTATTCTTTCAGTAATTTTTCAGACAATTCCAGTTTAATACCACAATTCAGTTCTGTTTAGACATCTTGTTCGCAGTTAATCCATAGGTGTTCAGTCTATTTTCAAAGTATTCAGTATTTGTTTCTTACCTGTGCTAATAGCTATACTGAATAATGTCTGAATTGTGACTGAACAAGTCTAGATTGACTGCCAATGTTCTCTGCATAAATCTTATTTCATGCAAAGAAAATATGTGAAAAATAATGTACATTCATGTAAAGACTACTCTTCTGTTCAGTATTAAGACTTGAAGTGGCTGTTTCAGACTGAAATTAAAATACTCAAGATTGAAGATCCTTATTTGGCTATAGGAGGGAAGTTTACCCAATAAACCACCAAAATAGAAGATCAAGAAACACCATGGAAATATTCTCAAATGCTACCCCAAATTTAAAATGACTGAATACTGACATGCCTTTATACAAATGTAAATTTGTTTATTTACCTAAGACATTCTTACCTCTTATACAAGTGTAAATCCACTGTCAGACATGTATAACCCATGTTTGACAAATAAATCACACATAGAAGGCTAAGTTAACATGACTTATCTGTAATTAACAGATTGATAGCAATATAGAAAGGTGTTAAAAGATATTCTGTCAGCTGATGTAATTAGGTGCAAACCAGTTACCAATGCACTGTATATACATAGACATGTCATAAATTTAGGACAGTAAAAACTGATGTAAGAGCATTTGCTTGGCACTGGGTCAACATAGTCCCATTTTTCAAGGAACATAATTATCTCAAGCTGTAGTTACCAAATCAACTTCTTAAATTATCAAATTACAGGGTCAAAGAGTAGCATAATTAAAAAATATCAACAGGTAAAAGGGAAAAATTATTGTCATTCCACTGCTATATATATTTCTTATTTAAAACAATAACATTTCAATAAACAAATATTACTGTAACTTGTGTTTTGAATAACTGTCTATAAGTCTGTGGTGTCACTCTAGCTGTCAGGTCAAGATATTCTTCAGTGTAATAAGTCAATATTAAAAAAAAAGAAGAGCACAGATTACCATTGCCTACAAACATGGGCAGTAAGCAAAATGTCTTACAAAAACGTCTAAATGCCTTCCTTCTATCAATATGTAGGGACCCATGATATCACCAGCACTTTACAGTGAGACCATTGAGGTGGAACTCCCTACTTCACTGCTAATGACCATATATCAGTTAGATGGAAAACAGCAATAAAATCTCTGTTTTTCTATACATTTGTTAATTTCTTTTCTTTTTTTTTCATGAGAATTTTGTCAAACATACATAGACCCTATATTCTTTTTTTTCCAAAAATCATTGCAAATGAGAATACCTGTTTAAAATTTTCAGACAGTAAGCAATTGAAAAAAACTGTGATTAATATGGGACGTTAACTATACAAAACTTTAAAAGTGTACCGATATTCTCTTGTTTTCCCACATCATATTAATGGTCATTAATAGATTAATTTTCTAATGATCCAGATACTTTTTAAATATAATCTTAAATAAAAAGCAGTTATAAATAAGTTTACTGCTGTGCTCATTAATAAACTGATTTTGTTTTGCTTTCACATGTTTATTTTTAAACCAAAAAGTAAAAATAATAAATGGTGGCCTTAAATATAATGCTTGTGTATGGTGAGACTGCCATGCTCTCAGCATATTAAAGAACCCTTGGCACAAATCAGAGGGTATGTAGGTGGCCTAGCTGTTCCAAGGCAAAAAAAAATGTTTGCCCCCATCCACCAAACCCTCATTTTCAGTGGCACTCCAAATTTCCTGCCCTTCATCACGGTTGACCTAACTTTTGTATTAATTGTTAATTTATTCTAATCCTGAATATGTATGAGATACTTGCTACTGGATGTTAACCAATCAACAATTTATCAAAATACAAAAGAATGATTACATTCCAAATAATTTATTTTAGTGTTTAAACGTTTTAATCCTAAAAAAGTAAAAAATACAGAATTAAAAATATTGGCTTAAACCTTACCCTAATGTTGCTCCATTTGTATATATTAGGATTTTAGTAATTCCAGCAATGATGTCTTGCATTTTATTTCCCTGCCAACTAAAGATTTTATTGTGAACATTTTCAAGTTATTTAAACATGTCAACATGTCACATGACTTGTATATTAAAGGATTTTTTGTTTATATGTATCACAGTTTAAATCTGATGTATCACCAACTTATTTTTATAATTTGTAATATGCTGATACTCCAAGTCATAATTCCTGTGGTTTTTAAAATTCTGAGAAATTACATCCAAAAAATAAAACTGTGAATCAAGAATGCATCAGACTTGAGAATGGACTTACAGAAAGGTTGAAAATTGAAGTAATGGTCCCAAAGTTCACCCTTTAGGAGTAATACCACCATTGTTTTTCCCCTATTAGTCTCTTAAAAATTAAGCAGAATTTATCTTTGTTTCAAATAAAGAAATACTTGGCATGAGTAAAGTTTTATCCTGTCCAGTACTACAGACAAAATTTCACATAACAGATCATTGCAATATAAGACAAGAGTGCACATGCTGAAATGTCTCGCCTTCTTTACTAATCATTGATATTATGTTGATAGTCCTAAATATAAAGCTTTATTACAACTGTCACATAAACTTAACATTAACCAAGTAAACTAAACATTGACCAATGAACCATGAAAATGAGGTCAAGGTCAGATGAACCATGCTAGGCAGGCATGTACAGCTAACAATTCTTCCATACAACAAATATAGTTGACCTATTGCTTATAGTTTAAGAAAAACAGACCAAAACACAAAAACTTAACACTGAGCAATGAACCTTGAAAATAAGGTCAAGGTAAAAAAAAACCTGCGTGACTGACAAATAGATCATAAAATATTTCCATACACCAAATATAGTTGAACTATTGCATATAATATTAGAAAAAAAGACCAAAACTCAAAAACTTAACTTTGACCACTGAACCATGAAAATAAAGTCAAGGTCAGATGACACCTGCCAGCTAGACATGTACACCTTACAGTCCTTCCATACACCGAATATACTAGACCTATTGCTTATAGTATCTGAGATATGGACTTGACCACCAAAACTTAACCTTGTTCACTGATCCATGAAATGAGGTTGAGGTCAAGTGAAAACTGTCTGACGGGCATGAGGACCTTGCAAGGTACGCACATACCAAATATAGTTATCCTATTACTTATAATAAGAGAGAATTTAACATTACAAAAAATCTTAACTTTTTTTTCAAGTAGTCACTGAACCA